AGCACCATATAAGCTTCAACTTTTAATTAAATGTAGCTTCTCTTGTACCGCCTGGTGATATGCCACTATTTAATTTGAAGAATAAGACAAAACTGCCTTGTCTCCCACAGCAATGTTAAGCGAATAATTAGGAAATTAAAAATCTCATCTCACATCATCTTCCTCTGGCCATAGCAATGAATGCCTCCCTCATATGCCTTGTCATTAAGGGCAGTTAGCAGAGGAAAATTCGTTTCTGTTTTGCATACTTCTTCTTTTCCTACTTTTTGGTCGTACTTTCATTGTATTTGGACAAACTATAATGTATAGAAAACATTACACTAATCTTCAAGTAACTAAAAAATTACTTTAGCTTGCGAGGAATGGCTGTGTATGCACTCATGCATTCTTATTTAGATTTTAGTTTTTAGAACATTTAATTTGCTCAGCACTGACCCATACAGCAGAACAAACATCTGATATGGAGAATATGATTTCTATTAGAATACTATTTATTTAACAAATAATGTATATACAATAAATAAATATGCTTTTTAATGAACATAGCACAATAGCTAGTTGTATTTGCCTTCAGTCCCAAAACAAAAATTAAATGCTTGGCCTAAGGTCTAATTCAGGGAATGTGTGCAGACCTTGATAGTGTTTTAAAGACCATCTTTAATTATAATTCAATTTTTACTCAATTTTGTTTCTCGATTTTTGTCCTATTGCCATCCGTTAAGAACCCCAGCAACTGCTGTTTATTGATTACAGGTATGCCAGTTTACCAGAATATACATCTTTAACATATAAAGTACTCAAGTGTTTCCTTAGTAATTTTACTTAAATAATGTACACAAAATGAAAACTGTGATATTAAATTTGGTAAAGACCCCTGAAATGGCTAAATCTGTTTATTTAGCTGTCACCGTACATATATAAAAGTGTCTTGACTTCTTTTTAAGACTATGACTTATGTAGAACGTTGCTCTCAAATGTACAGTATTATAGTGTTCCTAACATGTGTTACAGTTAAAAAATGACTACATTTGAATTTCCTGTTTGCTTGGAATAAGAGGAAGTGGATAGAATACTGTAAGAAACATACTGGAAAGAAAGCAGTTTCTTTTAAGAAATATGGTGACAACATCAGTAAACAAACAGATTCAGGTCCTTCTTCTGTATGAATAAATCACTGATTCTGTCATTCAATCACCTGTATATGCAGTACCGTACTCTGGTATGCTTTACTCTGTATTCCACAGCTGCATGAATGCTCCCTCTGCTGTTCTTTCTGCTCAGATATTGACCTTTCCTTGATACTATTCATTTGAAATTTTTGCAACTCAACTGTGGAGAGACAGAGATTGATAGGTTCTCTCCAACAGCTGCATAAATTGAGCTCTGTGAGACTGGCCATTGATGGTCTTTCTTGCATTTGCCTGAAGATAAAATATTTGGGGTTAGATTAAATTTAGAACGTCATATGCAAAAATATTACAAAGTCATGTTTTGCTTCATTTGAGGAATATTGCTACTGTGGAAAAAGTGGTTCATGCCTTTGTCTCTTCCTGTCTTAGCTATGCTTGCAGGAGAGACTTAGAACAACAAAAACAAATTACGATATATCCACTCAGAAGCTAAGATATTGACCAGATCTTGTTTGTGTAATTTAGAACAGTAAAGTAGCTTTTGTGTGCTCCCAACCTTGCAACTTTCTTTCTACTGTTTCGATTTGATTTTTACTGGAGTTTTGCAGAGCATGTTTAAACTGTCCACCTTTGAATCTTAGGATGTTTTCAATTGCGTGACTAAGCTGTTTCTTCCTGATAATTGTCTAAATGTTAATATAACAACATACTGTACTATTCTGGTATTCGCATTTTATTGTCTGCTATTTTATTGTTTTCTGTGCTACAAAATGTAGTTTTACAATTGGTGCAAAGTTCTACCTTAGTGGTTTAGTTTTGCTGTGAATTTTTAACTTGGGATCCCAAATGTCATTAAAGGTGCAATCAGGATACAAAAATAGCAGGGTGCCATGTGTGCATTTATTTCCCTGTGCCATTTACACAGACTGTTATAAAGAAGCGAGCCCCAAGGGTGTTGTCTTCACAGCTCAGGATGCAAGCTCTAGTTTTACATTTTCCAGAAGTCAGGGAAAATGTAAGAGTACACATGTGCTCAGGTTTCATTCTTTGTTCTTCTAAATTTAGAATTTGTATTATAATATACCCAGTTTGAAATCTCCTATTGTTTAAGGCTTAGCTTTCCAGCAACAACTCCAGAAATGCTCCTCTGACATATCTAACTGTTTCAGACATTCATCATTTGACACAATGCAAGCTAAACAGGGCTTAAGAGGAAAGTGAGCGCAAATTGAAGTAGTGGCGCATCTTTCACTGGTGTCACTGTAAGCCTGCAGATGTCCAGCAAGTCATAGGAGTTGTTCTTAAGCCAAAAACTGAGAGGACCCTGGCCAAATGCTCAACCTAGAGGCAGTCTGTTAATTGTTTATTGCCACCTGTAGAATCCCTGTCACAGCTGGTGCTCAAACTGGTGAAGTAATCACTCCTTAGCGACTCCAAGCAAAACACGCAGGAATCTCAGAGTAATTCTAATTATGAAATATTATTTAAATATAAGGGCTGGTATGGTAAAGCAGTAATTAGCTTTGCTGCCTCACTGCACTGGGTGCTCTTGTTTCCTCCCACAATCCCAAACACATATTGGTGGGTAAATTGGCTTTCGGGAAAAATGGCCCTGGTGGTGTGTGCATGTTTGTCTGTGTATGCCCTGCGATGGACTGGCATCCTGTCCGTGTTGTTTGCCAGGATAGGCTCCGGCTCCCTTGTGACCAGGGCCAGAGCCAGGGGAAAAATCTGTAGGGGGGCGTGTGAATTTCTGAGAGGGGTTTCTGAAACGGAGCCGTTGCAACTACCCAAGTAAAATCTCGCAACCATGCCACTGATTAGTGCTTCATGATAGAAGATAACACTGAGCAATCTGGTATTTAGCGATGAAGCTCTGTACAGTTTCAGCACTCTCGCAATTATTATTGCCTGGAGTGACAAAATACCATATGCGTTTATTTTTGCAGCTACATTGACGGTAACGGGATTCTGAATCGTTAAGAAAAAATAGTTGTAAACCCAACAGAAAGCACAAACTTCTATAACTACAGTCCTAGTTATATAATGATTGTACATATAAGGATAAACTACTGCAAGGAATCAGACCACCTGAGCAAACAAGATCGTAATAATGTAGACACTATGTAATAGGTGCCATTCCCGGACGGATAGCCCTCCTGCACATCAAACAGTCCGATGTAATAACTGTGAATTCAGAGTTAGTGTGGTTATCTGACCATTGACAATTTACAACTATTTTTCAGGGCGCAAGTTAAGTAAGCAAAAGTGTTCAAAAATCTTTTTGTCCAAAACAGAGGAGGCGACGCCCCTTTTTGTCCCCCCATGGCACCGGGTCTGCCCGTGACCCTGAATTAAATAAAGAAGTTAGAAAATGCCCCCAATACCAAACCCTGGGGCTGTCACAACAGAGGATCATTCATTTGTTTTGAAAAGTCCCCTTCCCTAGTTGCCACCCTGTTTGTATCTTTTAATTAAACTGCTCTGTGGTACACGACCCGTCTTGTAAAACAAGCAGAGATGGTAGTAGTCAAATTGGTTACACTTTTAAAAAAGTAACCAATTCAGAAAAATTAAGGATTGACAGCTAGACTCTCTAGTCCAGGTTATTTTAAGCAGAAGCACAACTGAAAGTAAAATGAGTTTTAGTATGATCTGAAGCCAGTGATAATCAACCGGTTTTTCTCATTCTTGCCAATTCATATGTTTTTTTTCTATTTCCAGGACCTGTATTAATGTAACGAGTTAACTATGATGACCTAGAACAACTGGTAGTGCCAAAATCCACTGCTGCGGTTTGAGTCAGACTATCCCTGTTATAAAGGGATGATCACACCTGAAGAAGGCTCCACGGCCGAAACGTCGTGTTCTCTTTCTTCTTTTTTTCAGCATGGAATAAACCTATTACTTGTTCCTTTGCAGCCTACGCATGCTGACGCAGCTACCCACCTGAACTACAATCCCTGTTATAGTTCCATTAGACATACTTCAATAACTGACTTTCTCCTTGAAGGTAACTAATATAATCTCTCTGGTAAAGGCAGAAAATCCTGGAATTATGTAGATGGAAAGACGTACATGTGTTGAAACAATGCAGAAAAATGAAGTGCATGTAATAATCATGGTTTTCATTCCTTTGATATACAGAATAATTGAATATGTTTGAATGATGCCCATAAGTTTACGGGCATCATTCAAACGAAAAACGAAAAAAGGTTTGTTAAACTTCCTCAGTCTTTTTTTCTTCTGTTCCCTGTCAGTGTCTTTGTTTTATATCAATGGTCACACAAAGCTCACTAGAACAACACAAGCTGAGGGCAAAAGAACAATTTGCAATGATTCACGATGATTGACTTTGTCACTCATTTACAACACCACAGGCTAAAGGTTAAAATAGAACTCAAGAGCGCTTTAAACAGATGCTAGTTATGAATCTCGCTGCTCAAATGGCAATTACCACCTGTTCAACTTCCCTTAATAACAGCTTCTTTGAGATGCATTGCCGAGGCTAAAGTGGAAAAGCTTTTCAATTGAGAAAATAAATTTCATGCCACTGTATTAAACTGGCCAGACTTGGTACACTGCTCAGTTCTGAAAGCATTTTTTCACCTCCATTAGTATTTATTGGTAAGAGTATAAACAAGACCTGAAAGGACAGAAGTGGTACATAAGCCAGAGAGCCTCACATAGCTGCAAAGTACTTGTCTCTTTAGCATTATAAAGAATCCAGCCACTGGATATGGTGACGGGTGCTTCGTCTTGTCCTGTACAAACTTACAATGGACAAGTACCTGCCTCTAGTGGTACAGGTGGAAATGTTTGCAGAATTGTTTTTTCCAAGCCCATTCAAGCAACTGATTACACAATACACCAGTTTGGAAAACATTTAATCTGGCATATATCTATTTCCTTTGACAATCACTAGAAATTACAGTACCCACTAATCATATTTGTGGAGAATAACAAATTTCATTTTAAAGACATATTTGTGTATTACATAAAACGCTGAGATAATTTTCTATCAAAAAGACACACAGACACCGCACTGTGGGAAAACAAAAACTGAAAAAAGTATCTGACACAATTAAAATGAATTATATCGCTAAGAAGAAGACTTAAACAAAATACAAAATAATTTAAACAGGCCATCAGACAGGTTAATGTGTACCCTTGTTTGACTCAAATTCTTTTACCTATATAGATACATAAAACCAACTTAACAAAGAAAAACAAATACAAATATGACGTTGGAAACATTTACATCAACAATAACTATTTATCAAATTGTTTACGAAGCAATAAAATTAATCCAGATTGTGTTAAGTGGGATATTACAACTGAAAACTTGATCACATGTCCAGGATTCAGTGGTCCTGGTTTTTGGTTTAACTGTGTTCCTGGTCAGATCTTCGGACTGGGATCTGATATGCTCGGCAGACGTCGGAGTACAACAGGAAGTCCTGCAGGCAAACAGGAAGTGGGAGCTGGCGAATAGAGTGGCGTGAACACTTCCGCTCGCTTTGTAGACGAGACCGGATCTCCAGCCGGCAAAGATGGCACAAGGAAGGAAGAGATTCTGAAACCACATAAGAAATGGGATTCTGTAACAAGGGTAAAACTCAGGTGATTTGGAACACTTTGTCAAGAAAACTGAGTAACAAAAATCTGAAAAACCAAACAACTTTAAATTCAGTCAAGAACCTGTGCTGGAGCTATGAGAAATAAATACAACAAAACATTTTATAAGGCTAAAAATAAAAATGATACCCAGGATTAGCTAGCACAGCCTTTTAAGTGAATCTTCCCTGGAGGTCAACAGACAGAATTAACACTGGAACATGTTTCCAGTGTTGTATTGTGTCAAGATCAGCACAATTTTATATGTAAATGAAGGGGGTATACCACCAATCTGAATTCCTTAAAGCAGCTGCATTAAAAGCATTAAATAAAAGGGATTAATTAGCTAACTCTCATTGGAGAGTAGCACCAATGAGATGCAGTTTAAAATGGGAAAACCATTAATTAGTTCATGCAGTAATTAAACGTTTGTAACACTCCAAGTTAGAAATCCTCAGCATTCAGAAATGCACATATATTTAACACTGCATGGCATCTCTATGAGTCCAAGACTATTTAGGAAAAGTAACACCGAAATAATCCTGTAGTCTGCAGTGTGGTTGCTTTCATTTGCAGCTAAAAGAATGGATGCATAAGCTTCACAGTGGTTTGTAATTTCAGACCACATAAGCTTCTGCTAAAAGGAATTTGTAACTAGCTATGCTGGAAGCATGGTGAACTCATGGTCAACCCTGTGGCTTATTTTTCAATTATTTAAAGAAGAGGCAAATATTGCTGTTTCACTCAGGAAACCCTACATTCTCCAAATAATCAAATTAAGGCTTCAGTCTTTACATCCAGCATTCTTACTAAAGTCACCCTCTGAGGGACATTCAACAGTCTCTGTGGGGATCTTTCCACTTTTATCCTGATTGTTACTGTTGAACAGAATGTTTCAGAAAAGAAGACAAACCGGCAGACTTTCAAAGTAATTCACACAAGGGCACCTTTAAAAAAAAAAGTCAGTCCTTGTTCCGCCTGCAAAGTAGGTTTATAAAAATGCAATAATTTTATAACTGCACAGGATTACATATGCATATCTGAAAGACTGAAACAACTGTATATTTTGTGATGGAGAAAACTTAGAAGATGTAAAATAATTGGCATTACCCTTTTTCACAGGGTTAGTATTGCTTTAGGTTAGGCTGCTACAGTGTATGTACGATTAGGGAATTTAGTATTCTTGTTCCTCACAAGGAACACTTAAGAAGAATGAAACATTTAATGTTATTTTTATTATTCTTCTTGCAAAAGTCTTTAGAGCAATGGATAACTCCCACATCTTTTACAAGTTAATGTAAGGAAAACTCAATTTTCAAATACACACAGCATGAGATTATAAATCTCTCTTTGCAATCACATTCACTGGCAGCATGTGCAAATCTGTTATAGTCTCTCCAGTTCAGATTTCCTTTCATCAGTTATCAGCACATCCTGTGAAGATAAACCAGCAAGATGGAGGGGGTTTCAACACCAAACGCTAAAGCTAAAGCAATAAAACCCAATTATCTATCAAATACCATTCAGGCTTCAATTATACTCGGCTTTAAAAACGGAAATGTTGGAAATGCTCAAAATCTCTACACCACTGTATAAGTCATTTAACCTTGGCACACAGAAAAGCACTTTGATCATAGCATCTCTAAACTTGGTTCATTCAATCTTGTAAGCTTAATTGTGCGAAGATATCAATAAAACTAAGAGCAGCAATTCAGCACTTTATCCCTAAAAAGTGGACTAAAAGCTTTTTTCTTGAAAATTTACAGAATATTTGAAAATATTAAGACTTATCAGAGACAGAGAATACCTGAATATATTGAATATATGAAATTCCTTGTTAACTCAAATGCATTTTTACTTGTTAATGTTGTCCGTGTATTGCTGGACCATATTGGTTGTTACTGTGTTTTCCTTTCATTTCATTTCCTTTCATTTACCATTTACCAGGCTCAATATTCAACAGGTTAAATCACCTGTGCCCAATCCACTCACACCACTGAGATGTGATTAAGTGCTTAAGCACTCAAAATGACACTAAAATTTATAAAGAATAATCCCCATACTTATTTTTTCTAAAAAGGAATCCATTAAATTCATTAATTGAAACTTAGCACAGTACATTTTAAAATGCATGTTCAAGAGAAAATGGAATGACCCAGTAAAAAAAACATTAGATGTCATAAATATGGTAAGAAGTGATTTGAGGACAAAATTAATCTGTTTGTCATGACTAGGGATCTACCAAATTCGAAAAGACTTCACAGTTTAAACATCTACTCTTAAATATACACTGTGTTGTGCTTAAACATACACATTCTTTCTCATCGTTGTATTACTGTCTGAAGTGCTTTTCCCTTAGTATTTTACCATCTAATTCATAAACATGACTTACTGTACTTAAATTCATTGTTGAGCTTTCTTACACTTATAGCACGAGTTTTTATGGGTTAAAATGGATTATGCTTATAAATAATTGATAAAAGTTTAACAAACAAAACCAGATTTTATTGGAAATCACTATTTCTGTGTGAAAAAAATAAATCAGCATGCAACATTACTTGAAAAAATTCTGCAATACACAGCACAAAGTTCCAGCAGAAGTATATAATTTTTTAACCTGGTTCAGAGATTTTCTAATAAATGTATATTTTGTTGTTTTTGTCGATATTCCCTCAGAGTAACACACATACAGTAGATTCAATCTCTATGGAAACTAAAAGAGAAAAGATGATGAAAAAGCATCCAAGAGTTACACAAGATCAAGTCTGAGTCACACAATGTCAGGTATGAGTTTGTGTTGAGTACGAGTCAATGGAATGTTCATCTCGATTCCTACCAGCCTGGTAGATCTGTTAAAGACCACAAGCTGAACCCATTAATGAATCAGTCTGAGATGCAATTAGCCGGATAAAACAAAGTATGGCAAAGAAATGGATTGTAAGAGCCACTAGGGGTAAAGAGTCCAATTTATCAAACTTTTGTTCATTTTGCAAATGGTGATCTTTATCTAATTCACAAAGCAGCTGATCCAAGAACTGTATAAAAATGACAGCAATGTATGTGTAAATTACACATACATTAAAATATGTATGTGTAAATCAGGAAGGCTATGTCTGACTGAATAAATTAATAATTGGCTACTGGCAAATATGGATTCAGCAACATCAGGTTATTTTGTAACAATGTGAATTTGTATCTGACTCATCTCTAAGACAGGACAGCAGCATTTTCAAACAATTAAATGAATCTCAATGGAAAACACCCAGCATGGAGGAAACCAGCCATGCCAAAGCAAACAACCTACAGCAAAAACCAACCTACAGCAAAAACCAAATCATCATTACCAATGCAGCCTTATCACTCCCAGCTCACTGAACAGACTCTGTATGGACAGTACTCCATGGTATTTAATATTCAGCTCGATTTTCAGAAAAAAACAACAAGCTTATGATCTCTATCTACTTGTGGTTTAGGAAACCATACTACAATATTGGTTGTGTGGTTTTGGTTTGACAGCAGTATTACACAAAGTAAACATTGCTGGGACCCATGATCATTCCTCATAACCCAAAGAGACCCAGGTCTTACAGCTACCCCAGCTGATGGTCTACATACCCCCTGTTGCCTGCTGGCCCAGCACCAGTGTGAGCTCTTCTTCAGCACATATCTCTAAACTCCAGTGCTTTCACTCCCTGCGTTATACAGTGCTTCAGGTAAGCATTGCAATTGAATGTTTATGGGATTCATGTCTAATAAAGTGAAGCAAGGCACACAAGAAACATGAAAGCCATTACCTGTGCTTGTTTACAGACAGTACAGAGTAACAAGGCCATAATTATGAAGACAAGAGACAGGTTAAAAAATAATTAATGCAGTCAAGGTTAAGTTATAAAACATTCTTATCTAAAAATATATTAACATATATTTGTACCAAAGGAGAAAACAAAGGAAAAATTAATCAGATAGCTCCAGTGCTGCAAAGTAACCACAGAAACCTGAGGTCAAAGGTAAATGCTGTCACCATTTTAAAAGCACAAGGAACACTGCCAAGTGAAACAAAAGACTAGCTAAAGAAAAACAAAGGGAGATAAAATACAACCAATGTTTTAAATCACAATCTTAATTTTATGTAACACAGCAGTTGATATTTCTGCCTCTAGAATAACTGTCATGTTTTGTGTGCAGAATATTAACTCTCTTACCAAAATGCCCGGGCTGAACCCAGGTGGAGTTTTCAGCATGGTTGGACAAGGTCTGTTTTACAGCTGGAGGAAGCCGCTTCCAATTAGTGAACTCCAAAGCAAAATTAAGTGCATCGTCCGTTACAGAAGCAGTCCTGCGCAATTACAGAAAAAAGGAAGAAAGAGCAGTGTTATTCCAAAAGTGCTGGCAGTTTCCACTTTTCAGGTTGGGATTCCTTCTAACGACACGGCTAAGAAAGACACCAGCTGTAAATATAATGAGCTATCAGAGCCAAAGAATTAAAGTCTTAGCTTCCTCCTTGAAATAGGAAAATGTAATAATCAGAGTGATTTAAAAAATCATGTTAAGACAAAATGTGTCTCTACAGAATAATTATAAATCTCTTGAAAATTAAACTTTAAAGTTAAGAATTCTAGCCAACTGTTTTAAAATGGTAGCTTAAGGAAATAAATCACACATATAAAGGCAATCAATTGGAGAGGATCAGCAGCACTGGCACCAGATGGAACAGACGCAGCAGCTGAAAACAAGGGCAATGATTCCCAGCCTAAAAAAAACTTGTTGTTCAGTCCCAAATTTGCTGTTTAAGTGTATGTTTTTTATAAAATGGCTTTTCTTGATAAATCCAAATTAACTCAGAAACCAACACTTCTTGTTAGCCAGCATTTTCTTAGTAAAATTGATTTGTAAATTAATTTAATATATAACTGAAAATAATATTTATTGTATCTTTCCATTTCCAATGGGTGTCAAAACTGTTGTGCAAGCATTTACTTGTGTGTTTGCACAGTAATGCAAGTGCCTTTATGGTACAGTATGTGAGTAAAATGTCAAGCACTCTTCCAAGGAAGGTCGTCCTACCAGATGTGCTATGAGAAATAATGAAATCACAACATATAATAATGATGATAAAACCAAAACTAATATTAAGCTGATGGCTTTATCCAAAGGACCTTCCATTTGTACACATTAACAGAGCTGGGCGTTTTACTGAGGCAATCGGAGACCCTTGTTTAAAGGTATATAATAATAGTAGTGCCCCATCTGGGATTTGAACTTTACACTTCCAGCCTTCCAATTATGAGGCCAAAGCTCTTACCACTCCACATACTGCTGCCCTCACAGATATGCTTTATGTCATGGGTGGTAGTTTTCTGAAATATTGTCCTCAACTTGAGTTAGAGAGACTGTTTTTCATGATGTATCGTGTACATTAAAAGGGGAAAGCTCTGTTTTTCTTACCCTGCTATAGAAAGCCAAAGCATGTGCACTGCACTAATGCTCAACCAAAAAGAAAAGGCTTCGGTCTCCTAGGAATTGTCACGAAATATATTCAGAATAAAAACTAAGGCAGTTTTATGCATGCAGCTGAATGAAACAGTGAGTGATTTAGGGTCATTTGCATAATGTGGAACATTGCAGAAGTTAGTTTCAAATGGAATTGAGCCTGTATGACTCATTTGTATTGAAAATGTAATTAATACCTTGGCACATTGTAACACTTTGTTTCACAACTTTTTTAGGAATACTGGCACTGAATGGGATTTGAGCAATTATGGTACAAATGCAGTTCCCTTTTTGCTCCACCCTAAATGATCATGATAATTTTGTTTATAGTGTGAAATTCTAGCCAATTAAATTCTGGCTTTGCTCAGATGGTTTTTACACTTGTGGTTTACTACAGCCTAGATAGCCTTAGCAGTTTCAAGCTGCTTCTTCCTCAGTATGCCTGACAGAGAACACTCAAGAGCAGAGTACTACAGCACAGCCACTACTACTAGATTCAAAAGGTCTAGTGCACTGCAGACAGACCGATATCCCCACCTACAAAGCTGAAAACCTATCCACATCAGTGGTTCTCAGCCCCACTGGAGAGACCACTGTCTGTGGTTTTCATTCCTGCTGAGCTGTAAATCTCCAGTGCTAACCGGAGATTTTAATTGATCTGCTTGCTTATTTAGACATAATTAAGACTTTTGGCTTCCACACTCAATCCCGATTTTTAAAAACCTGAGGTTGAAAAGCGTACCACCCTTTTCAACCTTCCTCATACATTCTGCTTATTTCGGACTACACGTCTCTTAAGTGGTATATATAATGAATTATATTAAATACCCTGCCATTAACTTTTTTTCATCTGTCCAGGTCCAATTGGTTAAATTTCAGATGGCACACCTCAATGAGCTTTAATAGCTGGATTTGTGTCCCACATATAAAACTGAAAGGACTAGGTCTGAAACCCCCCCCCCAGCATAGGTGCAAGGAACCACTGCTTTATGCAACCAGAAAACTCAAGTAAAATAATTTAAGCCTGAAAAGAAAATTGGATTTGATTGTAACTCTGATGAAAAGACTTGTATTTGATGCTAAATCCAGTTTCATTTAATATTACTGCATAACGGATGTTTAGTTATGAGTTATGAGAAAAGAGTCTCTGAAAAATCAGAAAAGGAATACCAGGTTGCCCAGCCATTGCTGTGATGTTCAACGAACAAAACAGACTCATGTTAAACGTTTATTAACCTTAATCAGCACTAAAAAAAAGATTACTTATTTTAATGAATCCATTAAAAACTAATGTAAAGTGCGTACCTGGCACTTTTACGGAAACACAGAAATCGCTTTTTAAACCCAAGCAACACCAAAAGGGTTTATGATTTAAGAATCTTAAGGATTTAAGGATCTTGGAATCAATTAAAAATTTACAGAAAGTACATTTTTTACACAATTTTGTAATCTGGACACACCGTACCTGGAAGACCTGAAACCATTATACCGGACAGCAAGAGGCTGGTTTCTAACAGATTTCCATGAAAAGATTAAATGAACAGCAATCACACTTACAAAATCAATTTTGGCATGTTGATGGATTACGAATAATCCCATTGTCTGACATTTTGAAATACAAGTTATTATATTGAGTTTTCCAGTATCCTCTACATAGTCACCACTGTGGGAGGCATCAACAGTGGATTGTAGCAGGTCTATACAACAAATACTGTACAAAAATAATAATTAAACACTCACGTATAACCACTGGGCATATCACCCATTCCAGAAAGACATTAATTAGCTTACTTGGCTTCATGTGCCGAAATCAGAAGTCAAGACCCATATAAAAATCAGCAACCGTGTGCTTTTTGTTTTATCCTTTAATTGATACAATAGCTATTATTAGAAGCATAACTGCTTTTTAAACGTTTTTTAATAAATGTTTCATTTTTTGTCGTAAAACTTACGTGGAAAAGGGGACTGAAAATTAATGGATTTTAAAATCATCGTAAATCTCACGCAATCAGAAAATTAAACTGTTAAATGTGATGAATTTGTATTCTGTTCCTTCAATCCATGTGTGATCTAGTCAGCAGACAATTTCCTGCTATTGTTCTGGATGAGTTCCAGCATTTCTGGCAGTTATTAAAGGTGGGAGCTGCCTCAGAGAAGGTTCTTCATAATTAAATCGAGAAAGAGACTTAAACTTTAAAATTAGAGTAGAAGAGCAGATAATTAAGAACAAGCAGGATTTTTGGATAGAGGTCAGGAGAGGCGAATGAAACGAGGGCAAGTAAAAATCAAGCACAGAAAAGCCTTAAGTGTGAAAATAAAGAAGGGGTTGGAAGGGACTTTGCAAACGTGGGAGTCATATCTGAACTTAAAAAATTGGAACATGCATTTGTTAACCTATTACCATTTTATGGTCAAGTGAAATATTACCCCTTCATTTTTTTACTTCATTATTGATTGCTCTCCTTTTAAAAGTTAAAAAAAAATGTTACAGTTAGGCTAAATAGGAAGCCTGAGTGGTAAATCGGATTGCACCACCTTATTTCATGGTATAGTGAGCCTGTCTCACAGCTGCCGACAGGTCATTTTAATGCTGCAAACACTCCCCTGCTGTAAGAGAGCTATTTCCACATTATAAAGCTGTATGGTACAACCGTTTCCTAATGGCAGATAATCAGCCAGCAGCACAGCTGGCATTTACTTTCCATTATTCTCTCCCTGCAAGAATTATTTCTTCTGACTTAAAATGTTAATTGTATTTATAGTTTGTGTCAGTCTGTTTTGAAACTTGCAACTACTTTCCTTCTGAAACCATCACTGTAAGAGCAGTGAAAATGTAACTGTTATCACATCAAAATTGTTCCAACAATTTTAACAACCTGAGCACACACTTAACATTCACAGATTGCGTTTTGACATAGGAAAGGTTTTAGAACTATAAAACTCCTGAAATGAATTTATTAAAAACATTTAGTACAGTATTTTCACTTTCTATTCAGCACTTTTAAATATATCCTAACATTCAGTTTGCTGTTTTATTTCTTTCCTCCATTATCTTTCAGATGTAAATGATGCATCAACATAAATATTTTCCTAAGTAGCTTTTGCAAGCTCTGTGTTTCCCGTTTTATATTTATAGGTCATGTTTTTGCTTCCATATGTAACACTCTTGCCTACAATAAATTTAATCTTCCAGGTGTTTGCCTAGTCTTGAATTTCTTTTAAATCTTTTTACATTTCCTTTATGGCTTCAAAAGTGTTTGATAATAATTCTTTGTACTGTACGTAACATCTGTGAACGTTAAACTAGGTTTACTAAAACAATATAATCCAGATATCCAGAATCCATTTTTCACATAGCTAGCATTACTTTGCTTGTATAGGAACAGCATTACTTTCCTGAATGATTTGGCTCTCACTTGTCAATACTGCAAACCCCCATACTTTTTAAAACATTCCAAGGGTTAGTGCTCAATACGAAGCTGATAATACCCTGTTCAAGACAAGCCCCCCCAACCCCACCAAAGTTCAACTACACTTTAATTGGGAAGTCTTGGTTACAGACAGCTAATGACAACTCTGACAGTGAGTGGTTTTACGGGTAGAACTGCTTGGGAGAACTCTCAAGTATTCTCTCAAACTGGTAAATAAGGTACTTATTTTATGATTTCTGTGGTAGAAAACACCAAAATGATTTTGGGTATAATAAAACTAAAAGCTGACAACAAAACCAGCATGGGTGAAATAGCCCCTGTTCTTTCTTAACCTATCTCAAAGTCCTGAAACACTTATAGTTACCCATGACATATTAACTTCTACAGAGTACTTCTGAAAAGTTTCAGTTAGTCCCCGTTGAACATCTCAGCAGAGACAAAAATGCATGTATATTTCTCAAGCATAACCTAACTACTTATTAGTGCGAAGGGAAATCTGAATTCAACTTTTAGACTGTTTACAGACAAACATCTTGGGACTGAAACATTACTTTGATAGTTCTCCATATGAAACCACTACAAGAATCTTCCTCTGCTCTTTTATTTCAAAGTGTTTCCAAAGTTTATTGAGGAAAAATACACCAGCAACCACCATGTATTACTGCACCTGATTGACCTCCCAATAAACTGAATCTCTTTTGCTAAGCCGCACCTGCTGAAACACCTGCTTCCACTGGAGTGTTTCTATTCACTCCACAGACATAAGAGAGGCTTGTTGCCATGGATATATATATATGCAGTTAATTATAGTCCACACAAAAAAATTCAAATGGCAATTCTCTCCCAAACACAGTTCTGCACTAAATAGAAGGCTCATACCTAAAAGTGCTTTTGGTCCATTTTAGATATTTTTTACTACTTTTAACTTTTAGAACCCTTGCAACTGAAAATTGTGAAAATCACAACACAAATTTGGGATTAAACAGTTCCAATACTTTTTCTGCTAAAACATCAGAAAAAGAGAAGAAAACGTTTGAAAGTATCACATTCTATCTGAACTGAAACAGTGACATATTTTTCACCCCCCAGTTTCACATTTATAACTTCATTTTTACTTAGTTTTAATACCCAAAGATATACATGCTTGAACCCCTTTTGTTGTAACTTGATTTTCGAATAATTGTAATAAAATGTAAGCCTTGTCATTACAACCCATACCACAGTAACCACACTTTGGCCATTAATTCAAACCCATATTGGTCTTAACATTACCAAGGCTGTCTGATGGTGGTCAAGTCATATCACACAGCATTTGTATCCCTGTGCTCCACATCACAAACAGTGAAATAGGTCTCCAGGTTCCAAAATTGTAGCTTTGTTGGAAGGAATTGTGTATGCCAATACTTTATGAGGCTATTCTGGATGATAAAGAGGAGTTAACAACAGCTTGAATGACAAGTTCTTGAAAACTTCTCACCATATGCACTCAACCATAAGATTTTTATTCTTGCCACACAAAACTTCACCTTACAAGGACAAGCAACAACTTTTGTAGCCAAAGCTAACAACAATTGTAGGAAACTCTATCTCTAAGACATTAGGAAAACCAAAGAAGTGCTAGAATCTCTTATAGGTGATCTCACAGCCCTGAAAATAAATATTTCATTCTAATTTCTCAATCTCAGAGGGGTAGCAATGGATCCCATCAGCAATTTATTTCTGTGCTCTTTGCAATGAAAAGCCCAGTTAAAAACAGGGGTCAAAATGTTACTTGAAATTTTCAGCGCTTTGTGTCTTTGTCATGATGTTGTTGAAGTACAACAAAGATCGCTACTTACCATGTTTCACTAAGAAGATGCACCGGCTCAAATCCTGCAAGCAGCAGTTCAGGAAGCCACTCAGGAGAGCGCCGTTGAGCGGACACACAGGCTGCAAGGAAGCCTTCCAGGTGCTCTCCCGAAGGCAGGGGGTCTCCTTGTTCCAGTAGTGAGCTGAAGAGAGACAGGTGCTCCTCCTCCAAGCAGGCAATGTAGTGACGCTCCAGCACGCGGGCCCCAGAGCTCAGGAGAACTAGAGCCATTTCCATGTAACTGTGGACAAGAACAGGACGAAACATGAACTTTATGAGCTTCCTCCTTCAAAAAATGCATGGGATTTTAACACTGCCAAATGGTTCGAACATTTGCAAACTAGACTGAAGTTTCGGATTCTTTTCTATTCAATTGAACATTAACACTGAAGAAATCCAATGTGTTACAATCTTCCTAACTATATAATCTAACACCTTTTAACACTATTTAAAACCCTAAACTTCACCTGCATAAGTTCAACATTGGTATGAAATGGTTCTGAGACCATACAGTTTACCATTAAAGCCTCAATTGTGTTACATTATGGAGTCACTTCAGAACATGGAATTTTCCATTCTCATGATGGTTATACTATTCTACTACTGTACATTCAGCTACGTATGGTGGAAATATGTACTTTATTAAAATGAAGTGTAAAGATGATGATTTTAAATAGTTTAATTTCCCAACAGTTTTTGAAACATGACACCATTAGGAAGTACATAATTTCTTCTATTATTTTTAGAGTCAAATGTGTCGATTCAGAAAAAAGGGAAAAAACATTTTCTATTAGCAAACACAGAACAAATGACCAATTACTCTAACAAGCATATTTACAGCCTGTGTGGGTCCGTGCTAATAACTACAGCTACCATGCAGCAGCATAGTATAAAGTAGGAATGTTTCTTAACAGCTAAAATAACTACTGAATGTAATTATGCATGCTTGCTGGCAAACAGAACGGGCTTCTGTTCCACACTGTGTCCGCCTGTACATTAGGAATATCCGTGCTGACTGCGGACAGCCCACGTCGCCTGTGAATCAGGCAATATTCAGCATCCCTTCTGCTCAGACACAAAACTCCCTGCTCTGATCTGCCAGGACTCTGCCAGGAGTAAGCGTCCCAGTCCATCACAGCTGTGTCAACAGCTCCACCAAGAGGCCTGCTATGGTATGTAGCAGCTAGTTTCCTCTCCTCCTTGCATGTCTCTTACACATTCCACCCCCAGCCCTATCCTTTGCAGTCCACTGTTCTTCTTTGCCTTCTTTGATAGATAGAAATCACTGCCATGATCAAAGGCCATCTGTCAAAGGAACTCCGCCTGAGGGGTTGAGTCTCAGCAAGGTGCTCAGTTAGAGGCCTGCAGTACATACTCCTCTTCCTGATTCTGCTTCTCAAGCCCCCCCTGCTGTTACACTCCATCACATGTGCAAGATCAAAAAGGAGTTTTCACAAGTTCAAATGGCAATACATTTTGGAGCCATACGAATTTCCAGATCTGATCAGGGTTTTCCACACTTTAAAAAAAATCAACTATACAACACAAAACATGGTCCATTTTAAAAATCACAGAACTTATTATCCAGAGACTTGCTTTTCAAAGCTTTTAAAATTAAGAACTGTTTCCATCTCGTGTAGTCTTTGACGGAGAGCTATGTCATATACGGATCTCATGCAGCTGTGCTCAGCATCAGTGTCCTAGAAACCTTGCTGGATCATATGGCAGTAGTATGGGTTCTGTAGGACAAACAGCATGGTTTTGACTCAACTGTTTACAAATTGCCCATGGCACACATTTACCACAGAGCAGCAATCTGGCCACAGTGAAGGCTTTAGGACTCTATCCATTACATGTCTTCTTGAGTCTCTGTCCCAGATTTTTAAACTTAATACTCATCCTTCTTTCTGTGCAAATTCATATTGCAGGGGTTGAAGACACTGTGTTTTTGTCACTTTACATTCATGCAAAACTATATTTGCAAATGTCCTAAAAGATACCGCACTGACCCACTTGGAAAAATTGGGGAAAAAAAACACTTTTTGGATGTATTTTACTTCCTATTTTATGAGTGAACAGGCAAAATGTCACACGTAAGTAAGTCAAGCTAATTTATATGTAACACAGACATCTATCCATTTTTCTAATAGCAAACACTTGACTCTTGTTCTGCCTTCTCCTCATAATCAAAGGCTGGCAAACACTTAATTTCGCAGATGAGTATATATCAATAGAAAAACACAGCAAGTGCTTATTTTGAAAAGGCCTGTTGTCACTCTAATTATGTGAAAATAACTGTGTTTGGGAGAAAAGTAGGCGATTTGTATTGAGTATCACAGGACCACAAATATCACCAGACTACAATCTGACTTGCAGAATCCAATGCTATACTGTATGTTGATAACACACACCCTACCAGAACTGTTCTTTTGTAAAGACCCAGGGATTCCAAACATAATTATATGTAAAAACAAGGACTTCTTATCTAAAGTTCAGAAATACAGCCAAAGATAAAAGTCCTAAAAGGTGTTCTCCCCTTTGTTCCTCCCCATGGATTTAATTTTTATTATTTCACAAACAGATGCAGTTTTTCAAGCCCAGGGCCTAGATGTCCTTTGTACTGCATCTTATTCAGGTTTGACTCTTCTTCCCCTTGAAATGATATCCTTGGCAGGTATTGGGATAGGCATTGCTTCAGACACACGGTATTATTGCAATCTCATGTTCAGCTTTATGGGAGTTTTATATCAGAGCCTGTCTTTCTTCCACAGCTGTGATGAACAGAACATTATCAATATTCCATGACTTCAAAATGTTCACAGTGCCATATTTTTTTGATGAAGAAGGAAACCTTGTATAATGGCGCTTTAAAAAGACTATCAGTGTGAATTACCTCTTAGGTTTCTGTTCAAGCCTGTTAAGCAGCAAATGAAATAATGAGGCTTGGCACATTACGGTGAATTTCCTTATAAAGTAATTTCATTAATCCCCATTTCATTTTGTGAATGAAATGCAAATATGCTAGAAGTTTTTTTAGTGCTTATTCTTTTTTTTTTTTAATTTGAGCCAGCTTTATGTTAGTCCATTAGTCTTTCTATTGAAAAAAAATGCTTTCACTAATCTCTCATGTAACAGCTCACTCTATCATTGCATTTCCTGATCCTTGTCTTACAGCACTGTCAGGAATGTTAACCATGGCCCTGTGCTAATGTTTCCTTAACACATTTAAAGTTATTTAAATCTAAATGTAATTATTCATACTCCTTTATTTGGCTTAAGACATTTTTTCTTACACATGTCCAATCCTATTTTAGCTTCAGCATATACTGTAGGACAAAGACATTCCTGAATATCTCTATTGCAGTTTATTCATTACTCTTCAGAAATAATTACAATAATAAATAGTATTCACCTTATTTTTGTAATGCATTTCCTATATCCTTTTTCCTTTCTCTAATATTTCATGGTTTGGAAACTTTAAGAGCTTTAGTAGGCTTCCAGCACTTGCCTTGTGCTATGCCTGATTAATTAACTAACTGACAGTGAAAGTTGCTTGATTTGGCAGTTTCTAAGAGCCATGGATCATAAAAGTGCAAAATTTTCATACCCAAAGAAATGACAGAGTAACCATTGTGCAAATGCATGACCTCTTCAGTGTACATTGTGTCTTTTTCCTTTTAACGTGCTTGGTTTGTCATGCACAGTCCTGCCAGGGGAAATGTCTCCTTTGCCCTGTCTGGGGGGCAGACCCATCCTTACAGTGAATTCATGATGGGCAAACTGAATAATTGAGCATCTGTGTGTGACTGAAGTGCCTCTTTTCTTCTCAAATGGAACACAAGTAATATGACGATTGTCAAAAAAGGCTGCAAGAGGCCTCTAGCATGCAAATCATCATGTGCAAAATTCTGGATTTCACAGAGCAGCCAGGCTCAGTCATTCACAACACTCAAATTAGCATGCTCTAGGTGACTCGGCTCTAAATGTAATACTTACATACAGTATGTTATGCTTGTGGTCAGAGACATTAAATAATAAAATAAAAGCCCTCAGCCACGCATTCTCTTGAAATGTATCTTGTTTCCAAAAGTGGAGTTAATTCAGTCTAAAATGCTGCTGCAGCAGTTTTGCCATGGCTTCACAGGGCCTGATCATTTATTAAAACTCTCCAGCTCTCACCCAGACTCTTCACATTATGCACTGCTGTTTCACTCTATATAGCACACAATTAAAAATAAATCCCGGAATTCCCCACATTAGCAAGTATGTTCTAAGAATATCCCAAGCTGCAGAGAACAGTTAATAAACCTACGAAACAGGTATGCTGAAAAGGTGAAAGAAGAAACCACATATCTTTGTTTAGCCTATAATATTAGGGTTAACAGCTGCTCTTTAAAAAGTCATAACAGGATTTTCAGTGCCCACAGTGTGGACTGGTCCACAGTCTAAAGTATCATCCTTAAGCACGCCCCTCCTAAAGCACAGTGCCTCCTTTCTCCGTAGTTAGATGGTAATTTGGAATTTGGGACTTGTAATCCAGAGGCAAGAGCACCTACTGGGCCACTAACACCATATCTAACAGCAACTAAAATATTCTTGTTTACTAAACAAGAATAGTTTTGTTTACTAAAATATTATCTAATTTCATATAACTGCGATGGACTGGTGTACTGTCCAGGAATTGTCCAGACAAGTGCTCAGTGCTGCCCAGGATAGGCTCCAGGCCACAGTGACACTAAATTAAATAAGTGGTTATTAAAATTTATGATATGATGTTTCAGACATCTGACAATGTCCGGTTTCGAGGTGGTATACCGTATACCTGCTGGCAACCTAACATTAGTTTTAAAAAAAGCTTGTAATTTGAAATAGTTCCGCTAACACATCGGTCTAGTGCTTGAATAAATAAATTAAAGTAAAAAGAATATTTTAATGATGACATGAATAGCTGTTAATATTCAAAATACTTTGGCCCACTTTTGGGTATATGCTATAAGGCCACCACATTGTCAGTGTATCAAACAAAAGATTTCCGTCCGTGAACAGTAATTCTACCACAGAACCCTTTAGCTACCCTTACTCACATTAATGTACTCTACAAGTTAAGACACACCCCACTTGGCTACAGTCTGCCTTTCTAATACGTAAGACAACATTGTGAGACATTTTTTTCTTTCCATTTCACTACACGGTTCTTAGTTTTCAATTTATACCCTCTGTCCCTACAAGAGTCTACTGCAGTGAGGCTGATAAATGAGGTTCCTGTCAGCTGTGGCTGAATTCAGCTGAGACCCAGATATCTTCAGAGGCCCTTAGCTGGGACTGCCTTCTCTCCAGCAATCTGGCTTGTCACACAAGGAAGCCTGGGACTCCCATGGGAAAATCCAATGCTCAAAATAAGAACTACTCGTTTAAAAAAAAAAAAACAGCAACTCATACACAGAAGAACAAAAAAAGCATTTAACTACTGATTCATATAACAAAACTCATGATGGCCAAGAACTGGAAGGTCTCAGACTGAAAAGTCAAAGCCACAAATGGGCAAGTTCATGCACCTCAAGCAGGCAAGAAGCTTGCTGTTGGTTGATTGCTCCCTAATAAAAAAACCGAGAAGAGGAAATAAAGCTGATAAAACTTTAAGAGCTAATTAAAGGTACTGTAAATGGGAATGTGGTGGATCGTTGTTTACCCATTTCACCTCCAACAATCTTGTCATAAATCTGATACTGTTCATTGACTGGGGTCTGCAAGAAAACAAGATAGCTACCAATGTCTTCACTCTAGATAACATGAAAAAGGTGCTACTGTACCTACAACTACAGGTGATCAATAAAAGTTTTGTTTTCATATTGTGGAAACCTACATTGATCTAGTAACAGGGCTGTTCATTAGACATTCATTAGTTACAACCTTATATAATCAAATGAAATTGCTTTACAGCAGCAACTAAAATACCTGACATTGTCACTTGAGTAATCCTGTGTAAAACAAAAGATAATAAAATCAAACTAATGGAAGACCGGGATCCTGAAGATCAATTTCCTGTTTTTTCCTCAGGTTTCCCAGGAAGGAGAAATTAGACAAGATCACCTGGGAAGTGTGTCAGTAGGTGTGATTTCCTTTAAGTGACATATCAAAACCTCTCACATCTTCAAGATCTTTGAGCACAATATATTCTAAATTACAGAACACTGAACCAATATGACATTGCCAACATACTGTACATGAATTGGGAAATATAGTTATCTATTACAGTTATCTTACTTAGAGCTTTCTGGTACAATATGTACTATCCACAGAGAGAGAATGGTATTGTCCTCAAGCTTAAATGCATCTGTGAGCTTTGCATCAATATCAAGGACTCAATATATAACAGGTAGGCGCTTTTCTTTTTTCTTTAATATTTTCCATGGTGCAATCCAATTGAGTTACAGAACCAGAGATGCATGAATCCATTTAAACTCACCTTTCAGAAATTGCTAAACAAAGTGGCGATAAGATCTCAAACACCAAGCATTCCTGGGCATTAGGGCTGTAGCCTTCTCTCAGCAGAATCCTCAAACACTCTGTGTGACCTCCTAGCACCGCAGAATAAACAGGACTCACTTTCCCCTTCCCCATATCACACATCCGATCTGTCAGAGGAATAAGCAACTCCAGGATCCTGCAATAATACGGAGCCTACATATTAAACCAGGTATGTTTTATGAGGGATTCAGTTCAGTTTGTCATGATTGTAATCTTCAAAATTGTACTTCTCCTGGTGGAAAATCTATCCACTTCTAAGTGGCTCTGTGAAGATACAGGCCCTGAATATGCACTCTAAACAGTAAGTACCTGATAGTACCAACTACTTTTGAAGGACATTTCAAAGCTCCATCTTAAAAACCCTTTCAACAAAACAGATGACTGACATATCATATTAATATTTAATTTTCAGCTAACTGGATTCTCAGAAAAGCAGTCAGACATTGTCCATTTACAATATGTGAATTTGGCTCTGCCCAGAAATGTAAATTAGGCTGATCAAACATCTTTAATATAGCTGTACAAGGAAATCTATAAAGCCGTGGGGGAAAAACTCAGAGATGAGTAAAGGCACATTTCTAACAGCCTAGCATGTGTCTGTCAAGCAGATACGGGCCTTTGACTGTAGTGCTAGCAGGGTGCTCTACAGCACTGGTCACAGATTAATAAGTGTTGTTCTGGAAGACAGTTGAAGACAACACGAAACCCTACACTTACAGTACATAGCCTCAAGGAATCTGTAGTATTTACTGGAAAAATTTAGTCAGACTAGCACAAAAATATCTTCAAATTTCAAAATAAAATGAGTCATAGGTAAGAAAAAGAAAACTTAAAAGATGTTAATTTTTACTTTAGCTTGTTTTGTGTGCAACAGATTGAGAATGTGGACCAATTCTGCACTGCAGAAAGAAAATGCCCTGTCAGTGACTAAAGCTCGGGAACCTACTTGTCTCTCCCATGCTGTGCAGCTGCATGTATAGGCAGCTGCCATGCGTCATCGTTGCAATAGAGGTTGGGATCAGCACCGTAGGACAGCAGGGTCTCCACACAGCCCAGATGTCCCTCCTGGGCTGCAATGAACAGAGGTGTGGCTTTGTCCTTGGCCTGGCAGTTTACATTTGCCCCTAAAACCACATCTTGGTCAGCAAGGTATTTCATCTGGACAGTTCCAAAATCAAAGGGGTAAAAAACACTTTCCTACCACAGTCTGCTAGACTCTTCAGGCACTCAAGCTGCCCATACTGAGCAGCAATGAACAGCGGCGTGATTCCAAAATCATCCCTGATCTCTATGTCAGCATCTTTCTCCAGCAGGATCTTCATGACCTCAGAGAACCCCTGAAAGAAAAGAAAGAAATTCAACATTGTATTAATACACCAGTTGACAAAGGCCATTAAACTGGTATCCTATTAGCATTAACCTATAATAGACACTAGCAACTTGACAATGGCAATCCCAAGGTTTAATAGATGTGCAAATGTTATTTAGCAGAATAAACCATGTAAATAAAGCTAAAGCTCTTTTGAGATATTATTCAATTAAACTTTGTTTTTATACATATTTTATAGAATTCACATACCTAGAATCTAGAATTCACATACCTTTGCTTTTCTTTATGTGCTTCTAATATTGATCACTGGTTTAAAGTGAGGAGTGCTGCTATAGCTGTATTAGCCCACTGCACAGGTGGGATTCCAGTGTTCAGGGTTAGGCCAATCAATTACACACATAAAAAACTCAAGCTAATGTGAAATCAAAAAACACCACTTCCAAAACCGTTTAACTCAATTTTAATACTGTTGAAGATGGATCAAAATAAGAATTTAGTTGTCTGATGAATTATAGATTTGATCTAGAAAAATGCATCACAGCAAACTTCACAACAAGCAAACATTTTTAGTACAAACTGCTTCATCGCCACAAACTGGCATGCTGTCCAAAACCTATATTCATCAAAACCTTTTACTGGGATCCCAGTTACCACTGTTTTCAAAAACAGATATTTCCACCTTGATATAAAACAGGCAGTGTATACAGGCCCCTCTTTAAAAGCTGCTTTTCATGCAGTCCCATGGGTGGCTGCCAGGAGATGGGTTTCACTATAATGAGACAGAAATAGCTTAGTGGTGCTGCAGAGCCCAACAGCATTTTAATGAGTAAACCTGTATTCATTAAAAGAATCCTCGAAACCCATACTCTTTAACAACCGCTGGTAAAACTGCTGAAGTAAGTCAGTGAGCATGTATGTGTATGCATGTTCAGAGCTCTGGAGTATCCAAATAAGCCCATAACCAGACTGGTGGTAGGGCAAAGAGGAGCTGCTCTGCTCCACAGGCAATTAATACTGTGAATATCCCATTTAGCCTCCTCAAGGGGATAATGTTTTCCCCGGGGGACAATTTAGAGTAATCAATTAAACCTAATCTACGTTGTTGGGCTGGCCAGTGGAAAAAAAAAACTCACATGAATATGAGAAGTACATGCAAACTCAACCCAGAACGAAGCCCATTCCAAGAATGAAGAGCCAGGCACTATTGTGCAGCAGTGTTAACATCCATGTCATTACACTTTATTGGCCATTTACAATTTCTTGCATTAGGAATTTGTCTTTTCGCATACCCCAGCATGCTCTCCATGAGACACACAGACACGGAGAGAGCAGCTTGGGGTCAGAGCGCAGGGTCAGCCATTTATAAGGCGCCCCTGGAGCAGCTGGGGTTAAGGGCCTTGCTCAGGGGCCCAACAGAGTAGGATTCCTCTGCCGGCCGCGGGATTTGAACAGGCAACCTTCCAGCCACAGGTGCAGATCCTTAACGACAGAGCCACCACTCAACTCCTAGAGTAGGTTACTAAATGTAGGATACTAGCCAGTTATGGATGTGTTCATGTCTACTCCATGGTGCATTTAAAAGAGTTTATCACACCTCCATCATCTTTATATCAAGTCTGCTCATATTAATATGGCAGGCATCTGTAAAATCAGGCACCAGACTGAAAACTGCAATTTCTTGAAGAATGTGTGAATGGAGTATTTCTAATTATATAAATATATATGATATCTCACCAAGGACGCCATTTCGTGGTTTCAGCTGAGAGGAGAAACAATTAAATGATTGAGAACCCTGCCATGGACGTCTAATCTTATAGAAAAAGAATCTCAAACCTTGACTGGTGGCCCTCTTAGCCAGGAATTAAAATTAACATCTGTTAGGAGTGTGAAACACTCATTATCCCCAGAAGGACACCGCTGTAGATTAATTATTGATCAGGAATATTAGTCAAGCGTGTACGAATGCCCAGTCACCTTCTCCCGCTGAGTTCCAGCAGGACAAAAGCACACTATTGATATGAGCATTAAAAGCTCCCATAGAGAAGTGCCAGACTGCTTCACATTCTTTCCAAGAATGTTATATTTGGTGCAAATATTTAAAAAGCATATTCAAGCACAGCCTCTTTTGGTAACTCTGTGTTCTTCCACCATTTTAGTTCATTTCATGCGTTTTAGTTTTTTATCATTGCTCTAAAATACATGATGAACAAGGACAAATAGGTACAGCAGACTTTAAGTATTTTCTAAAGGTATTCAACCTACAGCTCCTTCAATCTCCTCTGCTGCTATACTTTGATACATCCTGGTCCTTAAATGCTATACGGATCCCGTGAATTATCAATTAAAAATTCTGTAATGGAGTATTTTTCAAAATAATATATTCTTTTTAGATTTAGTTTTCAGACACCTTGCTGCAAAAACTCCACATTCAGAACTCATCATAGGGATATAATTCACATTTTATTTGAAAATGATTTGAAAATGAAGTACAAGGAAAGAAAAGGACAACTCTGCCCCCTATATTTCTTCTTGCACAATGGCAGCTGACAGCAATACTCTTTTTACAGGTTACAAAAATAAAACTACCCATGTTCCAAAAAGCACATCTAGCACATGTAATTTTTGTTACAATATCTCATTATTTATCCAAGCAGGGGGGCAGTAAAATGAAATTATTTTTCTCCTTCTAGCCTGCAGATGAAGAACGAGCCCTGCACTGTGACTGGGGGGGACGCTGCAGGGAGGGTGGCCTGGATGTGCCAAGAATGCAGCCTAGCACGTTCTCAGTGATGTAACCTCTCATTCCACTCTGCAAGGCTCTGCTTCACTTCCTATTCTATAGTATAGGCAGCTCTCTCTCCTTCCCATTTGCCACAGTGACACCTAGTGAACATACACTGCGCTGATGCAGGTGCCTTGGTGGTGTAAAAGTGGAGCGGGACTAAAATGGTTGTAATTTCTTTCAGATGGAGACCCCTTTCTTTCCTTAACAATGCATCTTTGTTCATGTACATAAAACCTCCCATTTCAGTGCTTGTATTTTTAATAAAATTAAATTGTTCAAATAAATTTTTAAATCTGTTAACTATATGAATCTCTTAAAAAACAAAGGTCCCATAGGTAATGACATGTTAGTGTGCTGTTACTACAAGCTATTTTACTGAAATAATTCCCATAATGCCAGGACACTCTTCAAAAGCCCTGTAAATGACAGGTGGACATACTATACAGTGTGTTAGACATGTATGTTAGGGAATGTTACCTACACCTTGGGAGCTTACAGTAACCAAATGAACAAGTCACCTTTACTTACACTTGGTGTTTATTAAAATAAAACTCAACCAACCATGCCTCTTCAACTGATACAAATTTAGCACAAACACTGAATCAAAAGATGGCAGTAAAAAAAAAAACACCAGGTTTTGTATGTCCTTTTTGATTTTAATGTCCTGGAATGTGATTAGGTTCATCTATTATACAGCGGTACTACTAGTGATATAAGAAATTATTACTATTAGTAGTAGTAATGTAAATGACATGGAGTAACTGAAATATTCTTCTGTGGAGCTTTGTATGTCCCTACAGTGCTGCAACACTTGAGCACCACAGTTTTCACTCCAAAAATAAATTCACAATGACACCTGTCCATCTTGAAAGCTTGCTTTCTTCATCACTCAGACAGCAACATCTTAAAATCATTACTGCCTATCTGAGAACACACAGAAAAACATAACTAATATGAATCCATTAACATCAGAAGAAGTTACTGCCAAATGGAACTCTAATTAACTGCAGAATTCCTGACCAAAAATCATTTCAATTTCAAAACGTTTTTTGCTAAACAAAATAAAAATAGTGTTTGAATACATAGGTCAGACTTTGTATGCTTCAAGATAAAACAGGCTTCTTCCTTTGTGAAATGCTGGGTTATTGTGGCTCAAAATGGATAAATGTTTCAGGGTTTTTTTCTGCTAATTTACATTGAAACATAAAATCGCCGTGACAGACAGTCTGTAGTACACACAGGACTTTTTTTTAGTATAGATGCCAGGAAGAAAGACTATTTATTTATCAGATTTTAGAGAGCAATTCTCTATTTTTTCCAGTGTAAATAACAGGGACACCAAGTGGTGGAAACCAGTAGTCATGGAGAAAACTGCAAAAGATTCTTCTCTTCCTCATGAAACATCAGTTCATAAATTTAATGTAGTAGGCATACAATATAGAGCATATTTGGATTAAGAACTACAGTAGTTAATTAATAGAAAACAAAGTATAAATAAGGAGTAAATGCTAGATTTAGGGTGAAGTAACTAGCTGACTATCACAGGAGATTGAATTAGGACTACTGGTCTTTGTACTTTATTTAAAAGATTCATGCATACTAACTGGAACGGCTAAACTTTACTTAAGCAAATACTATTGAATCTGCAAATTAATTCTGGTTCATTAATTATCTAAGATGTAAATAACAGATTGAGTGTGTAAGCACATTTGCAGAAGACTTAATAGTGATAAACATTAATGTTAATAAAGTAAATGGTTTGAGTGTTTATGCTGACATCTTTTACATCTTTGAGATAATTGGGGAATCAATCATAATTGCAAGCAAGAGGTAGGTATATTATGTATTAGTACATTGTACAATTAGCAAGACCTCATATAGAATTACATGTACAATTTTGGTTGTCATATTACAAAGACGGTATTGCTGTCTAGAGAACAGCAACCAGATACATTCCTGGGCTGAAAGAAATATCCTGAACTAGCTGGCTAAAAGAGCAAATTTTTAGTCTTGAATAAATACGACTACAAGGGGACCTGATTCAAGTATTCAAAATCCTTATAGGCACTGACAGAGTCAAGTGGAAACTAAGTGGAATTGCATTTAAAATAGAGAACAGGGAGGACATGAGAACACTTTACACACTGAACTCTAAGGTTATGAAAAAAGTAACCCAGCAGTTGACGTTCACTGACTTCTTTTTAGAAACAACTGGATGAGATTCTAAGATCAATTACTTACTACCAACCAAAACAGTTTTGTGGGCTTAAAAGCCTCCTTCTGTTTGTAACCCTGCTTATGTTCTAAATAGATTTATGAAGTAAAATACGTTTTTTAAAAGTTTATAAATAGGACAGTCATATATTCAAAGAGAAAACAAAATTTCACAGCAAATCAGTTTTCAAACAAATGTAACTCGAAATTAATGTTGATTTAAAAACAAATGATCAGTAATGTTTTAAAACAAAGAGGTTTATCTCTTAAGCCAGCAGCCATATCACCCTGCAAATCACAACTGGCAACCCACTGAAGCAAAGCAGGTGTGAGCCCGGTCAGTACCTGGATGGGAGACCTCCTGGGAAAAGTGTTAGTGGGGCTGCACATTGGTGGTGGGGGAGGGTCCCCATCATCTGTAAAGCGCTTTGAGTGGAGTGTCCAGAAAAGTGCTATATAAGTGTAAGCAATTATTATTATTATTAAAGATTATATAGTGAAAATGAAAATGCAGAATACCTGAAAAGCAGATTGATGTAGAGAATTCCACCCACACAGCGACTGGGACCCATTGACATCAGCTCCTCGGCTCACCAGCAGCTTCACAACATCTGTGTGACCGTTCTGCACAGCTAGACAAACGGGAAAAAGTTCAAAACACCTAGTTGCATACAAGCCATAATGCTTTACCTTTCCTAACCATTGCTTGCTCAACCTAAGGCGTGAAGTAGTGAAAGATGAACAGCCTGTAAACGTTTGAAACACCCATCTGCATTCACAGTCCAGTCTGACTCAGACTGTCATCATAAAGTCCATTTTATTCTCATTAGTGTAGTTTTTTTTCAGACTTGCAAAGAGTTTCATGTCAGGACTTTTCTTTACAGCCAACAAATTGCTTTCCACCAGTTTTACAAGAACCATAAATCAATTGTTTTTCAGGAGGTACTAATGCAGACTAGAATGCAAATAGGATTCTTTTGGGCCTACACACAAACTGGATTGTTTAGCAAAGTCTTAGGTGAACCAAACCAGAGGAAGATCTAAATGCTGTAGAATACGAAAATAAAATTAATGGCACAGTTAACCATCAGCATGGAAAAAGGTTAGCTGTAATTCAATTTCCTCCTTTTAACAGCCTGTAGAAATATCTTTTGTTTCAAGGAGAAAATCTTCTTTACCAGTATGTGTTAACTGAATTTCTTCGGCAACCCATTTGAGCACAATGAAATATATTTTAATGAAGAGATCACAAAGAAAAAAGGTTTTTGCAGATAACTGAATTCCCTACGGGTTGCAGGGGTTTTTATTCCTAAAAGGTTTTTTTAAATGAAGAAATAATCTGTGCCAATGAAAACTTCATTTAAATCTTGCATCGTCTTCTTGGAATTAAAATATTTTAGTAATAAAAATGAAGATTATTCTACTGAAAAATAAAATTAAGGCATGAAATCCTGTCAATGTTTATTAAGCCCACATTAACATTATGTTTTATTGCACTGTCTTGACAGGTTGTAAAATCAGTAATAATACAAAACAGATTCATTGCACAGTATCAGATTAGGTAGGATACACACCTTTTTTAAAAGCATAATATATGTTGAGCTAGACAAATGTGGCCCATCTACCAAGCTGAATAAATCATCCAACCACATCTGGCAGAAAGAAGTACTATATTTAAACCAAAAATCATCATAGTGCATTTCAGGTTTAAGGGTGAAACAGTCTGGCCCCTTCACATAGACAGTCTGTGAGTGTTTTTTCTTAAATGTCAAATAGGCACAAAATAAAAGCCTGAAAAACCAGGCCTAGTGTTTCTTACCCAAGAACAGGGGGGTTGTCTCTTCATTAGTAACCTGGTTGGCTTCAGCTCCTGCCTCCAGGAGCCGCCCCACAATGACACAATGTCCCCTCCTTGCAGCCAGGTGCAGGGCTGTCTCTCCTTCATAGGTCCGCGAGTTCACAAAACTGACGGAATCAGCTGAAGAAGAGGAGGACGGCAGGAGAACAAAAGCAGGGGAGATATAAAAAGTGTCCATTGTGTGATGATTAAAATAAACTGATCGGTAGCTCCAAAAACAGGCACAACACCAGTGCCAAAGCGTCCTAAAATTCTGTAACAAGGGGAGCGGGTGCCAAAAACTAAATACGTGCACTAAGTGTTGCGTTCCCAAATATTGTGCTGTAAATAGAAGCTCACATTGCAACCCATGAGCTCAACTGGCAACCTTGTACAGTAGGTATGCAATAAAAACTATTAGCAGATACTAAATAACAAAAAGGTATTTTATAGTTGTTTTAGGGTAATAAAGGATGTACTTACCAGCTTGAATTAGTATATTCAAGCATTTATGGGAGTTACTGAACGCTGCCTCGTGTATAGAGCTCCATCCCCTGTTGTCGGATATGTCGATGCTGTAACCTTTTTTAATGAGCTTTCTCAACAACTTCACGTTCCCCTGCCTCGCAGCGATGCCAACAGCCGAGCAGGTATCGGAATACGCCTCGGTGAAATCCATCTCGGCGTAAGATCGATCTGTTTAATTTCTAACTTTGGTCTGATTCGCAGCAACATTGAAAGCTTTTACAACATCGCATGAAGTAACTAAAAGACACCATTCCTATCAGAGGAAGAACTCACCACTATAAAAAACGAAGTTTGTACTGTAAACAGTTTAAGGAGGATGTCAGAATTGAATTAAGTAAATTAAAATTAGTGCCTGCTGCAACCTCACACAAATGTCATAATTATACTGCTTATCTTTCCGCTACATTACTGTACATAGCAAATCGAATCATTAAATGAACCCCTTATTGTTAGATCTTATGCAATTTATCTGGCATTAACGTGAACAATCTGATCTTAATTTTGTATTTATCCCAGCACTCTGATCATGCAATTTAGATACAATTTAAAAATGCAGCAGAATACTTAAACATTCAATCTAAAAATACTTCTGTTTTATATTGATATTTAACTTGCCTGTATATTAAAGAAACATAAACAGAACTCCGATGTTCCTCTAAAAAATGATAAATCATTGAGCATTATGTTAAGTACTTCAAAAATACTATACTGTTAAGTCACTATCAGCCACTACATATAAAATTGCGCCTACAAAACAAACCACAAGTTTCCACTTCCTGGATTGCGACATCACTACTTGTGTCTTTCGATTGGCTTCTCCTTATAGTAGGCGTTCCTACTCTCTTTACTGGTTTAGCAATCTGACATTTTCCGTACATACACGACGGAATCCTGGGTTATGTAGTTTTATTGTACAGGTCACATAGTTCACAATGACTAAAAAGACGTATTTGGAGAACAGTAATTTTAACCGTACAAATTGGACGAAATTCTACCAAAATCTGATGTTACGCGTGCATCCCTTCAGCACATATCCTGACTGTCGTGGAAACAAAATCTTAATTGGACTGCAAATCCCAAGGTCCTTGAGTGACAGGCTGATGCGTCTATACTGGTGATCCTGAAATCCCACTTTTAAACTGGCATTATATCTAAGTGTAGTTAATGATGACTGTTTGTGTTCACAGCTGATTGCCCCCTGCCTTCCGTTACAGAAAAAGGAAATATTTATTTAATAAACCGAGTTTAAAAAATCTTACAAGGCATGTGGGTTTTCGGTTACGGATCCTTGATCTGGAAAGTGGATTTTCCTTTCGAGGAGAAACAGGTCGGTTATATCACCGGTTACAGCAGGAGATTCTGGCAGGGCAGCACAGATCACCGCGGAGTTCCGGGCAAGGTCAGAGAGAGCATGGCAAAAATATTGCTATCCATTATACCATGTAACGTATTGCCACCATTTACAGCTTTGGAATATCTGATTGTTATTAAGGATCATTCCGTATGTGTCACTGTCGCCATATACACTAACCTAAGACGCCTGCAATACCCTGTATGTAAAATAAATCGTAAATGTTATATAGTAGATTAGCAGTTGTCTTCATGGAAAAGGCGTATGTGTTTAAGATGGAATATGATAACTGTATCAGTTCTATATTGCAAGATCGTGAAGTCGATAGTTAATACTTTAAAAATAATTAGGAAATGGAGCTGACTTTGATATTTACCACCAGCTCTCCTACCGTGTAGAGTTTCCCATTTCTTCAGCCGAGTGAACGCCTTTACTAGGTATGGCTTAAATATCAGGCATATGACAAGATCAAAGATTGTGAAGCCATTGGATTTTAAACTTCGTCTGTAAATTGCCACCCCCTGTTGGCTTACTAACAGGAAGAGAATGGACAAAACACAGACCCAGCACTTTATTGCCCTATCTAGACAAAAAAAAAAAACATGACTACCTTGTATAAGATTATTTACAGAGTTTCCTTAAACAACACTAGGACATTGGATAAAAAGGAAACTTGCTCCCAAATGATCAAGACCTTTTATTTGTAGGCTTTTCTTACACTATTACCATAAATATTGCCGCAAATCCAATTTATGAACAGCAAATATGTTAAAAGATGTTTGGCAAAATGTTTTTGTAACCCACTGGTCAAGTTTCAGTCTAAAGTGAATAACTTCTCAAGTAAGGATGAGAGCTGTATAGTTCAGGTGGGTAGCTGCGTCAGCATGCGTAGGCTGCAAAGGAACAAGTAATAGGTTTATTCCATGCTGGAAAAAAGAAGAGAGAAAACACAACTTTTCGGCTGTGGAGCCTTCTTCAGGTGTGAGAGAGACAAGACAGTAGGCAAAGGTAATGTAGCGGGAGAACAAAGGCTGAGAGGAGGAGCGAGAGGTGGGAGCAGGGGACAGAAAGAGAGGCAAGGTGTGAAGTCAGAATAGGTGTCGATAGGTGTGAAATGAAACTTCCAATGAAACAAATCATGTTTTGTCTTCTTATTGCTGCCCCTGTTCGGTATTACCCCATCCTAGGAAAGACACCTACTGTATGTCCAACAGCTCCTCGCCTCCAGTCACAGTTTTTAGACTTTGCCAGGTGGCCGGGCATGGGAGTAGGGCAATCCAAAGGAGGCTCACCCTGCCTGCTGTTTTGAGAGGAACCGACAGGATTCAGAGCCTTTTAAACAGGCATTGGAGTTTTGTGGTGTTATTCACTTATTACAGATCCACACTGGGATGAAGTCTCACATTAATAAAGTATCCTTTGCCAGTTCAACAGAAATGAAGTAAAATGCAGTTTACCCTTACTTAAGAAAAGGTCTGTATCTGTGTGTATTTCAGGAATTGTGCATTCAATTTATTAACAAATTGTAGTGTCTTGCTTTTTTTTAGCCTGGAAGAGTGGTAACATTGGTGGAAAATCCTGAGGTAAGATGTATTAAGTATTTGTTTCTAAATTCATATTTTGCACTTAAAATATTAAAAACCTAGAGAATGTCTTTGCATCGCTTGCACTGAACGTAAGTATGGAGAAGGTTTTGGGAGTAAAATTGGCCAGCATAGATGATCTCATTTTACAGGCTTTCTCACATCAGTGCTGGAACCTGTTCAGCATCTATAGATAATACTTACAGTGTTCTGTCCCTTTCTAGTCTTTTATTGTTGCATGCTTGTAAAAAGGACTGAGTAAAAAGCGCTTTGTCAAGCAGGTAAACCATGTACCAGATGTGTACAATAGTCTGTTTCATTTGGGTTTCTCATTATTTAGCTTTGTGGTGGACGTTTTACACTGATGGTTAGGATCACGGCGTCAACAAACTGTAGTCAATGCTAAATTCTAGAGCTTTAACATTGGGACCTGTTCATGGCCTTTTCCTTCATTTATCTTCTCGAAATTCTAGGGAGAAAGAATTACACATTTGTTTCAAACGTCAGTTAATGGATTTTAATTTATCAAAGGTGTTGCTTCTGAGTGTCTGAGATTGACGCTCATTTGTCTTCTTGCTTCAGTAATACATTCAGTACGACCATGTGTTATGTTATGTGCATTTAGTGTTGCTCAGTGGGTGACTTTCTGTCTCTGCAGGGATGCGTCTGGGGCGTGGCTTACAAGCTGCCGTCTGGGAGGGAGCAGGAGGTGAAGGAGTATCTTGATTATAGGGAAAAGGGAGGATACAGGGTAACAACGGTGACCTTTTATCCCAAGCAGCCACCTGCACAGCCCCTGCACACACTGCTCTACATCGGGAGCTGTGACAATCCTAACTACCTGGGCCCAGCACCACTGGAGCACATTGCCCAGCAGATTCTATGTGCTGTAGGGCCCAGTGGGAGGAACACCGAGTACCTCTTTGAACTGGCCAACGCTGTTCGGGACCTGGTGCCTGAGGACTCTGATGAGCACCTCTTTTCCCTGGAGAAATTAGTCAAGGGTCTCCTGAAGGAGAGGGGAGGCTAAGTGTTTCCAAACTGCTTCCTGCCATTCAGCACCCGCGGTACAAACTATGATGTACTTGAATCAGACGGGACAGGATGTCGAACACTACCTACAGTTTACCTACAAGTTCTTTGTGTCCAAAACGAATTCCAAAAACTTACATTCAGCAAAAATGTTATCGATACCAAACAAAAACTCTGTAGTCCATGGTCATGAGAGAGAACACTCTGAAATTGAATGTCCTTTGATGTAACTATACATGTCCATTTGTATACTGTAAAAAAATAATAAATAATTTAAATGTGTTGATGTTGTTTTCACTAATCAAATGCTGAATCAGAGTTAAGAGGCAAAAAGAAGGACTTTTTAAAAATAGTAAGATGTTCGATTTATAATAGATGGACATGACTGGGAGTGACAATGTGTCAAAAACATTTACTGTTTATGTTCTTTAATGTTGATTTATCCTACTGTAGTTTATTACTGTATTTCATTTAAGCACAGTGCTTGCTAGCAGTTTAAAGGGCTCTATTTAGCGCTTGGAAAGTGGCAACTTCCACTGATGAGCTCTCAGGGAACAGAGCACAAGACTATAGATGTTTGAATACATATTTAATTGACTTCTCAATAAGCTTACAAATCTAAAATATAATAATAAAGAGGTGAAACTAAAGGTTTTTTAATGCATAATATCTCACAGGTGTTGTGGGCTAGTTGTATTATAAATGCACAGAAAGGATTTCCAGTGTCTAGAACACAGCAAGTTCTCCTGATTCTCAGGACCACAACAGAACCATTGAAGAATCTGTCACTACAGGATTAGTTTATCTCACAGCTCATTTTCTGCAGTGTCCAAATTGCATTATAAATGGAAAATATATTCTCACAGTTTGAATGTTCCATACAAATTTCCTGGATTAGCCCTGCATCTCTTTCCTTTTTCATTTTCATGTTTAATGCATGTTCACGTATATAACAATCCTTGATAATGGTAGTTTTAATGTTTTTAACAACATAATTGTGACTTGATAAAGGCCCTCTCAGCAGTCACACATGGGTTAATGATTTTGAAGCATTAAACATTATTAGTTTATTGTTTATGATTAATAATATGGTTGATCTCTTTAACTCCCTCTCCCATCCATTAGAACTAGCCAAAAACCTCACTTGAATAACACTGAACATGCTGGTGAATTTTTAGTACAGAGTCAGTGACAGTGTTTACGAAAGAAATGCAAACATAATAAACTGACCTTATCTTGTGACTTGAACCAAAACTTACCCATGACATAACAGATGACGTGTGAAGACCTTTAAGAACATGTTCTTCATTTACAACAAATATATGGCGTTTGCTCTGTTAATTTTACCTCAAGCAAAGCTTTATCAGTTTGTGGTATGTTGAAGAATACAGGGTGGCACAGTGGTGCAGTTGTTAGCAATACTGTAGCTCTCGGTTCAGTTCCAGACCTGGGTGCTATCTGCATGGAGTTTTTATGTTTTCTCCAAGTTTGTGTGGTTTTCCTCTTGGTGTTTCACAGTCCTAAACATTTTGATATTTGACTTCTGGGAAAAGTGGCCCTAGGTGTGAGTTATTGTGTGTCTGCCCTGCAACGGACCTCCATGGTGTGCCCTGTCCTGCATGTTTCCTTCCTGGGGTTGTTGCTTCCACTTGGCATCTTGCCCAGCAACAATTATCAGTTAACGTGGTGTACTGTACATCGTCATTTAGGTGATAACTTTAGAATTACGCCATTCTTTGAAAATGGTTTCTCTCTTACGGTTGTATATATTCCATAATGGAATTGGATGCAGTCTAGAGACGACTCATTTCCTACATTAGCGGAATAAAGGAGTTTATGTCTACTATAAGTGAACCTTTTAATTACTGACTAGAGAAGACTATAAGCAGAGCCCATTCGAGTGTTCAAAATCATCAATCATACGCATAGGCAAATTCATCTCAAGCACCTTCGCCAGAATAGTGAAGCGCATTTTAAACTGGCTGCAGTAGACACCATTACACAGAAGGCTGAAGAACAGAAATGCGTTCTTTGTAATTTCCGATTAACAGGATCTGTTCATCTCTAGGATGCGACTGGGTTAACTGGACGGAAACAATGACAAACAGTTACTAAAACGACTCCCTTTAACAAGTTTTACCCGGAAGTGTTGATGTTTCACAGAAATGTGTACCGGAAGAAGACGTGGCAAGCAATCGCTCTTTTTCCTGTTCAGCTTGTTGACAAATGAATTGTCGCCAGGTGCGGATTCTGAAACCCCCTGTAAGATACATTAAACAGGATCTCTGTCGTATGAGGGAACAGCGGTCTTTCACAGGAAAATGAAGTCCGGGGAGATGTGCAGCAAACAGTTGGCGCTTCTGTGGGGGCTTCTGGAGGTTTGGAGCGCCGCCGTGACGGCCAGGGGGGGGTCGCCTACTTTCACAGATGACATCCCGTTCAAGATAAGATGGCCCGGACCCGAGTTCTCTCTGGTAGGTGTACTGTGTGGTGTTTGTGTGAGAGATAGTGACTGAGTCGTGCACACGATTATCTGATTGTATACTGCTGATGGTATTAGTTGATAAATGTGATAGCATAGTAAAACCTCAAAGATCCCAATGATGATAATAATAATCGAAATTATTATTTGAGTTGTGTCAAACTGGAACTTGCAGGGAGACCGGACATGTAAGACATCTAAAATGTTATTTTGTCTTATTTAATTAACGCATCCAAAGCCAAAAATAAAAAATTGATTAGGTATTCTTGACCTACTGTGAGATTGACTTTTTGAAACATATTTGTAACATATTTAATTCAAATCTCTAAGTAGTGAGAGATGTACACTATTTGTGTAAAGTAGAAAGCAGAATTCTGACTTACACATTAGTCCAGGGAAGTGCAATCCCCATCCTGAGAGGCCAGTGTGTCTACTGGTTCTCTAGACCTCTTCAAAGCACTGACAACATTTTTAAACTGGTCTCATTAAACCAGTAATGGACTGGTTTAAGTCATTAATGACTGATCTGAATGCCATTTCCTGCACTAGAGATTAAGAATCATCTGTGTCTTTTTATATGTAATGTGAAGTGTTCATTAAAGCTACAAGTTTTGCTGCCTCTTGTTCATAACCTGTTTACTCAAAATGTGAGATCCTCTGTTTTTCCTCTGGGGTTTTTAGAGTTCTGGGGACTCCTGACGTCTTCAAAGACTGTTCAGGAGGAAAGCGAGACTTTACCTCAACTACAGTAGTGTGCAAATCAGCATTTTTAACCTAGTGCATCTACTTTGACAATCATTGTTGTTAATACATTGACCTACAGTTCTGCTTTTAATGTTTTAAAATTAATAATTATTTGTAATTAATCACAGATTTCACTTTTATGATTCATAACTGTGTTCTCAGTGACAGGGATTTTGTGAAAAGTAGTACTCTAGCCCTTATTTTATGAATTAGTCATTTGTGTGTGATTTTTTTTCATGCAACTCTGACAGCCAACCTCTGGTGCCCTGTATAGAGAAGACGACTTCATTATTATGACAACAACAGACAAGGAGAAATATAAATGCATGATACCATCCTTGTCAGGTGGAGATGAGGTGAGTCTGGGTTGACAGACAGCTTTTTTTAAATACATTTTTCTTCTTATTAGCTGTACAAAAGACAAATAGTATTTTAAATGACAAAAGGGAGAATAATGATAACAGTTACCTGTGGCTTCTGATACGGTGTTCCAAAAAGCAAACATAAAGATGATGACTTCGATATCCAGTAGTTCAAATTTGAGTTGGAATAAAAATTAAAAACAAGCATCTCTTTGCATATTCAAGGTAATGGTTCTAGCATTAACCATTTACGATTCTATCGCTTTCTCTGTACTGTTCTTTTTCATATTGTTCTTTCTACCAAATCAGGATGAAAACAAAGTCTACACTGGCCCTAACCCTGCTGCTCTGCTGGAGCCACTCTTTAGACAGAGCAGCTGTTCCTACAGGGTGAGAGATAGAAGAGGAACCAGTCTTCCTGTTGCTCTGTTGTGTGGTATTGTTTCACTGAATTCTGCCTGATGTAATTGCCAGGTGTTCCCTGAACCCTCTTATATACAGTACAGTGCTAGGATATTTTGCCCCAGACGATATTTATCATTTGTCACAGGAATCCAGTTTCTTGAAAGCTATACAGTATTTCAATACTCAGCTTTTTTTCTCATGAGCCAAAAGGACTACATGGCCTCCTCTCTCCTCATTTGTAACCTTTCTTAGTCATTATCTAATGAATAAAAAAACAGTACTTTGTGAGAGTGTATGAGAGTATAGACTTTTGCTTTTACTAGTAGGGTAGAAAAACACATGACAAACCTACACTGCCAGCTGTCAGATGATCACATCTAGCCCCGCAGCTAAAAATGCTAGTGTTATAAGCACTGGTAAAATGAAAATCAGATAATTGAGCCTTACAAAATATGGAGATTTTTTGTTAACTTTTACAAAAATCAGAACCTGTATCATAACGTTACGTTCATGGATCAGCCTGGCACTTTGTGGAGTAAGGGCCGTTTGTTGTAGGACAACTGTGGTGTTGATGTCTTCTGTGACAGTTCACTCAGACCCTCGTGGATTGTGTTTCAGATTGAGTCCTACTGGACTTATGAAGTGTGTCATGGGAAGCATGTGCGACAGTATCATGAAGAGAAGGAGACTGGACAGGTGAGTGTGTGGAGGGGTGTAGACCATAGGCTGCTTCAGAGATGGGCCATTCCTGTCTCCACTCCACAGCTGGATCCGAAAGCTGCACAGCTTTTAGACTGTACTGTTTTTAGACTGTGTTCATTATCTCCTGTTTCCTGTAATGCACCATTCTTTTTGAAGTTAACCAAAACAACAGTTCATTAAACATTAGAAAGAGGCCTTGTTTATTGATGACTTTTTTTTTTTGTGCTGCAGAAAATAAATATCCAGGAGTACTTCCTTGGAAACATGATTAGAAAGAGTGAACCATCACCAGCAGGTAAGTCAGATGTGTGAAAGTTGTCTTTCATTGAGATGGGCCAGAAACAAACCCTAGTCTTATTTGGCAATGGGTCATACTATTTTAAATTGAACAAAATATCTGATGGAACCTTTATATTTAAACCTTTCTCAGTATTAGTATGCACTGTAATTGTGTCTTCTGACTTTGTGTTGACATATGTATTCTAAAACGCAAGTAGGGCAATATTTCTCATGAAATTTAAGTATTATTTAAAGAAATTGTTTAACATTCTGATCCGTTTTTAAAGCCTATATCTTTTTACTCAGATATGTTGGTTATTGTTGTTTTATTAAAAGAGTCTGATATCTATTCTACAGGACCTGAATCCGAGAAAGTGGAAGAAAGTGACACAGAAAAACAAACTGAGACGGAGGTTAGTGGAGTAATTTTATAGTTGTGTTCTATACCTGTGAATGTATTTGAAATAATAAAGTAGCATTTGTCAAATGACATCTCAAATTCACTTTGCATTTGTAGAAATGTATTTTACAATATATGCAGAGCAAATCATGCTTGCAATTTGAAACACCAAGGTTTGTTGAAAGCATGTAATGCCAAGAACATCCTCTAGATGGAGCCTCTTGCTTTTGTTTTCTAGCATCCAACACTGCTTTTGTAAAATCTGTTTTCAAATTACGTGATATCTCCAATGTTTAAAGAATAAGCCCATTTTATCTTAAACATATTTAGGAATAAGTTTAATGTTAGTCACCTATTTGAAGATCTTATCTCCCAGAGATTGTTAACTTGTGTTGTTTTTTTTTGTTCTTTAGGTTCCGACTAAGAACATAGAAGGCCAGCTGACACCTTACTACCCAGTGGAGATGGGAAATGGCACACCCTGCATTCTGAAGCAGAACCAGCCGCGGTCCACCACCATCATGTATGTCTGCCATCCAGAGGCCAAGCACGAGATCCTGTCCATTGCTGAAGTCACCACTTGCGAGTATGAGGTGGTGGTGCTGACACCCCTGCTCTGCAGCCACCCCAAGTACAGGTACAGCCTCTCAGTAGATGCCTCTCTAGACTCTAACACGTGCAAGATAGGATTTGTTTGCTTTCGTATTATATTGATGAGGAGCTTCATGCTATGTAACGATGTACTTAAAAACGCCTTTCACCTGATCTGATAAATTCAGCAAGTAGACAGAATGGCTCTGTATTGAGACTGCTCTCTCTGTGTACACTTACCCTGTGCTCGTAAGGCTTTTGTGCTGCTTCCACAGGTTTAAAACCTCGCCGGTCAATGACATCTTCTGCCAGTCCCTGCAAGGCTCCCCTCTTCGGCCCCAGCGCCTCGCCCAGCTGGACCGTGAACAGGAAGAGCTGCTCAGGCCGCCCTTCAGCTCCACCCAGGACAGAGAGGTAAGGGACTTTTGCTGGTTAATACCTCCTAGCCTCCCTCAGTCTGTTTACACTCTGCGGTTCATTTGTGACTCCTTCATGCTGCAGCCCAGTGACACGATTGCAAGTGAATCTGTAAGACCTGGTGCTATGGACTTCCTACAGTTTCTTTGCCAAGACTGGCTCTTTGCAATGTATTTAGCACCAGATTTCTTTCATAGGATTCTGATATTTAGTTGCACCACAAATGACTGAAAATGACCTAACTCACCAGTAAAAATGTTTTAATCCTTAAGAATTACAGCCTGGCTGCTTTTTATCTTGTACATCAATGTTTATTTCACATGATTTCTAACCAAGCTCTGGAATAAGGATATTGCATGAATAGGGTTCATAACCCATGTCTCTTTTCCTTCCCTGAGAGGAGGAGGCTTCTTCACTGAGAGAGGAGCTCTTCTCTTCTACACATAAGCCCATCAATGTGGGGGGGCAGGCGCAGGCGCAGGTGGCAGTGGGCACCACTCATATCTCCAGGCTAACCGATGAGCAGCTCATCAAGGAGTTCCTCAGTGGCTCCTACTGCCTGCATGGGGTAAGTACCTGAAAGAGCACAATACATAGCCACACTTGCCAACACTGGGTGTGTGGATAATGCTACACAGTAAACTGACAGTAAAATCTATAGTCCAACAGCACAGCAGAAACTGTTCATTATATACAATTAATGTTGTCTAAACTTATTGTGCAGATCTGTCTACCCTCAGGATATAAAAAATACTGCTGCAGTGATCAGCTAACAAGAAACTTAGTGTAGTTATCCATAACTGTCTCGGTAGTTTATTTATAGTTCAGCATTAGTAACAATTACTCCTTTTGGCCTGGCTATTATATACAGTGGGCTTGATGAATGAATGTAGCAACAGAGTAGCGCAGCTACTGACAGAATTACACTGAAACTTTCTTTTTTTTTAGGGAGTCGGATGGTGGAAATATGAGTTCTGTTATGGGAAGCATGTGCACCAGTATCACGAGGTGTGTCATTTGTTTCAAATAGTTTTGTCATTGCATTGTTAACACTATTTGACGTATACTCAGAATCCAGTAAAAATAATAGCAGATGTTCTTGGATTTGTGTTGCTTACATAGTTCACTGAAACACTTAATGAATTTACTCAGTGAATCGGAATTAAAACTTAAGTCTCTTTTTACTTCCAAGGACAAAGAGTCTGGAAAGAACATTGTTGTGGTGGGGAACTGGAATAAAGAGGAGCATTTGGAGTGGGCGAAAAAGAATATAGCAAGATCCTACCAGCTGAAGGATGAGGCTGTTCCGAAAGTAAAGTATGTCCTTTTCTCTGTTCTGCACATTCCTCCTGTTGTCTGGAACACTAACTGAATAGATGTCTCTGTGGAGCTGAGAAAACGTGACTAATCAAATTTTGAATTTGAAGCTACTGAAAGCAGCAGTGCAAAGCCCTGTCTTTGTTTCATGCCTTTCCTTGGAATGGGGCTCTTGCAGTCGCACAAGTTGTTGCCGTGTGATGCAAAGACATGCAGGCTAGCCACAGCCTGTGTCACATGCTCAGTTTTGTGCACTAGTCACAGTACTGTAATCATAGGACAAAACAACAGAGTGGTAATGGAGATATATTCTGGAGAATCACATTCGTTTCACCCTGCTGTTTTATTAATTTCCTTAATAACAAATACGGATTGTTGTCTAAAACTTGTCAAAAAAGAAACTAGAAACATACTAAATTATAGCAAAACTGTTTTGAAAATATACTTTTGAGCTGCATTAATTATATGATGCATTTCCCTTCCCTTGATTTGCTGGCATTCTTGAGTTATTGCATTTGCATGATTTGTAAAACATGCCCTTTTGTTACCTGTGTTTACAGAGTGGTTTCCCATTTCTATGGCCATGGGGATGTGTGTGACCTGACTGGAAAACCCAGACAAGTGATCGTGAAACTTAAGTAAGTAATAAACTTCAAAACATAGTAAATTCAACCTTTACATGTCTCATACTTGCTTCCAATGCTGTGTTACTTTCTTGAGAGCAAATACAGTATTTGTGGAATACTTAAGTAACATTTTCCCCCAACCTCCTCTTTGAATGCAACAGGTGCAAGGAGTCCGAATCCCCTCATGCTGTCACTGTATATATGTTGGAGCCGCAGACCTGCCAGTACATCCTTGGGGTGAGTGAGATTATGATCCTTCTAGTGCTCAAATATAGCAACAGCACAGCTACTCAGGGTTACACAAAAGTACAAAACTAAAAAGAAATCCAGTGCCGTTTTCAATTTGTCTGCCTTTCAATGCTACTGAGAATTTTTGAAAAAACGTTTGATAACCCTTTTTTATGACTAAAGCTGTGATCGTTTAAAAAAAAAAGATATCAAAACTACCCTTTTTTTTATATTATCGAACGTCATGCAGGCTGTGGCATCTGTCCGCGGCGTTATCAAAAGTTTTTGTTTTTTGTGCTCAATTAGGTGGAATCACCCGTTATCTGCAAGATTCTGGACACAGCAGATGAGAATGGGCTGCTTTCCATTCCAAGCTAGCCTGTAACTGCAAGAGACACAATAGGAGTGATCCAGACGGATGGCCTGCGTGGCTCGCTATGAAGGTGGATCAAGGGAGACAGGTCCCCCCAAGGGCCCGAGCTTTGTCAACCAGAACACCAACCTCAGGACAGCAGTACCCTCCCCTGGGGGACAGAAGACGACTGTGCACTTGCTTTGGCAAAATTGTGTGTGTGTGTGTACTGTATATATGAGTGTAAATACAATTTAAAAAGGCTTTTATTTCTGAGGAAAGATGTGATTAAATTGAGGATTATTGTTAAAACTGTGGGTGAATGAATTGTTAATTACCTGTGCTTGTTATTTAAAGTTTGAAAATGATTGATTTTTTTTTTTCTGTTAAGAAATGCTTCAAGAGGAACGTCTAAAACTACATAGACATTTTCATAACAATACTACCTGGTTTAGGGAGGCAGTATTTTAATGTTACAAAACATTTTGGAGTCAATGAAGGCTAAACCCCTTTAATGTCTACACTTTCTGAGTCCTGTTTCAGAAAAGCTCTCTTCAAGAGGAAAACAGTAGAAGAAGAGGGTAGGCGTGTGTTTTCATGCCTGTACCTTTAATACTTAAGAAAGTTTATCACAGAGCCATCCTGCTCATGTTAGTGCAGCAATCCAGCAGAGGGAGCTCATTACTTTCTTTGCTCTTTCTATGGTACACCACATTAGACTTCCTGAAAGAAGCTGTTGAAATGAGACCTCAAAGCAGAACTGCAGTAAATCAGTAGAGCTTCACTCTTCTGCTTGTTATGTTGTGTAATTTTCAAGATCTGAATATGTAAATCTTGCCTGTAAAAAATGAGTTCTCAACAAGTCAAATTCCATGATTTTCCCTGTATGTTACTTCTTTTTGGTTTGCAATAAAATACATCACCTTAGCCAGTTTCTTAGAGTATCGTTTTAGAAAAGCCCTTTGCTGTAGTTTTGTTGTAAAAAGGACAGATTTTCAAAATTTAAGAGGAAATGCACTTGTAATACATTTAATTAGTTAATAGAAAATGTATGAGACTCAACGATACAATCTTTTTTATGGAATAAAAGACAATAGAATCTCAATATTACAATATGCAAAATGCAATATCAATGTAAAAATAGAATTCTGGCAGTCTTACTGTCATAACATGTGAATAATACTTTGGGTTCTTGTTAGAGATTAAATTTCATAAAGGGGCACCAAACCATACAGTAATGATGACATGAAGATACATTCATTCAGAGTTCAAAGCCATATGGAAAAGTTTAGAGGAATCAAGCCCTGCATGAAAGCCTCATCTCTCCAGGTCTCACACAGAGGGCATAGGAATCTGTCGTGCAGAGGTGCTCTCATAGTCCTGCAGCATGTCTTTGCGTGTGTGATAGTGCATGGCTACATAGGACTTGGCAAAGCCAAAGGTAGAGTTGACAGGCTGCAAGCTATTAGGTGAGCTGATTTCCTGGGAAGGACTACTGTTGTAAATGCTGTAGTAAGGCTCAATACGGGTGTTGATGGGCGTGGAACTGCTTTGGGCATGGGGCTGGTGGCCACCTGTTGCCTTGGGACTCAGTATGCTGTCCCTGGAGTGGCTGGGCCCACAGGCCTGGTCAACTAGCTTTCTCTGGTGCTTAGGGGAGAGCATGTAGGCAGAGTTTGTTTCGTGGTGGGATGACTTGTTCCTGTTGACTTCAAGGCTGCCCTTGCCCATCGCACGCAGACGAGTCTTCTGTTTGCAACACAAAAAGCCAAGAGCCACATACTGCAGACACCACAGCACCCTGCGACGCAGGCCTGCGCTGTTCCGGGAGTAAATGAAAGGATTAATCCCGGACTTGAGGAATATTAGTGTGAACCCACAGAGCTCAAACTGGTAGAGGATGAAGCTGCTCTCTGGAGAGAGCACATCCTGCACCAGGGAGATGCCCATAGGAAGACAGCAGAGCAGGACGGACAGCACAATGACCACGCAGGTCACAACTGCTTTCGAATCCTTTGCTGTGGCCAGATTAACTGAAGATACCAGCTGGAACTTGGTCCCACCAGTGCCAGTCTGACTCATTTTTTTGGTGTATGGGTGAGTTTGCACATGCTGAAGCTTGTTGTACGTCTGGTTCCGATAGAGAGCAGGGACAGTGCATTGCATTCCCTCGAAGCCTGTAGCAATAAGGGGCTGCGGCCGAGAGGCATCAACGGTGATGATGGGGCATTTCCTCACTTGGGCATTCTTCCGCAGTGCCTGAGCGATCATCACATAGGACACAGATACAATTCCCACGCAGAAGGCAAAGTCCACCAGATATAAGTACAAGATTATCTTTCCATCACCACCAATGAGCCCAAAGTGAGGCAGGCAGACCCTAGATTTCCAGGGGTATGTACGCAAGGTGACCAGGGTGGCCAAGGTGAAGCTGGTGGTCCACAGCAAGACAGTGAGCATCAGTGTACAGGGGAAGGAGGCAGTGCGGTTAGGCTGCTGCCCTAAGACCATGCGGAGCCGGTGCAAAGCAATCACAGCTACTGTCTTGAGGGACATGATGATGAAGCCTGAACTAGTCAAGTGGAAGGTGAAGCAGAACTCTTTAGACACACCACTGCCTGAGTCAAGGAACAGCACAAAGGCGAACATGGGTGCCGTGACGCAGCAGATGAAGAGATCACAGAACGACAGATTCAGAATCATGAAGTCAAAGTTTGTCCTGAACTTCCTGAAAGCTGGATCAAAGAAAGACAAAAAGACTACCAGGTTACCATAGGAGCCAAGACAGAATATGATGACCAACAGGAACGAGCAGGTAACTAGAGTAGCAGTGTGGATTAGAGCCCCACTAGGCAAAACCAGGTTTCCTGTTCCATTGTAGGTCTCCTGCAGGCTCTCTTCAGCCAGCTGCATGCTGGGGGTACTGATGTTCATCTTCGTGGAGGTCTGTATCACAAGATAGACGTACTTCCCATGAGTGCTTTAGAGACAACAGTAGACTGTTGCTACTCCGGCATCAGTTAGGTGCACCTGCAGAAATAAAACAGTAGTACATTTTCCTCCTGATAGTATAAAGGAAATAAACACAGAAAATATTTTTTTATTCTATGGTGGCAGGCGTAATTAGATCCTATTAACCTAATTAACATTGAAATACATCTCCACTTTGTCTTACATTAATTACATCGGGTAAGGCAAGGGTAAACGGGGTATATTAATGCATGAAAAGAACCGGGAAGCCAAGACACCTTAAGCAAACGCTGAAAGAATGATGAAAATGATCAAACTGCTTAAATATTTTGGAAAATGAGCATTGAAATCTTTAATAAGGACAAAAGTTGTAAATATCAATGCAAATTTCTTTAAACCATTGAGATGTTCATCAACGTCTCCCTAAAACGATATCCTGTAATCACTGAATGCCAATACTGAACTTCTAACTACTCTACATGCTATATATTGGTTACCATACTGAGACATATATATATATAAAACGACATACATTATTTATTGCATTAAATACAATTTAAGGAAGTGCGTACAGGAGATATGTTAAGAACCGATGTTCATGTGTTAGACCTCCGTGCCTGATTAGAAACCCTCACACTCAAAATAAAGTTACTACTGCGATTTAATTAACGTAGATATTAATCACTTGAGAAACACCGTAACAGCACATGACACAACAGCAAGACAGCACAAACGATTTGAAACGTACGACCCTTGACTCCCAACGCAGAACAGCCGCACAACGATCCAACACCCCACCACCACAGGAATAGATTTGTAATCACCGTTTCTGCAGATGATGGGCGTGCGGTAACATATATACATATATCTCATATACATACCAAGGATTTTCGATCTTAACTTCCCATAAGATATACCATACACAGAATTTACAAAAGAAGATAAGTACATTTCGGTAAGATTTTGTAAAAGGCTTTTGCGCACATACTTTATCCGCGCGTGAGACCGCAGTATTAAAGAGGAGGAGGATGAGGAGGAAAATTGCAAACAATTGATGTGACATTAAATCTCCCCCAATCTTCGTTGTAGCGCGTATGGAGAAAATAATCTATACGTTTTTTTAAATAAAAGCACAGTCAAAACAACGAATTGAAAAGAACCGGGACTACGTTAAATATTGCACTTGCCTGCGGCATCTTTCGGTGACAATTTCTGGAGCCACTCCGCGCTCATAATTTCTTCCATTTTCAGGAGATTTTCCTGCAGTAGTCGATGGTGTCCTCCAGGCAGGAGATGCGAAGAGGGTTGTGAAGTCACAGCCGACGTCTGCGCGCAGCACCAACCTTATTTGTAAACCTGGATACATGATCCTGCAGCTTGGCTACAGCCGACACAGGGAGAGGAGAGAGGGGTGTGTGTCTGAGTGTGTGCAGAGAGATGGGAGGGGAGCGGAGGGGTGGTTGAAAAGCAAGCAAGTGGGGTCACATTTTGGTCACTCTACATTTCACAATCACCTGTCACATCTGCTTTAAAACGAGTAGAGCTGCGTGCGTCTGTGACATATGTATACGTGTTTATACCTCATGCATATGTACAGTATGCATATAAAATACTGAAAATATATTCTCCTAAAGATCAGTCTAAAGCAAATCTGCATAATTTAATTTTTGCCCATATCTGCAATTTGGCACCGTACGAACACTGCCTCGATCTTTTTCCCCCAGGGCTGTAACGTGACCAGCATTCGTGAGGGACTCAAAATTCACCTCTTTTCTCTTGCACGGGCGGGAGAACTGCCACAATTTGTTTTTCTGCTGGCTATTGGCCACAGCAGAACTTCCTAGAGGGAAGGGCTGCACTACCGAACATAACAAGATGTAACGGAAAAATATACAAGCACCATCTGACAGCTTAGCTTGATGTTTGTGGGACACTTCTTATGGACCAACCTAGACCCCATTCCCCATGCTTTCTCATCATGTATTCAACTTTGATTAATCTCTCATTTTCTAAAGACATCATCACAGCATCTTGCATTTTTAAGAGACTCCACTCTGCCTCTTAGTACTAGTCACAGCAGCACCCACCTGCCCTGTTGCTTAATCAAATCAAATTCATTTTATCAGTGAGTCATCCCTAAAGACAATACGTTTCTATTAAATATTAACCTACATCATTACAAGGTACCTGCCTTGAGAGAAAATACTGCCAGTATTACCATGCTAATAGGTCAGACTGGAATAGATTCATGTTTATAAAGATTGTGAGAAATTACTGTCAGTATTGCTATGCTAATATGCCATGTTGTATAAGAAGGATAACTAATAATATTCTGAATTTTATATTTTTAATCACAAACCATCTCAGACTTGTTTGTCAAAGCTATTTACTATTACTACTACTATTACTCTAAGGGTGCTATTTACTCTTACAGTAGGGTGCATGTACCCTGGAAATTTGGCAGGACACCACTGTCCTTATTTACAGGCTCTTTAATGACAAATTATTCAAGACATTGGTTTAACACTTCATCTGAAGGACACCTTCTCTAGTACTGGTGCAATGGATTTTTGAAATTCTGGTCTGACGTAAAGAATGTCATCAACTGGTCTACTGACAATACATGCGATAGCAGGCTGGCTTTCTATGGAGATCTCCATGCCAGATCTGAGCTGGCTCAGCATTGTCTATCGTCTGAGATCTGACTAGATCGTTTTATTTCAGTAAAACCTTACTTATATCATTTATCTGCACGGGACCTGTGTACCATGTAGATGCCTTGAAATCTTGGTAAATACTAACTTTCTAAAGGTTTGAACCAAACCTTTCATGCTTCATAGATTTGGAAAAAAAAAAGCATATACAGGTACAGTATAGCACTTGTTTGGTAGGAAGCAGTAAAATTGAGTTAGGCTTGTCTGTAATCCTGTAAAGTGTAAAAAAAAAAACTTTATTAATGTTCACTGCAAATGTTCAAGATTTGTAGGTATTAAACAGAACAGGTTTACTCAGAAATCAACAACAGCACAACATCCCCTCCCTCGCTACTTTAAACAGAGGACAGAGCTGCAGATATTTTTTATTTATATACTGTACATACGCAAAACAACAAGAGGTGGAGAGAGATTGGAAATGAAGGGGGCTGTTGTCTCCTGCAGTTACGCCTGAATACAGTGTGTGCAGCAGAAAAACAAACTATTAGAATTCAGGTCTTGTATTCAGGAAATGAAGAGCATGAAGTGAGGCAAAGGGATCACCATGGGAACCAGGAGGAACACCACACTGCAATCAGTTTAACTTTGCACAGCTGAATCTCCTGCAGCCTCCCCTCTAGGCCTGCCCACCTGGCAGCCTCTTCCCTCACACAGGGCCAAAGCAAGACAACCCAAGGCCCTTTGTGCAACTCCATCTGTGTGTGGAAGCATACTTGTGAACACTGGAGTTTTTGTCAATATTTCTGTGTTATGTAATAGAGTCTGGATAGATCTGCTTACTTGCTCAGTGCTACTGTGTCTCCGACATTTTTTGTTGTTGCTGGTCAGTGCTGAGGAGTGTTGATGAATATGAATAAAAAGATAAAATAGGTTGATTGTTCCATTGGACAATATGCAGAACCACTGTGACACCATGACTTTACAGGGTGCCCACCTACTATACTCCCATATGGCAGCTTTGAGCCATGTTCTCTAACCGGTATCTCCCATATTTTTTCTTATGAAGTGGAAATATCATGTTTGTCAGTATTTGTCAGCTTGCAGAATCACAATCATAATTAAGTTTTGTCTGCAGCAGAAATGGTTAGAGGCATGCTCACTACGTCAGAATGGCATAATGACACTATAATGAAGAAAGCTCATAATTCACAAAGAATTCCAATCATATTCCTGCATTTTCTTCACTTAAAGAAAACATTTCTGAACTATTGGTTAACTAAAATATTGGTGAGCCATGGAAACTAAACCAAGAAAGCAACTCCCTAACAACACAACAGTTATACCTACAGTTATACCTACAGTTACCCACCTGAAGAAGGCTCCACGGCCGAAACGTTGTGTTCTCTTTCTTCTTTTTTTCAGCATGGAATAAACCTATTACTTGTTCCTTTGCAGCCTACGCATGCTGACGCAGCTACCCACCTGAACTACAACTACCTACAGTTATACCTAGCTATAAAAGAGAGAAATTATTTGAATTCCAGCTAATTCTCTGAAGGGCCCTGAATATTTAACTACAGTGAATTTAAATCAAGACTATGTAAATGATATATTGAATAAGAGTCTTTCAACGTAAACTTGTCTTTGACAAGCTGCCTGCTTTTCCATTTATCTTTGTGTGCCTGGAACCTGTGAAAGGTGGAGAGTGCAAATGCTCTGCTGTGACAAGCTGTGTGAATTTAACAGCCGATGTGCAAGATAAGCAATGTTAAGGCTAAAGCACCACTTATCATTGCAACACTATAGAATGATACTGTTATCAGGACAACAACAATACATTCCAATATTTTTTTTTATTGATTTAGCTGTGCAGAAAGTTAGAAACACTCTCCGGAACCATTACAAACTTCATCCATGTATCAGAATTTACAGGAAATCAATAAGTATAGATGAGCCATGGTTAAATAATGAGATGCAGCATTTGTAATAAACAATCCATTTATTGTCTTTTAAATAAGCAAACTACACCTAAAAATCACTGCATTTTTGGCACTACACTATATAGTGGTTAAGAACACGGTCTGGACCTCTGTGAAGTACAAAACAGAGAAAGTACTCAAATTTGCTTCAAGTGTTTAAAAAATAACCCAAACCATTAACAAATGAAATATGGCAAACAATGTTTTTGAGATATTTAAATTAAGTTCACCACACATATTGAAGGATTACCAAGTTAAAAAAAATAATGGTGAAGCATTAATACTCTGAAATGAATTTAATGTGTTGTCTGCTCTGGACGGAGAAGCTGAATTGATATCCCAGTCATATGCCATCATAACCACAGAGTGCAGAGAGAAACAATGCAAAACCAGCAGAGCACTGCTGTGCATTTCAGTGTCAGGATAGTCACATGCACTCCACATTATGCCGATCACTGAAATCTAATCACAAACCAAAGCTATGGCTTACCTCGGCGATACTTTCAAGGAGTAAAAAGCACTTTTGAAAATAGATATATATTTAAAAAAAATCAAAAAAAATAAAACTTGTTAATATGGCATATGATCTGAGTATCTAAAATAACCACTATACAGTTTAAACCATTGACTAATGCAAATCTTTACAAAGGAATATATCCAAAGATACATTACAGTAAAGATTACATTATGTACAACATAATTGGTTAGTGGCAAATCTTTCAATTTGTACAACTCTTTTACACCTATACACAACACTTTAGATGTCTGTCAAATAATCAGCTGCTGCCATCTCCAAGCAGTCCAAGCACTCTTGCAAGCAAAACTGTACAGGAATATTACAAACTTGGCAGACTATTTCTTTCTGCCTCTGTTAACCTTAAATATTAAGTATATTAAAAACGTAAACAAGTGCTAAATACATAAATAAATGTTTCTTATTTCCAAGATATATAAGTATTTTGTTTTCCCACTTCTGGAAAGACTGTGGCTCTTTGTGGGGAAGAAATCCTGTGTAAACCCTCCATTTGTGGCAAGTCAATGTGATCTGTCCGTGTCCATACAAACCAGGTGACTAAAAAAGTAAAAATTAAACAAATTTTCTTGTGTGGATATTCCTCCAAAAACAGCATCACCAGAAGAGGTTCATACAGCATCTAAAAATTAACAGTAAACATGTTGTAATGAGTGGAAGACAAAAAATTAACCACAGATGCATGTTTCACTGATATAACTATACATAACCCTACGTTAGTATTATCTGTCCACTGCTAATAAACAGATGTTCAATAATTACTTTATCTTTTGCAGCAGATTGTTGTTTTGTAGTACACCAAGGGACAGAATTTGTACCTATGTGAATACCAGAATAACATCAATCACAAAACACAAGTTTTGTTAAAGGCTACTATTAACAGGATATCAGTTTAATACTATCCTCAAATACTTTAGAAGCTAATTACAGGAGTGGATATCAGTGATTAAATGAGATCTACACAATCTCCTGGAGTGTTGATCTCTAAGACTGGAGATATTATTAATACTGTAAAATAAGACCACAGCTAACTCCACCCCATTGTTAGTATCCAGGGGGTGGTTGTGTATTTTGATGTGGTAATAGCAATTGTGCAGCAGGTGAAGGTTGTTAACTTTAGTAAGGGCACCTACTGACACTTAATGGGTTTTCCATTGTGCAAGTACATGTAAAGAAGCAGCTGCTGAAACTGATCCATCATGTGTTTCTTCCAAACCAACCAATCCTCTTAGTGGGAGATATCTTTTCTGACAAGCAATTGAAAGAGTTTTTTTTTTTGCAATTGAACGAGTTTGGGTTTATTACAAATTCTTAATTTCAGATGGTAGTACAGTAATCCCTTGCTATTTTACCTTGTGCAACCCCCACATTTTGATCATCCATGTGTTCTAATGCGTGCTGGCCTGAGAGTTCATTTCACCAGAAGAGGAGAGAGAGCAGCCATGAAGTGCGATCTTATTTTTCCTCAGTCAGCCTCTTTTGTAAGTAGACATGTTCACGGCTTTTCTCGCATTTTTAAAGTGTTTACACATATTAGTGTATATGACTGAATTGGGCTTTGATGGTTATGCAAAAACATGCAATAGAGATTTCCTAAATAAAAGTAATAGGTTTTAGTTAAATAACAATAACGAATGAATTAAAATGTTTCCTACATGTGAGAGATAGTGGGAATAGTTCAGTGTTGCTGAGTGATCTAGATCTGTGACGAGTTTGGTAGAAAAATTAAAGTGCATGATAAGTGCAATGTTGCTTAAATGAGAACTGCAACACTATTTTCATATTTCAGGGTTAGAAAGCATCAGCACTGATGAGTGCAATAAAAGTAAAATGTGCACAGTAACTTGTAAAATCTCCAATTTATACCACAAAATAAACTAAATTTCCAGGTATGCGCAGTGCCATATTGTGCGATTCCGAATGAAGAAACAAAACATCCGGTACGGCCCTATGACACTGTAAACAAGCAGGCTTTAAATCCAATAGAAATATTGCATTAGATTTCGACACATTTTTTCTGACAAATACTACTTGTTAACTCTGTATGCAGATCACATTGGAAGATTTCTGTGGTGAAATGTCCGTTTTTATTCACTCGTACATCACATTACAACGCAATTTCTGGGAACTCGAATGCGAGTTTGGAACATGGTAATGTACCTTACTTTCAATTGATTAAATCATTCAAACTTTTTTTTTTTAAGTTTTCCAAATTAATTTTAATTGGATCTTGACTTTTGTTGTCAGATCCTAACCCTATTTTTTCCCATAAGGTGCTATGTTTATCAACCGTGAATTTACCTACAGCAAGAGTTTATGAAGGTAACACTTGTGGTTGTTAAGGGATTACTGTACTGCTGCAGTGTATAGCAATGGTGAATGAAAGGGCAATGAATGTTTTAGATGCTTCATGTTGTGACATTCCAGCCAGGAAATGTCCCAGTGTATGCTTATGCTGCCTCTTTTACTGTTGTAGTTGCAGTTCTGTTCCAGTGTGATTAAAGCAAACAGACCAATGTGCTTACGTGTGCACACATAGCATACTTTTGTATGTGAAACCTCACAACTACACATTTCTGACCACATGACTTGTTGCATTTGTCATTAATTCATACTCAGAAAGCAGCAAAAAAAATGAGTAAAAGGAATCTAATTAAAGATTGGGGTGAAAACACATTTTTCTAAAGTGCTTCAGAACAGCAACAGTGTCAGATTGTAACAGTATTGACAGGTACCCATCTATGCGTAGTAGCAAGGGGACACCAGCAGGTCAGTGAGAACTAGAAGTTGATCATCTGTGAACTGTTGCTTGTGCTCCTGCCAGTTGTCATGGTGCGTCCTGCGGAAATTGGAAAGAGTCTTCTTCACTGTCATCTGAGGACACACAGAGGGAAATCATTCAGTTTGTCATAGGTCATTATTTGCATAATTAAATCTAGTATCTAGGAGGTCAATCTAGTAAAAAAACATACACAAATGGATTAGAATGAGCAGAAGAAAATACATTTTTATCACTTTGTGTATAATACCAAAAAACTTTAGCTACATGTGACCTCTACATGGCAAGAGCATCTGAGGAAGACAAAATGATATTAAGTATATCAATACTAACGCCTCCAGTTAAGTGGCCAGGAGCAGAAATCATACCTCAATGGGCTGAGTGTCATTCAGATGTGCACTGAGGTCCATGAGTAGCTGTGGCATCCAAGTAGGGACATCATAGGGGCTAGACAGGATACAGGCACTCAGACCCAGCACCCCAGCATGGCGCTTCACCAGGTCTGAGAGGACATAAGACATTAGTCACTGCAGCAGGCAGCACTTAAACTAACCAAATTCCCCAAAACCACTGGATGATTGTTACTACAAATCCACTTAACAACTACGGACTTTTTTAATCTACTTTGTTTTTTTTTAAATGACAAACAATATGACATCATGCAATAGAAAACTTCAGTTTCCTAGCCCATGAATCCAGCGAAGGAGTACAGCACAGTTTTGAAGACCCACCAAAAGCAGGCCCTAAATTGAGTGACCTCTGCATTTTGTGTACCTGCAGGGGGAATGGTGTCCACCGCAGACCCTGGGTCTCTTTTCCTCTTTTTCGGCAGACGTGTCTTACACAGCTTTTCAAAGTGGGCCTGCATGGGACTGTCCATGGAAAGGAAATTGCACTGTAGAAAACCGCTGAGGGTGGTGGCGGCCATCTCTCTCACCTGGCACACAAACAAAAATACACACATGAGCTGTGCCCCAAATGTCATCCCTGTGTGGCACTGGGATTTCTGTACGTCAGAGTTGCCCTTTACAGGAGAGAAACAGAGTGAGACAGACAGAGAGAACCTGCACTCACACTGGGCTACAGTATTCTGTCTTTAAACTGTAATGAGTCCCCCTGCAACTGCCCCCAGCAGGCAGCCCCACAACCCTCTTCTGCCACCACTGCAATCACAGCCTGTGTACTCACCGGGCACCTCATGGGGCTATTCAAAAGAAAACGTCATGAGGGATAAAAATAAAAATGTATTATGGAAATCCTTAGTCAAAAACAATCACGGCTACCAACAGAGTGAAAGTAACCCCCCCCATCTTTAAAACCACTCTAGGAATCATGGTGTTCAATGCTTAACATATAAAAACATTAAGAGTCTACTCTTGCAAGTAAAAGAGTTTCAATATGTATTAATTTTACACTTTAAATAAAGAATAGACTGCATGTAAATTAGGAAAATCTTAATTATGTTGCTGAACATAATGTTCAACTGCAGCTCATGAGCAAAGAGTGATGCTGCAAGCACCACATTAATTAACCACTATTATCCCACAACGAGCCCCCCTTTTCCTTCATTCCAGCCACATAATTCTTTCACAAGTTTCAATGAAAATAAATGACAAAACATTAGGGTCAGGTGTATCTGAAGAGCATTCTAAAAACCTAATAAAACCAACATTCAGGCAGCTTTGGGAACTGTGATCAGAATATGGTGTTTTTTCCACTTTGAAAAAGAACAGGTTAAGTCCAAATCAAAGTTTACAATTTTAGGAAAGCAGACTTTGAAGGAATAAGACATATCTTAAGAAAAGTAAATTGGGATATGGCAGATATTTGGTGAAGAATTGGCTACAACAGTTTTAACAGATTCAACTTAAAGCAATGAACAGATTTATCTTAGGTGCTGAGTTAATGAAATGCTAAAAAAAGTATTCCAACTGCCTATAGTTAAAAACACATATTAGAAATGCTAAGAGAGAAAAAGGAATGTTGCAACGGAGGCTAAAATAAATTATAAATGGTTCTTTCATTACTGTAATAACAAAAAAAACCCAAAAGGCTGAAGTAAAATGTATAGTAAGTAATACACTCAAGTGTTCACTACAGAAGTCAACATGCCTTGGGTATTCGCATAGTAGAGGCAGAACTGTTTCGGGTATTGAAAGCACTCAAGTTAATAACTCCCCAGGGCACGATGGTATCCTACCAATGGTACTAAAGGAAACAGGATACGTTCATAGGCCATTTAAGCAATTCTAACAGTCATTCAACACAGAATGGATGTGTTAGAAGAAACGCTGTTTTTTACTTCTTTTTTTCTATGTTTCAGTGTGGAATTTACATGTTCCTAGCCTTAACCGTATTCCAGTTTGTTCATTGCTACTTGTCTCTAGAATAATTAAGTTTTCTTTTTTAAACTGGGGTTCTGTTTAACTGTCTATAATCTTTGTGTATATCAGTACACGCTAGTGAAGGCATCTTTAAAAACCCTGAAAACCTTGAAATGTCTTGGGGAAAAAACTGCAGTGAAAATTCAGCATTTCTGTTTCTGTAAGAAAAATATTTTCAGGTCTATCTGAATTCCCCTCCCCAACTTGAAAACCTATCTCCGCATCTTCGATCACACTGCATTTGCCATGACAGCAGAACAGCTCCTGTAGCCCTGAGGTTTCCATAGCAACAGCCAGATCAGCAGATCCCTGGCTGTGAGTGGGGGCAGTGCTGATTCAGGAGAGGAGAGACTGCGCCAGCACTAGCCAGGCAGTGCTGGCTGCACACACGACACACACACTTGCTTACATAGCACAATGTCAACTTACTTTAATGTCCGTCCTAAACTAGCTTAATTCCAATACCCAAAGACCGCAACTGTAGAAGCCATATTACCAACAGCAGAAGCAATTACCACATTTCAGCAGGAAAACGCCACATGGCTGGCTATCCGCAAAGTCTGACAAGACAGAGTACACTGTAAAAACATATATGATTCCATGAGACAACACTACTTGAGCATTTGGAAGAATTTAATTTATCTTCATAGCCTCTTGAGCTGATGGGAGACAGGCGCAGCCCTGAACTTTTTTTAATTATTAGGGTAATGGTTGACAGTTCTCTGAATTCATTATGCCTATCTTCATCTACATTTCTTAAGAACATTACTGAAAAGCACTAGAATTAGAAAGGCACACGGTTAATCAAAACTCCAACAATACTCGCTGGGACCTTCTATTGCTCAAAAGTAATCAATTACATATTTTAGGTTGTAAAACCCGTGAAGGATGTACTACTGCCAGAATAGTATATTGCCACTTGGAACGTTAAAGACATCTGCAACTTAAGCATAATTAAAATAGTAAAATTAACAGTCATCTACCTAAGAGATATTCCAAAAACCTAATGTCATTAGCTACACAGGTGTGACTGTGATCAGTATCACATAGCAGCAGTAGATAAATATATGTAGTAGGATCCATACTTTTTATTAACAAAAAGGGGTCTGAATTCCATGCTGGGGCAGCTAATTAATTTACAATTGAGTGGAGAACTACCAGAAGAAAATGAAGATCATGTTTTTTTTCCAACCTCTATGTTAGGAAGCTCTACCCTGGGTATTCATTATTATCAATTAGGGATCTCATGGGATAATTAAAACCCAGCACAAATAAGCACAGCACACAGTGTTCAGATACTTCCTTAATCCCATGCTAAGCTGCAGTGTCAAGGAGGGTGTTGGGCTTCAGTTAAAGGAGAGTCTGCAGTGTTACTTTATGGAAGGGAGTGTGCCCAGACACAGCACGCAGCGAAGCACTCTTTACAGGTGACAGGAAAGGATGGAGGTCACACACCTCCAGCTGCTCATCCTCCAGTAGCCTCACGACCAGCCATCGCACATCCTGCACCTCCTCCTCGCTGCTCAGAAAGGTGAACAGGTTGTAGAAGACCATGGTCTGGAGATAGGTCAGCACTGAGTACCGTGCATGCCAGGAGCTGCTTCCCGCTATCTGTCAGTCAGGATAAGAGAACACAACAACGCATCAGGAACACCCATTTACCGCCTACAGGGACCAGAAAAAGATCACAAAACCAGGTTTTCAAGTTTTTTGAAAACAGAGGGGCTCAGATTTTCTTGTGAGTTAATGTAAAACAATCACCATCTTGCAGCAGGAGTTGGCACTGCAGCAGATTCTGTTTGAGGTAAACTATACTTTTAACATCTTCTCTCCATCCTTGTTCTCCAGAATGTTCTCCGGTTTCTGCTATGCACCTTCCTTGTTTCCTAGGACTCTCACCTCTTTGAGAACTTGTAGCACCATTGGTATTTGCTGTGGATACAGCAGTCCCTGAGACATAAGTGACAAGCAGGTCTTGGCATCTCTTTTCAGTTCATCGTAGCTGTCATCATTTTCTACAGGTGCAATCTGACGGGACATTTACCATAGTATTGTGAAGACAGGAAGGTCTCTTACTCCGAAAATGTACACAGTGGATGAAACCTTTTCTACTTTCATTAAAAACAAATACAGAATATTTTTTGCTAAAATAATGCATGGTAACTTAAAATGAAGTTTACGAGATTTCTTTTTTACATGAACAATCTACACCTCTAAAAATAAAAAAATAAAAATGAGCTACTTAAAATAAATGCTTTCCCTTGTTCTAAAAGCTATTTAAGTAGTCTACTCTTTTCTGTTTAGTGTGCTCTTTTTGTTTGTTACATTATTTAGAAAACTAAAGTTTGGTTAAAGAAATTAAATTAATTACTTTAAATGTTCTGTATTGTATATATAAAATTTAGAGAAAGTATATTTAGCAATACTTTAAGTACAGAAGTATATTAGAACATGCTTAAATTTAATTTGCACACCCAAATAACGAAGTCTAGAATCAGGATTTACGTGCTCCTGAGCGCGATAACCAGGTCAAGTACAAAACAAACTGACAGCATGGGACAGATGCCACACACCTTGAACAGCAGGGGTAACAGCTGGAGCTGCTCAGGGACAGCAGTAGAAAAAGACCTGCCTGCACTGGCCATCAGCCACTTCAGCACTGAAACAGAGGAACAGACGTCAGCACGGCATTCAAAATTTCACAGCTCAGGGTTTTCTTTATCATCTACAGTTCTACCCCTCCTTAAAGCACTTTGTTAGTCCTTCAGAGTTCAGTACATCAGTTGCCAAAAATGAAATTCTTTCTAGATTAGTAAGCATCATCCTTCGCCATCTCTCCTCTAACTTCTCTCTCCCTTTGGTGTCCTTTCTCTTCACGACCTTCCTGTCTTTCTCTCTTTCTTCTGTGTCGTGTCTGTGTCTTTTTCTCTCTCCCATGTGTTGGTCAGTCACCTGTCTTCAAGAGTCTAATGGCCTGTGTCCTCTCATCCTGCTCTCCAACTCCATTCTCCTCCACTACGTGGTTCTGGATCTCCTCATCTGCTTCTGTCAGGGGCTTAAGCTTCTGCAGGACCCTCTCTGTGAAATCGGAGATACGTGGAGAAGAGGTGCGCTGTGTGTAGGGCAGACTGACGTCGATCATGAAGATGTAGGTCAGGACACTGAATAGAAAACAACAGTGTGGAGATTATGTCTTAGACTAATAGCTATTGTTTAACTATTTCAAAACAAAGTTTACCTATAGTAACAAAGAACAAATATACCTGTCTTTCAATTCATATTATGCAAGCAATGTCAACTGCAATATATTTTAATTGCAAATATTTAGATATATGCCGGTGTTTCATAGAGGATCATAAGTTGCTTTAAAATCCACAGCCTGTTCCTAAAATATGATAAATATCTGACTCCTGTGTATCTAGTGAAATAATTTCTCACAATGTGAGTTTTTGGTTAAAATAATGGACAGACATAACAGTAACATACTATTTTCTATTTCACTGTTAGACATAGGTTGGTAGCTCCACGGAAAGTAAAAGCACAGTGTTTAGGGAGAGCCATACCTCCCTATCCTCTCGCGGACATTCTTGTACACCTGGGTGAGTTTGGGTTCCAGGTAGCACAGCAGTCTGTGCAGGAGCTCGGCAACGCGCCACTCTTGCTGCGCAAGTCCCCCCTGCAGCACGTACAACCGGCTGGACAGGAAACACAGCGTTACCAGCATGGCACACACAAAGAACAGACACTGTTCATCCAGAACACCAGCTCTACAGAAAGTTACACTCTTGCTTGTACTAAAAAAAAAAGGAAGTAAGTAAAACCAGAATTTACAGCATGTTCTGCAGCCTCACATTAACAGGACAAAAAACACCATCTGAGGCAGGACCTACTTGCACCCTCTAGTAGCGTGGACCTATTTCTGTTCATTACGCATATCTCACGTTTCTCAGTCTGAAAACAGCATGGCATCTGATATCAGATAGCAAATTTCATAATCATAGAAAATATTTTTTTCTGAGACTAATGTAATGCAGAGGTTAGCCAGATTAATTTTTCAACTGCAAATTCAAGACAATAGTTTAGCATGTTATATCAGTTTAAAGTGCACTCTCCTTCTGCTTGTCAGTTAGCAGTGGAAATTTAGGACAATATACAAGCTTTCAGACATCCCTGAAACTGAACACTTAAGGTGCCTTTTCCATGTTATTAAAGAGTGGAATGCTTTACAAAGAAATCCAGGTTCACTTATTATAAGCTAACAATGTCCTTATGCTGTTATTTAAAATATAACATTTATGCAATCATAACCTACACAATCCCTGCTGAAGGTTCTAAAAACTTTACTCACCAGGCATCTACAAATGAGCCTCCCTCTCCATTGAGGGGTGACTCCATGAGCATCTCGAAGAGCCAGTGCAGTTTACGGGGGTCTCTGCTCTCCTATAGTGTAGCAGACACAGAGTTTCACATACTTCAAATAAATAAATTGCGATAAGTGACTCATAACTATCCTTTAAACAAATTATTTTGTGCAGAACAGTCATGTGTAACCTCTAGATGTGCACAGGTTGTGCTTTTTCATGCATCTCAGTGAATTTAAGATAATGATGACTGGCTATGTTGATAACCACTGCCTAATAACTTGCTTAAGATACTTTGTCAGACGTTAGTAGAAAGGTCTGCTCTTTTGTCACAAAAGCAGAGTAAATCAGAGACTCCACAGGCTCTGTGTTCTAACACTAGGTGCAGTACATACGCAAGCTGTAGCAATGCAGGTTCCCCAATCACTGTAGGTCTCCACAGTAATGTTGGACAGAGCTGTACGGATCAGCGGACACAGAAACTCCCAAAGTTTCTCCACCTACAAGAGCCACACAAAATATGACAGAGTAAGAATTGCCCAGTTTCCTTGGAAATTAGCGTTGCTAAAAGAGCTGCCTGAGAGCAGTTAGGAGCATAGGATCGCTTAAACTGAGAACCAGATGGTTCAAATAACATTAAAAACATGTAAATGGCTTTTGTCTGCATAGATAACTCATTCAATAAAATCAAATCTAATTTGTTTTATTTCATCTAAGTCTCCCTTTTCCATTCAAAGCAATGCATCTCTGATCTTTTTCTGGGAGAAATAAAATAATCTTTTAATCATTACATTTACTGCCCCCTCTTGGCTGTACAAGGTATAACATGAAAACAATCAAGTGTTCTGAAATCATGTTAACCCTAAAGCCTTTAGTTGGGAAATATACTGCTGGGCTTCTTGGCTGTACTTCCTAACCTGCAACCATCACTGGAAATGGATGTTTGAAAATAACAGAAGATGCATCACAGGAGTGAAGTGAGTCATCTTAATTGAAGGGTGTTGAAGATGCATCACAATATTTTATCTGACCTGGTCTGCAGATTGATAGCAGTCATTGCTGAGAAACCAAACTTCACAAAGGTTAAGCAGATGCAAACTGAAGCATGTTCATTCTGTTCCAGGTGACTAAATTTCAGATAGTCCATTTAACTTCAATCCAAAAGGAAGCCAGAGAATGGTGTTTGGTGAAAAGCATTTTGAAAACCTATCAGCTTTCAGATCTATGAACTGATGATCTTCTTACTTACAAGATTAGGTGTGTGCTTTAAGTGCTTCTTGCTTAAATCACACAGTAAAACTTCATGCAGCTCCCTGTCATAACTACAATGTACACCTACTAAAAGCCATATCAGTCAGCTGTGTCAAGAATCAGAATAGCAAACTCCAGAGATAATTTTATTATTCCTGTTATGCCTGCATTTCTGGTTACTGTGTTTTCATAGACGGGGGTACTTCAGAGAGGTTTAACTTACTGGCTGCTGATTTTCTCCATATCATACAACAGATATCCTTAGTGGTGGAAAGAAAAGAATCCTCTTCAATCTTAAGGGAGTTCTTAATTTTTTTAATTTGGTAAGACACAAGGTTTGGCTCCAATGAACACACTTTTATATATGTGCTGGTGCGATGCAGCTGTTGACTGCCCTCATATTTTCATTTAAAATAAGGGGCTGGCTTTCCTGTAAGTGCTGCATATTTTTTTCTCTTGGTGTTTAAATGGTTTGGAAGGTTTAATAACTTCATTGCTGAGGGTTTCAATGCATATAATCTAGAGAGGGCTTTAGCACCTCTGAACTGCCAGATGGGATGAATCCATATTTCAGATACAATGACTCATACCTGCAATTGAAACTGGATTTTTTCAGTTTCTTTATAGATTGCACTTCTTCACTTTCACAGTCATCTCTGTCATCCTGTTGAGTATTCATCCACACAGCATTGGCAACTCATCATCTCACCTAAAATTCTATCACTGCTTGTCTGCAACAGTGAAGCCTGAGTCTTGGACTGGCGGAAATTACTCTGGGACTTGTCAATGGGAACACAGTGGATCCACAGTATTCTTCATTAAACTCTTATCACCATTCTAAAGAAATGTTTTTCTTCAACACAAAGCTAAACACAGGTACTGGGAATTGTTTATAAAGGTGGTTCATAGCCAGCCACCTTACATTACTGTGTGAAAGACTTTACATATAAATACTTCAAACCACTAATGTAATGCCAATCAAAGTCCAATGTCTGTATCGCATGGAAAAACCCCTTTATATATAGCTATAAAGTTGCACATCATAAAGTAAGACATGCAACAGCATATTTACTGCACATCTAACAAGTCTTAAAACCCTTCGTGATGAATGAACACTGAATTACAACTAGCTGAAGAGGAACAGCAGAGCCCCTTCAGTGACAGTTCCTAGCTAAGTGAATTAGTGGATATGTTGTCCTAGCTTTTGACTCAAGTATGCTGTAAGGGCATGACCCTAAGAAAGAGCTCTCACCTCAGTGAAGCTCCAGTGCTTGCAGCCACGGATCAATCCGGCGATGATCTCGGCCACACAGCGCTGCGTGCTCTCATGGGAGTCGGCCACCAGCCTCTCCATGTGGGACTTCAGCACTGGCAGGAAGGCATTACCGAAGTTTCTGAACAGCCCCTGAAGCAAGGCACAATGGAGAGGACCTCAGCAGGCTCCAAGGGTGCTCTCTTACAAGCTAGTCTACATCAAACACACTTACCAAAAAGACACGTAGGACAAATTCCAGCTATTATTGAGGCTCTGGTTTGAGTGTTTATTTTTAATAATGTAATGCCCCTTTAAAATTAATTAATCGCATGTCTGGTTATTTTATGAGAAAGACTTATCTGTTTATGTTTACATCATGTGAGGAAAGCAACAAAACCGGCTTACAAAAAGTCAGATGTGCAGGACTTGAATCAACAGTTATGTTTAAACTGCACAATTCATTAGTTAAGTCTCATTTAGAATACTGTGCAAAATACTGGAAGCTACATCACAGAAAAACATTGCCACTCTATCCAGAAAAAATAAACCAAATAAATTCCTTGGATTAAAGGAATGCCCTAGACTGACAGGATGAGTTTGATATAAGATTTTAATTAATTCTAAAATGCATTTAAAGTATAAGTGATGCTGCACATTTCTAATAAGGACAAACATGTCGCATAAAAATCAGTAATTACGGTTTAAAGGGAGGCGTATTACTTAAAAATATACGCCCTGATTACAATAAAAGCATTTTCTTTTGAAACATTTCTTTTAAAGGTGTCCGTTCTGAAAGAATGCTAATTTACCTTGAAGAGGCAGAACCTGCGTGGATTGAATTTATCCTTTCCCTTCCTGTCTTCTAATGAAAGGAACTTAATCAGTTGGTCAATGAATTTAGGATCTGAAAACTGGTCAAAGATGATCTTCTCAATCTGTAATTTTTAAAAGAAATAAACAGTTCATATCTGCAATATACCCCAAAACAGACAATTTTAGAAAAGTGTGCATCTCAGAATTTGTAATTTGTACCTCATTCAGATGCTCTCTCTTCTGGTTCAGCTTAGGCTGCTCCTCCACAGGGGCATAAAGCATCATCTTACTATGGGGCAGAACACAAGCCACTCAGGACAGTGCCACTACAAGTACAGCAATTTGAAAAGTGTAGTCCAGCACGCTGCCTGGTGAATGAATACTTAAATGCCCACTTCATTTCTTTCTTTCTAATAACATCTGTGTATTCATTCTTTCAGTGCCTCAACACACAAGAAAACTTTCACTTCAGATTTTTCTTTATAAACATTTGCTAATATGTATCCTGCAAAAAAGAAATTCACATATTCAGCCCCTCACTGTTTTTGAATCCTAAGCCTGTGGGGTTAATACCAGTGTACCAGGAAACACTGGGGTGCAGAGAGTGTGCAGCAGAGAAGCTGAGGCATACCGTGGCCAGCTGTAGTAGCCCCAGTGTGTCTTCTCCACAAAGCGAAAGGCCTCCCAGGCCTCCTGGGTCTTTGGCAAGCAACTGCTGTCGTACTGTAGCCACCGGTTGTCAGGTCTGTCCCCTGCAAGGATCTCATTGGGCGGACTGCAGCCACCTGTCACACAGATACAAGGAAATGCAAAAGAACATAAGAAAGGCCTCAAGCAACATCACGAACAGGTCACTCAGCCCATCTGTCTCATTCGGTGGGGCTACCCCATCATATGCAAACAACAAAACACTTCTTCAATACGCTATAGTTTAGGTTGCAAACAGCCCTGTAGAAGAAACCAGGCAAAAAATAAGTACAGACCGACCTCATAGAAGCCACGATCTTTTAACTTTTCTGAAGATAAATGCAGTTAAGTGGAAATGAGTGACTGGGAGAATTTCTAGGTGGGAAGCTATACATATTTTTCTTGGCTTGTCACATGAACGTCAATGTCTTAACTTTTAGTCTTCCACGTCAATTCCTCATTCATTTCATCTATGAATCTGCTTCATCAAATAGTTTCAATGCCTTGGCTTCAGCAAGATGACTTACTGATTTCATAAGGATCGATTTCCACTTTCTTGTGAGGTTTCTTCAGCTGCTTCATTATCCCAGCCACAGCTGAGATGGCCATCTGTAAGAGAGAGAGATAATGCTGTATTTACAGGTATAAATTCAGGTTGATCTGACAAAAGAATCTAGTAGCATTAGAATTAATTTCCTCCTGTGATGTAAGCATATGTGTGTGTGGCCATGCTAACCTTACGGACAATGAGTGCATCGTGGTTCAGACTCTGAACGAAGAAATGCACAGCTGGGGCTGGCAAGGGATGGTCATCCCGGAGCAAAAGAGACAGAAACCCAATAGCAATGTGTTCAAACTTCCAGGGTCTAAAAAACAACAAAAAAAAAGATCTCATTACAACCATAATCATGTACACATTTCAAAAGGAAGCGTAAAAAAGTCTAAACCAGCTTCTACTGATTGCCACATCTTCCCAGACTCACGGCATCCCAGTAGGAAAGTCACATGAGATGGTGGCGTTAAGACAGTAAGCCAGTGTTTGTTATGCATTTTGTTAGGTATTCTAAAATATGCCAATTTGAGTATGATAAATGGTGACAAATGCTGTTTATTAAATAAGAATCACATAATGTCCATCTTCTATCAACATATAATTATCCTTTAAATATGCATTGTTACATAATACAATACTTGGTCTAGCAAGCACCAAGTATTTACAAGGGTACTGTAAAAAAGTGGAAGAACAAGAATGGTGTTTGATATCGATGGAACGCCACAGCAAATGTTTGATAAGATTCATTACAGTAAAGAAACATCTAGGTACTTACAAATTTCTCTGACTGAGGCTTTCCAGGAGGTCATTTATTAGTTTTTCATATTTCCTAAGGGAAAATATAAAACTTTAGTTAATCTATTAATATACCAATGCACAAAATCTGCGTAATAGTGTATGACTCATTACTCACCGCAATGCATCCAGATTCCTGCCCTGCTGGTACTGAATGCCCTTCTCAACATCGTGGGGTGAGGGCAGAGGTTGGTAAGGGACAGTGTTTCCAGACTGCATGATTTTCAGTGCAATTGCTGTAGTGCTCTCAGGTATCTGCAATTAAAATTAAGAGTACATCACCCACAAAGAGCTAAAAGTAGAAAATAGTTCAGATGAGACAGCTTTTTGTCTACACACACAAATTAAACAGACCCCTTCAGGACTCCAAGATAGAGCATAAAAAGAAGATCACTATTACACACAACAGATGTAAAAAACGGCCTAACAATGTGGAAATTCTTATTAGCCTGTTTTGGCGGCAGTGCTGAACACCCATTTGGAAAGATTTCCACAGAATTTGATTGAGCTTTACCTTATCTATACAAACATTCAGATCTGTAACATACTAGCAGTTGAATGGACAGATGGAGTGCTTGAGACTAGACACAGTACAAGTATAAGATGCTGTTAGCCTTGCTTACACCGAAGTCCAAACCAATGGTCTCATATTGGCGATGGATCTTGTCTGCCAGATCGTCAAACAGCCGCACAATGGATGGCTTCTCGAGAGACATTGCAGAGCTCAGGCCAGAAGACACGATAGCTGGCCAGGTCTGGGCAATGCAGTCCCAGTCATGGAGATTTGCCAGGCAGACCCCATTATGATTTCCCAGGAGGCAGTACAAGGCACCCTGAGACAGAAATAAAACCTCTGCTATTATATGGCCATCAGCACCATATGTAAATAATAGAATTATAAAATAGGAAACTAAACCTAAACTTAACAGAAAAGGCAGATGATATGAAGAGCGTCTTTGAGCGCACAGAGCTGCTATTACATTGTTCAATAGAGAGTGGGAGATGTATATCATACTTTGAACTGCTGTTGAGAGATGTCTTGCCGGCCTGGCTTCAGGAACTCCAGAACCAGGGGTATCAAGTCCCGGCAGCAGAAGTTGTAGGTACCCAGAGCAGTGAAGAAGACACTCTGAGCTTTACTCCGCACCTGCTCAACACAGCAATCCCAACATTACTAACACTACAGAGGGTGCTGACAATAACTGTTACATGTAATCCAAGAGTTAGTGAAAAATTAATGGCAAGTTAGAAAAGCAAAAGAAATGGTGGCAGGAGACAGAGACACTGCTTGCCTGGCTGTAGGTGCTGGTGGAGAGGCGCAGTAGGTCCCTCAGCAAGTCCTGGTGAACTCTCTTGTATTCACACCCCTCAACTGTCAGCTTCCTCAGCTGTTGCACACAAACACAACACAGGGAACCCACAATCACTAGAGGCCAGCACTTATATCTTTGTCATTCCACACAACTACTAATATGATAAATGATATGCACAAGAAATAAATTTTAATTGGAGGTACACATGACATTCTGTGACTGTTACAAGCTGTACCCACCTCATGCTGTAGCATGACCCTGTCTATCAGCAAAGCTCGAATGTGCTGCTTTCTGCCATGGAGCTGCAGGGAGAGAAAGACTGGGATTTATACACTTGAAAACCTTTAGGATGCAATATAGTACTTCAAGCAACATTTTCATGTCTGTGAAAGAATGACATAGAACATAACTAAGCCTACATACTATTATCGAACCGCCTCATGGTAATTTACATAAGCAAGTTAAAGCTAATATTAATCAAAGTTTGTGAAACTACCCCTTTGTATACTAATAAGAAGCACAGTATCACAACTAGGAAGCTTTTTTCTGAGATGGGTTGCTTCCTCTGATGTCCAATTGGCCCCGCACAAAACACTGCCCAGGATGTTTGTTGATACGAGTTGTAGCCAATACTGTTTTGTTCTTGTTTCATTCTTCCTCAGTCAGTTTTACAATGTAAAAGCCCAGTGGAACCGAGGCAACTGATTGGGCTGAGACTAGTGAAACAGTGTCACTAGTTTTAATAAAATAATAAATGTGAATGAACAGAGGAAGAGACTGAAAAGAATATTTCATGTCCAGCATTTAAGTGAGAGTTAAAACTGTGTGTGCAATAGTGGTGACATTATAGAAGAAAAGAAAAATCACTAGCCTTTAGTTTCATATAAACAGAAACAAGCGGAAGTGGTTACTAACCCGATTCTCCATTGACTTTTTGACCAGGTTGAAGCTCTTCCATCGGGAGTCAAACTCATGCTTATGGGAGCCTTTAAAATGTAGCAAATCCCCAATAATCTGTCACAAAAGGCAGGTCATAAGTTAGACATTGACAGAAAAGGAATTCAAGACTTTATTAGACATTTTCTACTTCTTGATAGATTGTCTTCAACAACCCACCTTTATGATCGAAAACAGGGACTTGGTGTCATCTTCTGAATTCTCCAGAATGTGATCTGAGCAAAGTAAATAAATAGACCAGTTCACATACTGTTCCACAAATGGATTTAAATAGAATGTTTTTTTCCACGTAGTGCAATGGTATCAGTGTTGCCTATGAAATGCAAAAGGAGTTGGGACAATATTGTACTGAATGGAGGCACTTACGCAAGAGTTCCCTCATTACTCTGCAGATGACTTCTCTGTAGTTCTCCCTTGATGTGTCTGAAAAAAAATATGGGAAAGTTATTAGAGTGCATCTCAAGCATAAGGATGAGCAACTTTGGCTATTACCCACAACAGGGTGAAACTGTCTCTCTGTGCTAGCAGGAAGCGGCACTATGTCTGAAGGCATGCTAAAGCACTAAGTCAGGACACACTGCTCTTTGGCAATGTGTTTACACCTGTTAAAAATAAACTTCGGAAAGAAATTTAATCTCATTTTAGAAGACTAGAGATGAAGCCCATAGCATGACTCATGCTAATACTTTTCAATTCCAAGTTCTCTGCAACATCATCTAAATATAACTTCCGTTATTGAAGAATGTATCCAAGATCTCAAATGAACTCACCGTACTTTTTCATTAAAGGTGTGAGCAGAACACAGTATATGATATGTCTTCTTACGGTTAACTGGTTATTGCTGGACACATTTAAGCTACGGAGGTTGTTAGGTTCAGCTTTAATGCAGCAGCACTGAAAAGACCAATGTTGTTTAAAATGTGAATTGATCATCTAACACTACAGTATTAAAATGTTTCCAGATATTTTTGTGTAGAAATCTGAAAATAAACAGTCTAACCTTCATTAAGAACCATTTGTATTTTTTCGTTCAATAAATTGGAAAGCACCCACATCAAAATTATTTGTCGAAACATTTTACAGCTAATTCATTTACTCTGTTAAAACCAGGACAGACCCACCATAATCGACACCAGTGAATAGTTTTGTCTCCTCTAAATTCACCATGCTTGGAACACTGAAGAGGAAAAGAAAAGATTACATTACAGCACAGTTTCCATTATTTTTTTAATGTTTATTTCCTCAAACAGGGAAGGAAGTACACTGGCCAGACATTTACATGTCTGGCATATTTTTGTATTACAAATACAAACAGTAGACCAGGAAAGGAATTGAACTGATTATCTGAAAGGTTAGTTGATTCTGCCATGTGTGATAGGAAGGTATAACAGACAGGGTAACTCACAGGTCAGGGACCGGCTCTCCACCCAGTGGAGGCAGTAGGCTCCCGGCGCCCAGAAGACAGTGCTGCACAACTGACAGGCTCTGAAGGACATCATCCCTGAGGGCGAAGGGAGCACATTACACACTCACCCCTTGCCACATTCATAAAGGCCTTGAACTTCCTCAAGAAGATCATTTACTTGTGGTCACAGAAACTAGAATTTATTGATTTTTTTAGAGTGCATTTCTAACAACTTATTTTTCAATTTCCTATTCATAAAATGGCGATTTCATCGTTTAAGGCAGTCCTCACAGTGAATCATGTAAGCCTGACTGGAATCACTGCCTGACCTGCTCATGTCAAGCTGGCCCCGGGCATGTCTCTGCAGACGGACCAATTCGGGCTGCAACAGGGTGTCCAGCACGTAAAAGACGAAGGTGGTCTCCTCTGCCCTAGGCACGTGCCACTGAATCTGCAGGTTCCACAGGTTGCCTGGCTTCCCCCAGTCCTGTGCAGACCACCCAGGAAACAAGACCAAAAGATTATTTTAAAAAATGCTTATGTTCTTTCACTGTACCAAGTTATGATTTTAAATAGAAAACCTACATCTATATATAATTGAATAAAACCAAAAGAATCCACTTAATGATTCAAGCACTATCTCTATGAATGTAAATGTCAGATGTTTGTTATAACCAGTAATTGTTACTTAATTTTCCCTGCCGTGCATGTAACCTGATAGGATAAGAGCTGGGGCACTGATTTGGAAATACTAGACCAGAAGGAAGAGTGAAACCTACAGGTCCACTAATACCACTTGCAGCAGCAACCTGTTTTTTAAATGTCTCCCATCACTGTACTGGTTTAGTTGGTGGTAATGCTTTTGGGATCAAGCTTCTACCAGTTGTGGCAAACATATCATACACTGGGGCAGCTAATAAGCAAAAACCAAGCAGGGAAGAAAACTACAGAGGTCTACGAGATTTGGGCAATATGTTCCTGGTTCTATAATTGACAGCAGCTCACAGACGTTTCTGATGAAAGATGAAAGAGTACAGGTCCAGAGCAGAGTCTTCTGCAGGGGATTGCCGGCTGTACCCCTGCACCTACCTTGATGGGGAGGTAGTTTGCAAGGGGCTTGTCAAAGCCACCTGGGATGCTGCAGTACTCGATGGGGTAGGTGAGGGCAATGGAGCGCAGAAGATGGTGCAGCAGGTTACAGGACAGCGAGTAGCCCTGCTTACACTTCAGGTGCAGTGTGCGCTGCAGGATCTGCACCAGTTCGGCCCGGTACGTCAGAAGCTTGTCCCCATCTACACGTGTGATCTGAGGAAAGAGGCAGGGATACAAACATGCTCAAAATAAGACAACATTCTGATATGCTTTAATTAAATCTGAGCAAAACTAAAATTTTCAAAGTATAATGCAGTATGCTTTGGAGTACGTTCTTTGTTATTTTATGTAAAAACTCCCCTTATGTAACAAGTTCCCTTAAAAGTAAGTGTACATCTCAAATTAAGCTAAATTATTCATTATTAGTAAGACACACACCCAAATATTCCAAATGTACAAATAAATTTGGCAAATTATAGTTTAGGGAGTGACATTAATTTATTTTTAAAACTAAAATACAGATGTTACATCATTACACATGGATTTTGCTTATGATTCCTGCAGGGTAAGGCACTTTTTCCATCTTTTTGTGTGTTTGGATTTCATCACTCAAAAATGAGAACAAACCATCTCATTTTGTTGCTGGGTTTGCAGCAGAATTCATTGGCTCCAGTCTCACCTCAGAGAGAAGCTGGAGATTCCAGAGTAGTTCCTTATCCAGCTCTTCCTCACTTAGCACATCATCATCTGCAAAACATCCATGATCATTAAAATGCTGACATACCCATATAGCTAACAAAAAGTCAAAATCATGTCTTTCACCACAGGAGTTATTGAGGATCAGTTTAGGTCCAACTCTTTAACACTTTAAAATGCACTTACGGACTGTGAGCTGATTGATTGCATTACAGCAATATGGCACAAAAAGCTTCAAAGACTCTGCTGGATGACACTGAAAGGGAAAAAAAAACATCATTATCAGAACACTGCCACTGGTCATGGGAGCAATTCTGCACAGCACTGTAAAAGCTGCTTCACTTAAAAGAAGATATGCACTGATTCTGCTAAACAGTAGATAATGATTTACATGCAGAATGCTTTTCTACATGTCTCTACAGAGGTCAGAAAGATCAGAGTGACCCCTCACCTTAGCAGCAGCTCTGCACATGTCTGCCACCATTCTCCCAGCTACACGCGTCTCAAAGATGTTTGTCGTGGCAAAGTTAAAAACCTTCTCCAGAGCCACCTAAATACAAACCAAACAAAACCTGATTTAAGAAAACAAAGAACTCAAAATGCATTTTGTTCTAACATTTTGTTCCTATTGCTATTACCTGTTCTTATTTTCCACCTAGGACAAACAGGGAGTAAACTGTCCACCCATTATTAAATCTATGGGGTAGTTTAAATAAAAATAAACTAACCTAATATACATTACTCATAATCTTAGTTAATAAACCGTATCAGGCAGCCAAACTGACCTTGAAGATGTCTTTGGAGCACTGTGTGAGGATAGTACTAAATGTGGAGGACAGGCCCAGCTCCACCAGGCTTTCAAGGTGGGTCATCTTCTCCGTCTCAGTCTCCTCTCGGGTCTGCTCCAATGTGCTGCTGTCAATCAGTGCAAAGCACCTGCACAAGGACGTACACACATACATACTAACTGCCCGCACTAGACACTAGCATGCTGTACTCAAAAACAACAAGTGTCATTTTTACTAAATGAGACATTTTTTTACATCATGAATATACTAAATTTTAAAAATACCATTGCTTCAAATACTGGGAAGCCGGAAAAGCATTTTAGTCTACATAACCCTGACGGGTGCCAAGTAGCCATCTCTGACTAATGTTTATACAATGGAATGTATAGAGCAGAAAATTAAGTTATAAATAAACAGGACATCCGACAATGAGTCATCGATTATATATTCATGGTAAATGTGATGGATAAACTACTTTATATTGATTGCTCATGTATACCTTGAGTTACTGCAATCAAACCTTTTAAGATCCTAATTAATTTGAATTAAAGGCTGTTACATGACATGTTTGATTTTTTCTCACCCAAACTACACTATATTTATAACAATTACTGTTACAATAATTGTAAAAAATACTAGTTGAGGCTTTGAGTAAATTGCTTTTGCTAATATACATTTATTGTAACATCTGAATTTCTCTTAGACTTCTACACAACAATATACACAAAACAATTCTGTTATGCCCAATTCAGAATATGATGCATCATTATTGCACTTTTACACTCACCTGTCCATAAATTGCAAAACAAAGTCCTCAAACTCTGCTGAGGCTGAGCACAACTCACGTTCCACCTGAGACATACAGACAGCTCTGTTAAAATCAGGATTCAGTTCCTACAACATGGGGCATTCTGCAATTACTGAAACAAGAATGAGCTGTCACCAAGAAATACATACTTCAGTAAGGTCATCTCTTTCATGAATTGCTGATGAACAGTCTACCAAAGGCACAAGAGTAGAAAATGTTGCAATGAACTGGAATGTGATCTGCACAAGAGACAGAAAAAAACAAAGGCCAGTCAGAATATCTTAATCACAAATATAGCAGTATTATGAATGACAATTTTAATAAAATTACCAATCATAAACATTATTATATGTGCTTTCAGAAAAATATATTATATATTATATTATTATATTATAATATAAAATAAAAATATACATGCTCTCAACAGTATCGCAATTCCTGGAACAGCACACTGATACTCTAGTGAAGATATTTCAGTACAAGTGTTTGCAACATGGGGCTCCTTGTGTTTTAACCACGTACCATACACTTGCTGAAGTCATTGGGGTCAACTCCAGGCAGGGCTCTCATCAGGAGGGGCAGCATATGAGTTGGACCCTCGGGGAAGCGATGACCACCAGATACCAGACTACGTGCTACGCCAATCATGCAGCTGAGAGTGGCAGTTAGCTGGTGAGGCTCTGTCAGTGTCTCCATGGCAGGGTAGGTCCTGTGAGACAGACAAGGCAGGACAGCTCTGTCACCCCACTCATAGTTCCACAGTTTCAATGAAATACATTAAACAGAAAGCACACAGACATCTCTTTTTGTTATGTACTCCTAAAAACCTGAGCCTGTAGCTAAATACCAAGGTGGAAAGGCTTTATTTCATAAGAATCACAATTATCACGTGATAATGTTCCAAGGAAAGCAAATAGACATCATCTGGTTCCCATTAAACCAGTTTCTATCAGCTTCAATTAATGAACTGTCCTTTCTTTAGAAGTTGGTGCTGTGGATAACTGCACTTACTTCTCCAGCACAGGGGGGATGACAAGCTCAGGCCTCATCAGTGCCAGGTTCTGTAAGGCCTGTGCAGCCTCTAGGCTCCCAGTCTTGCTGAATATGGCCAGGAGCACTGGCTGCTTCATACTTTCCACAAAGTCAGTGATGTCTTGCTCCGTCAGCTTGTGGTGCTCTGGCACTGTGGTGAGCCATGTGGGCTTCTTGTAGCGTTCCTTGTGCAGCCTCCTCACCACACTGGCTGGGAGTCTTTGTAGCAGCTTCATTAGCTTCATCTGCATGGACAGCAACAATCACATCACTGATGCCACTGTGCCAACCCATTCTGATCAACACACACTACTAACTACAAGATGTCAGATTCACTCACAACAGAAACAGAATATGACGTCTTACGCAATAATATTCAAACACAGTCTTTACAATACATATTATTGCAAATATTATATATATATTATATATAAATATAATATATATTTCTATTATAATATATATTTATATGATATTATTATTTTATATATATATTATAATTATATATATATTTATATTATCCCTTATTAAGTTTTTGACAAGTCCATTCTTTGTTTATCCATTTCTACATCCAAAGATTCAGACATAACAACTTGATATTCACAACCAGGTGTGTCTGCGGATTTGTGACATATATTAACATTCTTTACATTCATTCATTAATCTCATTCACTCATTTATTAAAATGGTATGAACACAAAATGTACAAATTTATCTGAACAAAACACTTGGGATCTCAGTACTGAAAAGTGCAACAGAGACAGGTTTTGGAAGCAAAATGCACAGCAATAACCATGTGCAGCCATTTAAAGCAGTACTGAATCAACACTTGTCACAATTCCTAAATTATATACTAAAGAAATGATATAGAAAGAAAGTAAGCACTACCAGCAGTCAGTAAAAGTTCAACTCCAGGTCGGACCCCTAAAGATTTTTAGTCCTAAGCGACAGTACATGAAAACTATCGCTATGCTTTTTAGGTTGCTCAATTCTAAAGAAGGGATAGACAGGCATAACTACTGAGCGATAAGCACTCACCAGCCATCTTCCATTGTTGGAGGGATGGAAGAATGAAGTAATGCTGTTGAACAGCCCACTGAGTTGTTTCTGTGCTTGTTTGCTGGGACCACCCTATCAGAAACAGAAAAGTACCTTCACTGCCTGAACATAACTATTACCAACATGGTGTAGTGGATAAAATTTAAATATAGCAAAAAATATGGAAGACCATGTATTGGTTTAAAATTAGTTATAAAACCAAACAGTAAATTAAAGCTAATATTTCCTAGTCAAAACAAAGCCCACTGCTGTTGTCACCACTGTATCTATTATTGGGTCATTACAAAGAGCATAATCACAATAGTTAAGGAGAAATCGAAAAGTAGGCAATTAAAGTTGTAAGTATTCATGTATAAAGAATTTTTAAATGAAAAAGATTTAAAAAGTAATTTAAAAATTAAGCAGGGGAAAAAAAATAAAGTAATCACTTCCAGTGTAGTGTGTGCAGAGTTACTATATAAAGCAATTTATTAACTCTTAAAAAGTCATTTCCCCCTAACTCTTAAAGTAATGTTTTACAAAAAAGTAATCTTTTAAGAATGTAAGTGTAATGGATTGCAGCATGATACTGACCAGCATTGAGGAGACCCAAATGACAATATGGCCTATATCATAGGCATTTGTCAAGTATCTTGGAACTAAAACTTGGCTGCTTCCCACAGGAAGATTTAGACTTCTGAGAATTCTGGTAAATATCTGTAATGAAAAAAGATACATTTCACACTCAGAAACAGGTTTATTACTATTAAAAACACTACACTAGTAACACACAGTGATGAGGGGAAGAGACACATGGGTTTTTACATATTGTACTGTAGTACTCATTTTAGTTTGTATTATAATATCTAACAAAATTAAACATAATTTATAAAATGTCTGTTAGCAAAGTACTGAATGCATTATAAACCAGGACCACAGCATCAACATCCAATTAACCAACACAGCAAACCACAACATGTTTTCAATTAATTCAAGTCAGATATACCAACTGCTTACTGATAAATAACCAAATAAAAGGAAGGCAACTGGAATGCCTACAATAAGATGTGTCCAGACTAGTGAAATTGATTAAAAAAGCGAATATTTTAAGAATTAAAGCACCTTATTCTTGATATACACACTTGCACAGGGAGTATCATGAAAACCACTGGCCATGTGGTTGACAAGGACACAAAATTCACATGAATAGGCAGAAATTGTCCCAAAAAGCCCCACTGCTGAACTCCAAGCATTAATCACTTCAAACAGAACAACACTCACCTTCGGAATATAAGGATCCCAGTCGATATAACCTATGTTGTCACTTGCCAAACGAGCAAAAAGGCTTACTAGATGCTGGGGAAAAACAATGCGCATAAAGAAATTAGACTTTCTCTACATTTAGGAACGTAGAGAGAACATTCAACAAAATGAGAACAATAGGCACCACAAATTAAGTATTTTTACGACTGCATCTTTTTCCCGGATTATCTCCCAAAGATAAAGAGAACTAGTGTTTGCCTATGTACCCTTTCAAATGATCAGAAAATATTAAGTAATACTATTATGAAGACATTTGCCAATCAAGACTATGCACTTTCAAAGATCATAATGACTCTACACGCTATGTATCAAAGCCTGAGTATGTTTTCACCACACAGTGCTACTGTGTAAATCCATATGGCCTTGTGGCAGGTATCCTCAGAAAGACTCACCCCTTCCCAACCTGGGAGGTTCTGAACAGACACCCACAATTTTATGAATTCAGGAAACCAAAGCCTGGGAAAAAAAACAATTAATTAACAAAATTAATATTTTATGTGAATCTAATAAAATTGTAAACAATTTTAATTGTTTACAAAACAAAAATAATATATACTGAGCATGAAAATAAACTTATCACTGTATGCATGTATGTTTTTAGAAAAATAGGTACACAGATTCTGGATAAAGATTAGTGATTTTAGAATCATTCTGATAAATTGATCAGTCATGAATGATAGCAATTACAATCAAATGAACCAAAGTGTCCCATTTCTAAAGAAAACAACATTTTCAGGCCATCAACACGATGAAGCAACTTCTCAGGTGGACTTGCCAACAGTAAAGCCAAATGGTCAATAGCAAAGAATCAAGGTTTTTTGCAGACCAGTGTTTATCTTGTCTCATCCAGAGAGAATGCTGTATTTGCTTGTTTGTGTTCTAATGGGACTCTTAATCACTGGTGCCAACCGGTGCATTTGATTAAACTGCTGTCCCATTAGTCTTTTTTCAAGCACTCAGTGCTTGGTTCTTAAAACTGTCTAGGCAAAATTGTATTATTTCCAACACCTCCAGTAAGCAGGTCCACATGCAGTCTCTCTTCAACATGCTAATTAAGAATGTGTTCCCTTCTTTGTTCCTGACTAAAAAGCAGTTAATAGGCAACCAATTAATCAAAAACAGGTTGGAATGACAATGTACAAAACATTGTCACTCACAAAGAGTTTTTTTCTTCTTCTGTGTAAGTTCAATTTGTTACATAGCAGCCAACATCCCTGAATGAGGGAATTTCTGAAACAGTCATTTGCACAGGGTTAATACGAATTACAAACCCAATGCAAAAAAAAATAGGAAACATAAAAACATACCTGAAACAGAAAACTGAAATCAATATCTAATAATTATAATGATAACAATAACCGTGATTAAAACTGTGGCAGAAGATACAGCAAACCCTGGGACTATGGTTGTCAATGAGTGTGGACTAGACATGCAGAACAATACTGTGATTTTTGTGTACAATACACCAATCAATGAGGCCCAGATACCATGTACAGTTGCTAAAGAAATCCACTAATGACAATTGGATTGCACTGGTACTACACTGACCAAGACAGAGGGCCTCACTTGCTGCTCACCCTGGTGTGACAACATTCCAGTTAAATAATACACATCCTCGTACCTGTATAATAATAACGTTCTTAACAATGTGACAGTTATGCCATGGATGTTCAACTCATTCAACTAGCTGCAGAATGAGCTAGGAGGAAGTGTGAAATCTAGGGCTCACAGACGAATGAAAAGGCTCTTTCTTGTACAGACTCCATGGGACTCAAGTGAGCATCTGTGACCTGGTCCAAAGCGTGCATCACAGAGCTTGCATTGCTTCCAACAGTGCCCACGCACGGCTCTAACCTGTGACTTTCACAGCAGACACCCCGCTGATGACAAATTAATAAATTTATCTATATCGTGGCTGTTCAATCAAATGTTAGTGTATCCGCTCCAAATAAAATGGTCATTTTTCTCACCACAACTTTGTATTTGTGGTAGTTAAGAATGTGAAGTTTCTTTAATGCTCAGTATATATTGCCAATATATTATGACAGCAATGCCGTAGATGACAGAATGGAAAGGGAAGCTCTGTCATCTGTGAGAGGCATCTGGTACTGACTTGAAGCCTTTGTGGTGCAGCTCAGGAGGCAGGGTGGTGGGCAGGAAGAGCTCCAGATAGCTGATGGCCTTCTGCATGGTTACATCAAACGGACACAGAAGGGGCCTCCACTCATCCAGCATCTCCTGGGTAGCATCTTCGGGGAAATACCTGCAAAGCACAACAGCATGTCAAAAGAAAGCACAGAGCTTGGTTTACACACTTCTCCATGACTCTAAAACTCATTGAACATCTTTGTTTTCTAAGTGTCTCCATTAATTTACAAAATACTGCCCTCTATGTTGTCTCTGGAAGTTCTTTTCCTCCCTCCTCTGTTCCTTTGCCTCATAATGCTTTCATTCATTCCCCACTCACCTCAAAAAGCCAACTCTAACCTCATACTGTAGAGGCAGCTCTATGCTTTCTTAAGAGAGGCTTTTCCATATTCCCTTATCTAATGCAGTGACTTTACTTTCAGCACTCTAGTAACAGGAAAAAGCTACCCTACTTAAAATAACTATTCCAAAGTTTACGTAGTAGGAACACCGTTTTCTTTATTCAGCAGAAAAAGTAAGATAAAATGATATGGAGGAGTGCTGTGTTAAGGACAAGCTATTTACTCAGTGTAGTACCTTAAACAGATAAACTTTGGTAACTGTTCTGTACAGTGGAATGCCATGTTCAAACAGCCCACCACCCCCTTATTCATTAGTTGTTTGTTTACTAATCTGTTTAAACATACTTACGGTCTACAGCTTTTTACAAGTGTTTTCAGCACATTTTCAACAGAGCTGAAAAGTGGAAAAAAGGACAATCAGACACACTCAATTAAATGTAACAATAAAGAACTGTTAACCAGTAAAGTTGTGCTATTAATACCGATTACCATCTTGAGTACATGCATAATATAATCCATCTGCACTGAAAGTGAATTCAAGCTGAGAACAGCGCTGCTGTATTCTTGTTAACCAACTTGAATACAGTGGAGCTGTTTAAAACAGATTACCTGTAATGCTTTATAAAGTACATATCCTACAGTTACCCTAGTGTGCTGGGCAAATTTCCTATTCACCAATCATGGCCTCTTAATATTCCCTATCTATGAATTGGCTTCATCACTCTGTTCTCCTCCCTACTGATAGCTGAAGTGTGGTGAGTGTACTGGCACACTATGGCTGCCATCGCATCATCCAGGTGAGGCTTCACATTGGTGGTGGTGGAGGGGAGTCCCCATTACTTGTAAAGAGCTTTGAGTGTCCAAAAAAAGTTCTATGTATGTGTAAGGAATTATTGTTGTTGTTAATAATAAGAATAATAATAATAATAATAACAACAACAATAACAGCAATAATAATATTGCTGAAGAAGACACCCGAAGAAGGCTCCACGGCCTAAACGTTGTGTTTTCTTTCTTCTTTTTTTCAGCGTGGAATAAACCTATTACTTGTTCCTTTGCAGCCTACGCATGCTGACGCAGCTACCCACCTGAACTACATAATAATATTATTATGGAACAAGTAATAGTTTTATTCCATGCGGAAAAGAGAAGAAAGAAAACAACTTTTCGGCCGTGGAGCCTACTTCAGGTGTGAGGATTATTATTATTTATTAATAATTATTAATTATATGAATTATTATTATACACAGCTCATTTTAATGGCTATATGTAGTCCACTGTTTTTGTCATTATGAGCATTGATAAAAACTGATAAACAAGATTTCAACACAAGTTAACTACAGATATCTGCTAATACCATATCTATTAAAATACTTCTTCTCAATTCACAAGGTAACTAAATAATGTATGACCAGCTGTTACAGAACAAATCAATTCTTTGAATTGACCTGGAACCAGGGAATCTGGGAAAAGGAATATTTCTTAAGGTTTCATTTGGAACAGTCACAAACTGTCCATTGATTTTAAACTGACAAATGTTTGACTAATTTTATAATATTGAATGTAGTACTGTTTTCTTCATCAGTTATACTGTTCTCTAGTCTTGCAATATTCTACATTAAAAAAAGACTGTACAGCATGTCTCCTCCCATGTGAAGGCCACTGTCTCTTTACCTGCTTAGGCCTCATCTACTGAATGCAGAGGGTGTTTGGAAACACAGGGTACATCTCCATCAACACAAAAACTCCAAACAAATACCACATTAGCAGGATGTTTGTAGCCTAACTCAAGTGTCCATCACCTCAATTTTTCACTCTAAAATACTGTTAACAAAACCTGTCCCAGGAAACACCTGGTCAGAGTTTACTGCTCACAGCTGTAAGAAAAGTTACAGTTAAGCCAGCAGATGACTGTGTCACACTGTGCAGAGCTGCAGTGAAGCACTGGGTTGTGAAGATTAATTGCAAATCTACACTGAGGACATGATCTTCAAGAATATGAGCTCAAATGAAAGTGGAACATTTCTGTGGATCTTTTCTTTTCATCTCTTTGCAATCAAGCTCATAGTGAGCTTCACTGAAGAAGAGATGACTTCCTCACTGAACACAAACAACAATGGAGTACTGGGCAATGTCATATTCCAATAGAGATCTGGTAGTGGCAAAACCTTAATTTTAAACTGGAGGTGCAGTTTATATTCATACCAGATTACACAAAATAATGATAATAACCATAATTATCCTTCTCAGATTCAATATTCATACAAAGTTATTCACATTACTCTTCAGTACTGGTGCTGCAAGGTTTAAAATATTACCTAAACTACAATTTCATGATTAGTAACAGTTCAGGTGAACTAAGCAAGAAGCACATTTCAGCCATTTCAATAGTGTTAAAATATTGACAACTGTACTGCAGTGCGAAATTCTCACATGAGTGCTGCGTTAACATTGGTTTTATTAGAGCTTTGAAATCATCCAAGCTGCAATGGGACTTTTTGAAAACACATGCAATAAACACCATGAGAGCCCAAAAAAAGTGTTGTCCTTACCACCTCTGTAAAATATTTAGCACTATGCTTTTAGAGGAAGCCGAGTCTAGCCGTTGAGAACTGAATATGAAAAAAGAAAAGGCATAAGGGAACGTTGGAGGAACAGTCAGCACAGCTCGTGGCTCTGAATACGATCAAGAAAATAAACCTCATCAAGACATTAACCTAATGCAGAATTAACAAAGCCTTTAATAAATGAACAACATACAAGCAGCTTGTTGCTCTTCGTGAATGTATTATGTTTAATCACTGGATATTAAAACACAATGTTCCCAAAACACCATATGAGAACACATCGCACTGCATGCTCACAGCAGCACATCTGTGCCACAATGGGAAGGTACCAGTGGATGGGGGCTGGGGTGGAGAGGAGCAATGAAACGACCCTGAAATAGTTAAATATATTGATTTCTTCTCTAACCCATGCATATTAAACATCTGAAGCTATGGTGAAGAACAGCTATTCTAAGTGAGAAAGAAAAAATGGCAGCATTTGATACATCTAATAGCTTTAACAATTCTGATGAAATTTCTCATTCAAAAGGATATCAAAGACCAGCTACAAACTAATGTCAGCAAATGATTCCTGACTACAAAACAATTTTTAAAAGAATTACAATTACACACTAAAAAGATCACCAGCTATAATAGTAAAACTGTGATAACAATTTGAGTAAAATGACCAAAACTTCCTTTAAAGGACTGACTTTCATCTCAAACAGCTATGTTTCACAACATATGACTTAATTTCAGTACTACAACTACAGCAGAAAACCCTGACAAGGCCAAAAAAAAGAAGTATTTTAAAAACATACTACAGCAATCACAGGTTAAATACTGTTCCACCGTTTGCTTGGACATTAAAACATAAAAGAAGAAATTCAGTCCAATAGACACAGCTAGTATACTAGCACATGTATGGGAATATGAGCATGTCAAGGACAGAAAAGAGCCACTGGTGGGAGGTTCAAGGTTAATGCTGCGATGAAAGTAGGGAGCAAGAGATCTTTTTAGTTTAGATTTAGGATTAGTTTAGAAACACCTTGCCACCTCAACGTCCTTTGTGGACTGTTAGAACTGATTCTGTAGTCTAACAAAGGTAACACCTACTTTGGAAACCAATTCAGCCCCAGGTGCTCCGTCTTGGAGTAGAGAATTCTCTCTAACATTTCATATAGGGGCTGCCAGGGCAGTTCTAAATCTTCTCGAGAAAGAAGTTCTTTCTTCCTGGGGAAATAAAATGTAAATATTTATTAAATCAATTCACATACAAAATATTATTGTTGTTATGTAGTTCTAATATTAAAACAAAAATATGTGTATTAGTATCAGAATACTTATACAAATAAACACACAAAGGTTTATTTCATGCTGAGAAGAAAAGAGACAATGTTCCACAGATGTCACCAGAAGAAGGCTCCACAGCCGAAACATTGTCTCTTTTCTTTTCAGCATGGAATAAACCTTTAACTGATCCTTTGCAACCCAGCATGCTGACGCAGCTACCTACTGGAACTTATACAAATAGTTTAGTAAAAGAACTACATAGGTTCTATCTTGTTTCTGTAGATACATATAGAATAATACAGTATAAATGCTATGGACAAGAGCTGCCATCACAATGTCATCTCCAGGCTGCATAGAAGTCTTATGGTGTTACTCATGTAACTTAACCTCTTTCATTTGTGTAAATGCATGCAGTCTGGTTCATGCAAGAGTGTCATATATAACCTATCATAATGAAATTATAGTGTCACCCTGATTATTCTGACAGCAAATAAATTCAAGCCAGATCTTGTGAATCTGCAGAATACTTTCCTTATTATAAGGATTTTTCAGCACTAATTGATTCAATTATAACACCTTTTTTAAAGCAAATTATATTGCTGGGTTTCAAATCAAAAGAAAACAATGGTTTCAATACAGTAATTCCACTGAATGCAGCTGTAGTTCAGCAGTGACAACTCCATTAAAAGCCAGCAGTTTAGATATTTACTGCATGGGTCTGTGACAGGTGTAACTGATTTTTTTTAGACTCACTTCAGTAGACTGATCAAGAGGCGTGCAAATCCCTGCATCATACTTATTTCCAGTTTAGGAATGGTCACCAGCTCATAAAGCAGCTTAATGAACAGTACATGATCTTCTTTGCTGAACTTTCGTCCATACAGCCGAATGTACCTGCAAGAGAACACATGGGCAGACCAAGTATTACTCTTCCTGGTAGAAGCAACAGATTCACAGACTACCTAATGTACCAAGTAAATAAAAAAAAGATCATCATCATTCAGTTTCTACGTAAAATATAAAGCTAGGGCAGCTTTGATGCTTTTTGTGGGCGCACTATCTTTTTAATGAAATTAAGTGCATCGTAATCATGCTTCAAATAAGGGATTTCTCATTGACTCAGAAGAACTACAATACACTGTGGTTTTCATTTTCAGCTAAACTCTCAGTTACATCCTTTGATAATTTTAATTCACAACAATTTCATAATAATGCAATTAAATGTTTAAGTAACAATTACAAAATCTATCCTGAACAGCAGTTAAAAATAGTTCTAATAGTAACAATTTGGTATGTACTGTATAGTCTCCTATATGGTTAATTTCATGGGTGCAGTCAATAAGCAGGGGGCTGTACTGGAAGATATAAGGAAACAGCACTTTCAGATAATGTGGGGAAAAAAAAACAGCACATGCAGTTTATGGTGGACCGGTCCACTGCAGGAACGCACAAACACTGTTTCATCATAGATTATGATTTCTTGACGAGAAAGTAGCTCATTTTTTACATTAGTGGCTTAAAATGAATCTAGACCTATTTGATACAATTTTCATAATGGCTTATATATTAAAACTCTTTTGTAAGCTAGCTATTTAAATTCCACTGTGACATGATTTAGAAGCGTCTGTACAGTCTTCAGTACAGCACAACAGTTACTGTTAAAAGTTTACCACAAAAAAGTTTGCTCTTGTTTTTCAATTCAAGTTATTAATATCGGTTATTGTTTCACCCCAAGCGGAGATGATTGGATGTTTTGCTTCCCAGAAAGTGGGTGTTTGCCTTGAGAGATTGCCGTGAGAAGGAAGAGAGAATATTATGCCACCCACAATTGTTAAAGATCATTGTCGTGACCATCCTTCATGCATTGTTTTTGAGTTTTAACTAATACTGCGAAAAGCAACAGTGAAATTATGGAATTATAGAATTTTGTGAGAATTATTTTGTTGTAAAAAAAAATATTTTTTCAATATCTTCACTCAAATCTTGCTTAACTGTTAAACTTCAGAAGTGTTGTAGAAATGCCTAAGAAATAATTTCAATGAAAACTGATATCATTGTTGTCTTGAATGGCAGGCAAGGTTCTGTGAATTAAAATAGAAATGGTCCTGACAGGGCAGAATTTGCATTTGTGATCTAAGTGTAAGCAATGGGTCCCAGTAACAAAATAATAATAATAATAATAATAATAATAATAATAATAATAAAGTTTATTTTATATAGCACCTTTAAAAGTGGCTTCTCAAAGTGCTTAGAAAAGCGACCAAAGCCCAGAAAACAGGCAGTTACACTGAAAATAGTACATTTGTGGCACGCTATTTCTCTACCTGAGATTGCACAAGGTACATTTTAGAACAAAAGTTGCAAAAGTGTAAAATTAAGCACTGAATTAGAGATGAAAGGTGTGTGAAAAAACATTTCACGGAAACATGTACAGTACAGTGATGGGCTGGGTTTTATGTTTCATTTTAGCCTTCAAGTGAACAACACTTAATCCTGAGCTAGGTGCAAGTCGGTATATTTTTGCATTTGGAAAACACATTATTTAAAGTTTCTTCTCACAAGTTTGTTCTACTACTACTAAGTGGATTATTTGAACAAATGCATTTCAGACATGCTAAATATATTTATTTCCACTGTCAGTTTTCAGTGGCAAGGCAGTAATAGAAGTACTTCATATTAGCTACCAAACACATGCATGATATTGGAAAAATCTGTTAATGGTTCAATAAATCTGACTATATGCATTACATATCTGGTATTGATCTGGTATCAAATTCCCTGTTGATTATGGGGGATAAACTGACCACGATCCTGACTAAGAATTCTCCTTGAAACTGCTTCAGAGGGGACTTAAATACTGCTTTCACATGATTGTTTTTATATGTTCTTGAATCTTTATCTTTGTGGTATAAGTCATAAGATCAGTAAAGTAGGTCAATGTCTGCCACAATACTTTTCCATCTTAATATAGTAAGCTAGCATAATTTAATTGTGGAACAAAGCTGAGAGACCTGAATGAGATTTTCCAAAGAACGTGGAACTCTGTTAAACTGGTCAGAGACTGTGAATGAGAAAGAAGTGTTCTGTGCCGATTGCAAGTCAGCAAACAAGGCAAGCAAATCATTCTACCTCTATTTGTACTACTTAACATTAAGGTTCAATAAATAATAAAACTCTGCCTGTTTCTTAGTTGCTGAAACCGAAAAGCAATCTTTAGAGCAGAGTTAAGTGGTGCTTGCAGTGTTTAAAACATTTATTAATTTGGATTAATCTCCAATTTAACAAAGTGAAGAGGTTAAAACTTTGTCCTAGTTCAAAACTGGACCCTGTACAATGAAAATATTGCACAATCTCCAGGATCTCCAAGCTCGCACAACATTCATCAATACCGACTGTCCCTCACTTCAAAAGAAGATCTTAAAATATCCCATTGAGTTCTCTTCCCTTGTCCAAAAAGATCTAACTAAACGCTCTTCTCTCTTGAAGTCACCCTGCTTTAAACTCTATTCTTGAGCTGTCATGCTGTCAAGTGTTCCTTTCCTTTAAAATTCACAACAGTGATCAAAGGGCTGTAGCACTAATATTTTTAAAATCCCATACTTTATAAATGAAAATATTTCTATATCCAAGAGAAATTATATCCGACAGTTGTTCTAAACGGACTGGACAAAAACATCCATTGAGTCCTCATACCCCAAATATCTGCAGTTACTTTGCACTAGTGCACAAGGTTAATCGGATGAAGTATTAATAGTTTTTCGTGTTTATTTTTTTGTAAACTGACCTGCCTTTACATGTATCTTTGCTTAATTCTGTTCCCTAGTTACAAACTCTAAACTTCTAATGTCGAACACGTGATGAGGTGGTTCAGAACGAACGTCACAGACACCGAGAGTTTTATCAATCCCTCAAGCAGAGTTTGCAGGCAATGTTGATTACTAATCCCAGAGGCCATGTAACTTGCATTACAGTCCTGCAGTTTACCAGCTTAACATACCTGTGTTTTGTACATTTCTTTAAAAAAAAACTCATTTCAAAAGAAGAGAGGTATTCTGAACAATTATCTCAACTATGATATTCAATAAAAATTATAGTTAATAATGATGAATAAATTTCAATAGACAGACAACAATAAATATGAAATGCTAAAGTGGGACCTAGTGAATATGTAATGAGATATGTCCGAAATAAACACCAAAAATATAAAACTCATCACTGGATTTAGTTGAAAAACCAGGTCTGTTTCAGTTTTGCATCTTCCAGATACAAACAGTTTATGGGAGCCTTAGAAGTTCTACACCTACCTAGAAAAGCAGACATAGTTAAGATAGTCACAGAAACAAATGCCTCACCCTGATGATCTGAAATGATCTGAAAGGATCAGCAGATAAATGGGTTGAAAATTTGTAATAAAGCCCCTACCAAAACTAATTAAAAGCTAAAAAATGCAAAGATTGTGCATTAAGAAAAAGGAGTCATTTAAAAAAGAATAATATACTGTGAGAACAGAAAATTTACGTGAGAATTAACTAAAGCAACGTAAACTTTTTCAGCTAATGCAGAGGAGGTAAAACCTATTGACTAGTTTATCATATTGTTCTGTCCTGTACATATATGGAAGTGAATGCCTACTACAGTGTAAAAAGCCTGGAGCTTTCTGACTGCTTCTGGTACAGCACTACTTCTCCAGGTCTTTTTTACATAGCAGTAAAGAGAGCATGACTAAGCACTGTGAGAAAATAAATTGTGACAAGAGAGTCATACTGCAACTGGTAATTTAAGAGGCCTGTTTTTGTTCTAGTCACGAGGACATTTTATTAAATTTTGTACTTATGCAAAATGTAATTCGAACTCGCTTTTTTATTAACAAACATGTCGACCATGTAAGCAGCTGTTACTATTACAACATATAAACTCAGTTTGGCAAAAACACCCGTGTGATGTGACTTGGACCACGGCTGATAACCGATTTACCCTAAGACAGAAATCAAATAGGACGAATGAAGCTGAATGAAGATTCCCCCGATTACCACTACAAAATAAAAAAAGCCCCGTCACAAAAGTGACCTAATTTTAACTTCATAACTTTATGTTATAGCACCAACACATAAGGAAACAAAAGTATAGAACACTCATTCCCAAGCTATACTATTCTTTTTTGCCGCTGATGAAACTAAGTACAGTATTTGCGAACCACGGCTAATAGTTCCCTCGTTACACTTCTCTGAAAATACTCCCTAGAGAGCTTTCAAGCGACCTAAGTAGTAACTTATTTAAAAAAATAGGCCACTCCAATGTAGCGGATCTGAACTGTTGAACACTTCAAAAACCAACAACTGATGGCTTCTGAAACGTCATCACTACATTCCAGCGTTATTGCACGAATTCAGAACGACTTAAATGATGGCTAACGTTAATTTAAAAATCTCTTCTCCTAACGGATAAAATAATTGAATACGTACATCACATTTATTACACAATTATTGTTGGTACGAACGGAATATGATTCCATAATGACTTGAGCCAAGTTTCTAAACGGAGACAAAACAAATGTAATTAAGCGAATCCCCATCTCGCAGCCGGTGACATTTATTTTTACTAAAGCACAGGTTTCACAAACGATCTTTTCATCGCGCAGGCTTTATCTTATTCAGTCCCGACGCTTCGCGCAAATTTTTAAAAGCGTAATGAAAATAAAAAATAAACGAATTTCTAAGAACACGAGCAGTGAAGAGTTATTTTTTGACAGTTGCCGAGGTATTTGTTCCTGGGCCTGCTCCAGTCCAGGCAGCACTAGGCCTGCTCAGTGTCGCCGGCAGCAGCTCCCACTTCCCCCCATAAATGACACCTCTAACAGAGAAATTAAACTAAATTACTTACGTAGAAAGTTTCCTGGTCCAAAACATAACTCCGGGCCATAACTCCCTGAGGAGGACTGCCCGGCCCAAATTAGCTTTGATTTTTGCCAAAATGTCATTGGATTCCTTGTCTAGTTTGTCCGAGTATGGTAGGAGTTTACTGTAAACGATCTCTTTTTGTGGAACAAAACCTAGTGCCTGAACCTCGTCTTTTTTCATATTATAATTTCCGAATCGTTTATATCTTTCCGTCGTTATTTCCCTGTGTTCTTCTTCCTTGCTGTACTTCCCTCGTATGATTAGGCAGTTGCAGTCGCCGCACTCTGTAACATTTGATTAATCTAATGAGGATGGTGCAGTTAGGAGTGTGTCAGCACTTGGGATCTCTCAGTCTGTTCTGACCTCCACAGTCACACACGTACATTCACACATATACACACATTCGGATTCTCCATGCACACACACATACAGACAAGGAAAAACACACTCCTCCCCTTGCCCTTTGTCGTCATTTCCTGAATTACACACACCTTGTCGGGTTCGTCGATTGCTCTCATAGTGTATATATTTAGGAGTGTTCGACTGATTTATTTCACGATCTAAATGAATTAATATAGTGTTTTGGCAAGAAACACATTTTAATTTAAAGGGGTTACGTACCTCAAAATATTTCCCATGTCAATGTATTTAGTGGTTGTTGAGACATCTAGATTGAATGACTAAAATGGTATACTGTATCTATTTTTACAGTATAGACTTCCTAATGTAGCTATTTAAAAATAGAGGAATTTGTAAACAACAGGTGTAGCCAAAAGAAAAAAACATGTACTGTATATTTATTCACACTAATTTAGTTATTTAGTCTGATTATATATTTTAATAAGTATAGTTAGGAACAGAAAGACATTTGTGGGGAAATTTGTTTTCAGAGACCTACTGACCTTTTTATTCTGTGAAAAAAGTGTGTTAAATTGTATGTAAAAGTCTCAATGTGTATAATCTTTATTGATTTTCATTAAGTGAGCATGGTCAAAATGTTATTTAGGAAATGAGATAAAACAAACAAATTATTCCATAAGAATAAGATAATTCCATATATGTTATTCAAAGGAGAAGTCTGATATGAATTTAAGAATTTCAAATTTGTTGTGCACAATATTGGTTACCACAGTACAAAACAATTTTGTTTACCTGAAATAAGTCCAGGAAATATATGTGATGTATATGTATATATATGGTGTATACTGTATATTTACGATGTAAATATATGTATGTAAATATAAGATATGTGTAAAGATGGTCTAAAGTATAGGGAAAGTCTCTGTCAGGATAAAATAACTTATCTTCTAATTTGAACTTTATTGCCATATGTAACTGGTACATGTACTGGTACAATGGAATTTTTACTTACAGATTGTTAAAAAAAAAGTGTATGACATAAAGTGCTGACAGTGCATCAAGACAATATACAAACAACGTACAAGTAAAAAGTTTGAATGTAAACAATGCAGACATATAAACAATGACTGCAGATGTGCAATAAATAAAATTACAATGAGGTTGATGGTGTAGTTGTGGTCCAAGGGGCATGGCCAAATGTTTGCCAATCGCACTGCTTGTGGGTAGAAGCTATTGAAGAATCTAGTGGTAAGTGTCCGTATGCTTTTGTATCTCTTGCCTGAGGGCAGTGGGGTGAAGAGCTCATGCCCGGGGTGGTGAGAGTCCTCTGTGATGGCAGAATTCTACCATGGCAGCGGGCCTCATAGAGCTGTTTAATCTCTGTGAGACCACAGCCGATGATCTTCTGAGCTACATTCACCATTCTCTGCAGTGCCTTTCTGTCTTGAGAAGAGGTGTTGCCGTACCACACTGTGATCCCGTTGGTGAGGACGCTCTTGGTGGTGCAGCGGTAGAAGTTCACCAACACAGGTACTGTCATCCCCCATCGCTTGAGGCACCTCAGGAAATAGAGGCGCTGCTGAGCCTTCTTCAAGATAATGTCCGTGTTCACAGTCCAGGTTAGGTCATTAGAAATGTGAATTCCCAAAAACATAAAGCTGGTGACTGTTTACACTTCCGTTCCATCAATACTGAGTGGGCTGTGAGTGTGCGGTCTGTCTCAGAAAGTCCACTAATTATTTATTTTGTATTTTAGATCAATACATAACTTAAAAGAGCAATGAATGACTTCTAAAGAGAAATGCATTCTCAGTTTGAAAAAAATATATTTTTTAAAGAAAATACTGCCATTTACTGTTCACGGAATCTTACATCTTATAACATCTGCATTTGTTGTTTTGAATTTATATATTAGAGACATTTTATAGATATGAGAGCCCCTACCCAGCAAAATATGGTCCTTAAAAATACAGTTTTGAAACAGCTGAGCAATACTCATGTCTTCTACTGTACAGCTACAGCTTGTGTGTTTTAACTTAACCTCAGTAAAGGTTTTATCCTGAGCACTGATACAAACAAGATCAGATAAAATCCCCTTAAGCCTGTTTTCGACAATGACCGCAGAAGCTGTTTCTTCACTGTTGAGTGGATGCTCTCCCTGCTGTGCATGTTGCTTTAAGCAATTCTATAGATGAGAACCAGTTTGCTTATATAGGCATAAATACTTGAAAATGTTGTATGGATAACTGCTCATATTATAGTGGTTTGTTTAGCAGATGCTCTTATTCAGATTGACATAAAAAGTATACTTTGATTTGTGTAAAGTAAATGTACGTGAAAGTACAATAAAACTAATAAAATTAATAAAATCATGACTAGATTTGCATGGTTAAACTGGAAGTACAGCATGAGTGCTACACAAAACTGAAGCAAAAGAACTAAAATATTAAGAACTAAAACAATATTGGATGAGCAGAGATACAAAGCAATAATACAGTAGGTAACTTTCATATTTACAGTGAATATGTGACATTTGTCATTTACATTACCAGTATGAGAATGAAAAACATTAGTGCAATACAGTCCAAGTGTTGCTGAAACATGTATTTAAAAGCTGAGAGGTTGCAGGTGCTGTCTAATAGATGGGTCTTGAGCAGGCACTGAAAGGTGGTCATGGACTGAACAGTTCGGATTTCATTCCACCACTGGAAGCAGGAGCAGGAATAATGGGATCTGGGAGTGGGAGGATGGATAAAGGGGAAATAAAACTGGCAGAATGGTTGCCGATACAAAATATTAGAAAGTTGTTCTGACTGCTTCATAGTAGAACACTGTAACATCTTAAGTATTATTTTTGCTCTAGTACACAGAGAATTATACTGTAGTGACTGAACTGTGGCAGCTCAGGGTGGAGGGGGGAGGTGACTGGACTGTTCTTGAAACTAGGTCACAAGGAAGGCTGATTCCTAGCAAATACAGATTAACACCTGTTGGCAACATGTACTGTACCAGGAAAGTAGAAACTCCATTCACCCTGTATTTGCTGATAGTTTCACTACTTGCTAACGTTTTATTGTTTATGCCCCCACTCTTTCTAACTCTAGAAAAGGTACAACAAGTACAAAGTTTCTAAAACTTTGTAGAAATAAAATCAGAACTCAGCTTCTACGACTGACTTGTACCCTACAATATTTTCACTCTCATTCTTTTATAATTGAACTATAGAAAACGGGAAACACGTTTTGCTATAGAGAAATTTGCTTAGAAAATTATCCTGAAATTATTACTGAATGAGAGGTTGACATTAGGCTTAGAGGCAGTATGTGAGAGTTTTTGTCTTAAAATGATCATTTACGTTGCAGACTTTCATTTATGTCGGTGTTTGTAGAAATTTACAGTACAAATGAGATTATGAATACAGATAACTGCAGTATTTTGAAAGTAGGCATCTTATTTAAGCAGTTCTAGGAAAACAGTTTAGTGAAGATATATGTAACACATGGAGTGATGAATCTACTTTGTGCCATTCAAAAATGCATCACGTATACTTAGATTTTACCAGCTTTTTTAGTACGGTAGTGCAGAGGTTACTGCATTTTATCTGAACAACGGGTACATTGGGACTAGTAGTTCTCATATTTTAAATTAACTGTATTTTGTCATTTTTGTACCACTTAATGTTAGGCTATGTTGCAATGATCTCCGTTTCTGAACACATCGACTTTAACTTCTCAATACTTCGGTTACCAAAAATCCAGCAAATAAATGTCAATGAATAGAATTGTTATTTTCAACGGTATATTTTTATCGTCATCTCAAATTGTGTACAAGACAACCTGTCACCAGTGTAGTATTATAACTTGGCAGGAAACTGTCCACAGTCACACTTCAGAAGTGAAGCATTCAGTCTATATTTAACACTCCCCAAGCGTCCTTAATCTTCCTGGAGTAGGCGGAAATATTTATCGGGCTGGCGTCAGAGAGCCACAATGCCTTTCTCAATAACTTTTCTTTAGGCTTTTATTTAATGTACAGTACCAGTTGTATTAATGGCCATTTTTAGGTCCATAATCATTTCGACTATAAAAAAAATCTTATTTTAATATTGAATACGGGGGTGGCCTCTGGCGGGGAATTCTAGAATGACAAATATACTGTACAGACCTTATATTACTCCTTCTGTAACTGATCTGTTTTGGAATTTGTATAATTTGTCAAATTTAAACACCCTGAGATATGTATTTATGTGCAATATAGAATCCGTGATCAAATGGATAGTAATTTACTTTTTGCATTAAACTTTTAATATTAATGTATTAATGTTGCATAATAAACTTGATTTAAAAATATATAAGTGTTGTACTGTATGACGCATATATAGAAGACCCACTTAGAAAAGAAAATGTTAGAAATAGTTCGTTTGGGATGCTTTATATAAGACAAAGAAGTGAATAAACAAACGCGTTTCTGAAAAGAAGACGCAGCCGTGCTTGGAATGGCCCAGCTGGCGTCCCGTTAACTTGTGCTGCCAAGACAACGACAAACAACGTTCCCGAGTGAGTTCTGGTGAGTTTTCATTTTAAAAGAAGTTGCTTATTTTGCTGTATTGTTCCTCTGTAAATTCTCAATAAAAAGATCTGAACTAAAAAGATGCGAGTGTTATTTTGTCCGTGCACAGATAGTTATGAATACTGACAACCATGCACCACACAGTCAGAGCGAAACGCACGTTTCGGCAAGTGGACTGCGTAGACTGTTGTAAGATAAGATCAAAGAACTATGACAGGATTTAACAGGTGTTTTTTAGTATTTTATTTTCATTCTGATGTTTATCAAGTTATATCGTCACTTGTTAATTACATCCGTTTAAAGTTTGCAGACTGTTGGATTATACTGTACGAGTTGGAGATCAAGTGAAGTTAGGAACTGAACTTAATCGAGGTAACAACAACCAAGTCAAAGGCATAGACAGAATTAATCAATTGGACTTCATCAGGATAAGCAATGAAGTATGAACCCGAGGACACCAGTGGAAACTACATGGAAGAGCATTAAAACAAGGGTTGTGAGACCATGTTGTTGAAGCAGATACCCTAGTAGTTTCTTTCAACTAATCAGCTTTCAACTCTGATCTGTTAGATAATTACAACCAAATGGACTATAGGGTCTGAATAGCCTCCTCTTGTTTTTAACCTTTCTTATGGTCTTAGTTCAGTATGGTGACCAGGAACTGTAGAGCAAGAGTATTGAATGCCAGTCCTCAAATACCAGATTTCTGTAGGATTTAGAAATGCCTTTCAATTTGCACTTGGAAAACACAGCTGATTGATCCAATTCAATTCAATTGGTCTTATTTCAAATTAATTCAACATATTTCAATTTAGAGATTATTGCATGTGTATTGAAGTACATAGTTCTATATTCTCTCACAAATTGTAAACATTGAGTATTCCCAAGAAATTTGATGGTTAAATGGTTAAAAATGTGACATTCTATATAAAGATTCTAATTCTCTTTCCTTTTTCTGTTCTGTTCTCCATTAAAATCATTGATGTCATTGCATTGGTCTATAATGAATAAAAAATGTTTGTGTAGCTATGTACAGTACACATCTTTCATTAACTATTCAGCTTCATAACAACCCAGTTTTCCATACTTCCTCAGAGTACAACATCCTGTCTTTACACATTTACACATTTTAACATTTGTGGTTAAAAGGTTCGTTAAAGAGAAATACTTTCCTATTATAGACACTAGATGGCAGTGAGACTGCATTTATTAAAAGTGCAGTATGCAGTCCTACATATCTGTGCTTCATTCCCTATATTCCCAGTAACACATAAAAAACCATACTGACTTCAATGTGGCCTGTAACTAATTGCAGACATTACCACTTCAATTTTTTTGACAAGTAAATTGATTAGCACGTTGAAAAGTTGTCACTGAATTTAAAAGAGGACTACTAACAAACATCAGGAATCCACATTACCAACACTAAAGCTTGCACCAATGTAGGTACTGCGGCAGGCTATATGTCTGAGTATATTTAAAAGTTCCTCCAGGAATCTGCAGGACTAACATACAAAATATCTTAGTCCACTTATCCAAATATATCCAAATATATTTCATTCATCTGTAGCAGCTACATCTCACCTTAATTAGCAAAATTTGAAAATATGATTGATGTATTATATAAGTTTAGGCGAAGTAAGTGAAGTAAGTGAAGTAAGTGAAGTAAGTGAAATTTAGTCTTTGCTGTGACTAATTTAAGTATTTAATCCCTAGTGCTGCAGATACAGTAACATGTGCTTAAAATATTTCCAGGTACCTTTTAGACGTTTATGTCTCAATTAAATTACCACTAGACATATATACTTCATTATATACTTTATATACTTCATTGTTATTTGGCAATAGTCATTATTTGGCAATAGTCATTTACTTAACTGCAATTTAATAACCTGTCATTCACAACCTCTCCTTGTCTCCATCGAGAGTCCCAGGATAACATTTCTGTAAGGTTATGCATTGCAGGAAACTGGCACATCATTGTGCTGTAGGTTGTACAAAAGGTTTTTATTTTAACCCATTTCCCTTTTATGGCTCTTGCTCTTACCATGCAAGGCTCAGGAACTTATAAACACACATGGAGAATGTGATAGAGAAGGTGGTCACATTGATATCAGTAAAGTCCTTGTGGTTTTTTGTTTATCTGGTATTTTACAGCAACGAAAGGACTTTTTTCAAGTATAACAGTGCTATCAAGGTGGTTTTACAGCCTGCTTTGGAATTTCCTGTATTGAACAGATTAATTCAGTTGTGCAATAGAGCTGGAAAAAGATGAAAAAGAGTGTGATTTAATATACTAGTTTTGTGTCTATGTTTATTGCCTCTATTTTATGTTGGCATTTCTAGACTGAAAGATAAATGGATGGGTTGCACAGTGCCTGCGTGTCTGAGGACTGTGTCCGGGGAGTTCTCGAGGAGAGGTTCTCTGTGTCCTGCAAAGCACCAGTGTCTCACATCCAGGTCGACTGCTGCTCCTCCGTCTGTGCCTTCCCACTGCAGGGCAATGAACTGTGCATCCAGAGCATCGCTGACCCTTCTCTGCAGGTCTGCAAACTACATTTAGTTAAACAATTGCAGCAGTTATTATTAACAAGAAATACTTTTTTTTTGCTGGTAAAGGTAAATGAAAATCCTGTTATTTGTTTTTGATCCTCATATTGGTGTCGTTGGTCCATAGCTAAAGATCTTCGTAATTGGGAATAAGTTAATACTTAAGTAAAATTAACTTATTAAGAGCTGACTTGCATTGAAAACCAGAAGACAGTGCAGCTCTGCAGGACCATTTTCTGAAGTCTCTGTGCCAGTCTACGATCAGTTATAGTAATCAGATACTTTGTTATGAATAACTGTTTCTTCCATCTCTCCAGCCCTTGCAGCTGAAAGGCCATCATCATTCCATATCTGCTGTGACCTTTGGGAACAGGCAGAAGCCACTGTTAATCTGTTCTGCCTCGGAGGACTATGTGATAGTGTGGGACGTAGAGAGATGCCGCAAGAAAACAGAAGAAGGTAATACAATTTGTATTCAGATGATACAATCTGTATTTAGAACTAACCCTGCATTTCATTAAGACTTGATATGTTTGCATGTGCCTAAAATTATGTTTATATTGCTTGTCTTTCTAATCATGGTTATTTATTTTTTGTTATATAATGAAATAAATGTACTCATAATGGAGCAGTTGTGTTCTTGAATTTTTGCCTAATCTTATTTAAGATTTATTTAAAAATATTGATCTTAGTTTACCAGTTTTTGCATTTCTTGCCTGGGAGCTGACAAAAGGATTATTCATGAGTAATTTGTTTTTCTAAATGTAGAATTATTTCTCCATTTTCCTGAAGCTTCTGTCATTACTGTTTGCTTAGGTCAGTCACAACATTGAATGCAATGCAATTGCCCCCTACCATATTATTGCACAATGAAAATGCACTACTCTAAGTTTTATATTAGTAACTAGTTGGGAAAACACAAAATGTTATCTGCATTTTAAAAAAGTTTACAGACTGTTGGATATGTATTGTTCCTAAGGGGTTACAGGTTCAAATGTTCAGTGTTTGGTAAATGAGCTGAATTAAAATACCAAAATGAGTTTAATTAAGAAACCGTATCAATAGCTATTCAAAAGCACATGACTTAAGTTATTGCAAGAAGAGTGTAAGATACAGTACGTCCATGCACTGCCTGGTTAATGTCAGTATGATTAAAAGCAGCCTGTCTGGGAGAAAAGTTGCCTGGAGATTCAGTTGTTTGATTCAACAATCAGCAACCTTGTCCAGAAAAACCAATAAACTAGCTCTGTGAGGGGCAGGTTATATCTTGGAAGGCTCACAGGTCTGTACACAAGCCCAGGGCATGCATGTTTTCAGGCTACACTGGCTACATTATGAGAAGTTCCTGGAAGAAATAGACATGTAACCACAGAATTACTGTATCTCACTGTTTGCATGAAGCTAATCTGCATATTCTGAGGGCATCAATGGTAATATTGTTTACCGAGAGACAAAATTGCTATCTTGTTTGGACCAGACAACATCTTAAGGTTGCAGCAGTGATAGTTACTTATTCACAGGTTATTCACAGACCTGACAGAAGACAACGTGTGGAGACTTTCTAATAGGTATGAAACTGAAGTCAAGCCAACTGGTGGAGAGATACAGATCATCTGTAACACAAAAATGCCTTTGTCACAGACTGAGAGTGTATTACTGCGCGGCAATACATTTGTGAAGTCAATAGTAATTCTGTTCCTGGAAACAATATAGAAGTGTCAGTTTTGCTCAAAGACAATGCAAGGCCACATGCTACTAAGATTACAGTGACACCACCATGAGAAAGCAATGCCATGGTCATATCAAGACCAGTTTGATAATCTATGAGAACAGCTGTCCAATACCATCAACAGAAAACAGCCAAGCTGACAAACACTACCTGGCTGCAGCTGCAAGGAAGAGTGGCAGAACATACCACAACTCTTAATACATCTCCAGGCTGATTAGGGCTGTGCTACACTGCCAGGCATGTGTTAATGCTCGTAGAGACCATACCCAAAACTGTCTTTGTAATTATTTTCATTTTAACAATGTGTCTCACTTCATATTGAATATTTCTGAGGATTCATTGATTACTGATTCATTGTTCCTGTTTGCATTTTCTGGTCTTCTGTATATTTATGTTTAAAATGTTGAATAAATCTGTTAGACATGAGTACATCAGTATATTTTCTTTATACTGATGGTATTTTAATAGTTAAATATAATTTTACATTTTTTTTATTATATCAGATTTTATTTTCAGGTTTGATCGCCATGGGGACTATAGTTGGAACTCTCCTTGGAAATGTCAGTCATTTGTCTATATGCCCAAGAGATGAAAAGGTTGCAGCATGCACTGGTGCAAAAATATACATATTGAATATTAAGGTAAGTTTTTCCTAGGCATTCAGAATGTAGTTCAGTCATACTATGATTTTCTAAGATTCCATGTAACCTTAGTAACATGGAAATTATTTCATGCTTTTAAGTTTAGCTCATATTACAAATTATAAAGAATATTTATCTAATAAAGCACCCAGTATTTCAGTATTAATATGAAATTAAGTATTCTATGCGGATATGTCTCCTTTTTCATTCTTACAGCAGTTAGTGTTATTTTCAAAGCAATGTCAACCTAGATCAATTTCTTATTTATTATTAAATAATAATATCTGTCTATGTGTTTTTTACCTACAGTATAGATAATCTTCTCTTCAGCAATCTATGGGCTAGTGGAGTAATGTACATTAGTTAAAAACATAGATATGTGTGAACATACACATACTCTATATAGGAATGCTTTAAAATACAATCCCAGATTCTAGATAATCTTTAGATATGAATTTGCTGCAGCATTTCCACCTTGTAGCCTGATCTCATCAGGCTTGGCCTGGTCAGCACTGGGATCCAAGGAAAATTGAGGTTGCTGGTGCAAGTTGTGTTGGTGCAGTGGGTGGTACTCATATTTTCAAACCAATGATACAGTATGGTGACAGGGGGATACTGTCCTTTAGATAAATCTTTAGACCAAAGTACTGAGTACTTAGGATCTTTAATAACTACGACACTTTACATGTTTGAGTTTTGAGTAGGTGTGTGAAATCCAATAGTGAAGCAATTTCTTACTTCTTTACCTGAACTGTTCTTTAGTGGGGCTGTTGGCATATAATAGCTGCCATGTATCAGGTGGGAGCTGCACAATATTGGTGGATAAAATGGGTTCCTGCCTACATGTAAAGTTTTTGGAGATTCTTTGGGATTAAAAAAGAATATATAAATGCAAAGAATTATTATGAAGTATGTTTTGGGAGTGATATAATTTCATCGTTTGTAAACAAGCTGTTGACATGAAAGTTAAGAGAATTATGAATTGTATGGGTCGCATGGTACATTTGGCATTGCTTGAGAGGCTGTTGCATGCTCACTTGGACTAAAATGCATGTGCTGCAGGCCACTACACAGCATTTTAAAAATCAAATCCCAGGTTCAACTAGAAAGTAAAAGGGATCCTTGTCATACGAATGAACATTATCTGCATTTCTGTGGGATGTACTTGTTTCTGTAAGAACAATTAGAGCATAGTTCTCACAGTGCTCTCAACAGGACACTGTTCCGTGATATTACCACGGACAACTCCAAGATGGCTCTCAGTGGTGTCATTAATAGCCCCACACCATTATGCTATCACTGCCAAAACAGTGCTGCTCCCTGCACATGCCACATACCAGGGACATTTGATTGTTTCTCCTGCTAAGACATTCTCCACCACTGCCAAATGAACCACAGAATTGTGATTCATCATTCCTGACAGAGGTATTTCCATAGCATGCTCCTTGCCTTAAATTTAAGATGGCATCACCACAGTGTTACTTAATATAATTTACAAATATTAGATGAATTAGTTATTGCTGCATTATTAAGAATTAAGAATGAAAATGTACTGATTCTCTAAAACATTTGAGTATAGGTCATGCAATTCAGTAAGTGACACTGAATGATTCCAGTGCTGTATATTTTAGACTTGCTGTCCATATTCCAGCAGGAGGAAGTTCTCTCAGTGTTTGAAGGTCACCTGGCTGCAGTGACTGCTGCAGTATTCCCCTCCTGGAATGCAGACATTATTGTGTCCATCTCTGAAGACAGAACATTTAAGGTACAAAATATCACTTAACTGTAGACTGGATGTGACAAGTCAATAAGATGTAGCATTGCATCTGCTTTAAGATTAGTTATGTGAATAGACTGTGAGAAATAAAAGGTGAGATATAAATTACATTTATTGTGATGGACTGGAGTTCCATCCATTGTGTGTTCCGCCCTGTGCCCATTGCTTGCTGGGATAAGTTCCCACTCCCTCACAACCCTGCAGTGGATAATGTGGTTAGAAAATGGATTGATGGATCAATAATACTTACCGATATTTTGAATCTCTATACATACACTGGCCAGATTAGTTTTATTTTGTTCTAAAATGTATTTTTCTTTTTATAGGTTTGGAATCTGTCAAATGAGGAGCTAATCCACCAGTCCGCTGTTTTATCAGGTACATTCAGAAAATGACTAATTTAGAATTGACTTTCTGAAAATGTAATGTTAATGTTTTTGGTGTTTTTTATTTATTTTTTTTAGGTTCCCCTCTGCTCAGTGTGTTCCTAAGTGAAATGAATAAACAGCTTATCACTGGATCAGCTGATGGTCAGGTATATCTTACACAAGGGGAAGCAATTCTGAAAAACATTTTTTTTAAATGCGCTTACACAGATATACAGTCCCGAACCCATTTATTATGAGTCTAAAAGGAAGCAGTAAAATAGGCCTTGGAATATGTCATTAAAAACTTTAATTTCTTCAAGGATTGTTGGCATTTTAGAAGCATTTATTCATAATAAGGAGTAAGAAATGTTGCTTTCATGTAGGCCATAGAAATAGGAGTAAAATTATTGAAATAAAAATGTTACTTAATTTTCCTAGTATCTTACCCCTCCTTTTACTGTAAAACTGGTGATGTAATACTCAAGCTTAATTCAATTACAGAATTAAATAGCTAGTTTAAAGCTTGTAATTTTTTTTCAACCACCACATAAATATATTTTACTAAACAAGAATTTATATGCTGTGAACTAGATAACTAGAATAATAAAACTATATATATATATTATGTAGACATATCCTAAAATACCCTATCCTTTTCTAACCAAATTACTGATTATTTCAAAAATTATCTCAAAGTTATTCATTTAAAACCTGTTAGTGTCTAATGAAGCTTTTATGTATTGGAAAAAGTAGTTCAAGAACTTTCTTTCTTGGTCAGGTCTGGGTCTTCAGTCTCCTCAGTGAACACAAGTACCGTTTAGTTACAAGGGTGGATTTACAGAAAACTGAACAAAGATATCTGAAGAATAAGGCGTTCAGAGAAACTCAGAAAGGTAAATCTCATATACAGACACCTTGGTAAACAATTAAATAGCTGATAGGGATTAGAAGCCAGCATTGATCGGAGTTTCTGCATATTACTGAAAATGTAGTGTCTCATTTCACATACAGTTTGTCCTGCTAAGTATATTAACAAGAAAAATAGATTATACTGCTGTGTACACTTTGATGTCTGTTGACAGGATTTCATCTAGTGTGGGTTAGGGTCTGCCAAAACATGACAGCTTTGCAGAAACACTGCTCTGAGGAGTACATCATGAGCTTAATTTCTTTACAGGGACTTCTATTAAAGACAGCTTGGAAAAGGACAACAAAGTGGAGACTGTAAATCCAGTTTTGAGAATTGCACCTTTCATTTCAGTTCTTGACACAAGAGGAAATGCAAACAGGTACTGTAAACATGAAAGTACAAAATCTCTCCATCTCTTGTTTTTCACTAGAGAATGATCTGCAGTATACTGTACATATGTTAATTTTTAAAGTTTGCATCAAAATACTTTAATTTCTCATTTCATGGTAACATGCTAACAAACTGTGCAATACACAGTATATGGCTTCCTTTTGTTTTACTCTGTACAATTAAAACATCAAGTGATTTTTACATTTTTAGCTGGATATATAAGTGTTGTTTAGGAACAGTTGCAATTTACTTTATTTCTAAATATCATGGGAACGTGTTATTAGTGTCCAAGGTTGTGAATCCATGCACACAGCATTTATATGATTCAGCACTTATATGGGTACCTTCATTCCCTAACCCTTTAGAGAATCCCAGATCAGTACCGGAGGAGGAGGTGTTTGATTCTGTGGAGAGGAGTGCTGATGTTCAAATGCATATTTTATTTTCATTTATGTACATTTTTTACAGACTAATTGTGAAATGTATTTTTTTCTTTCTCCCTTTGTTCTTAAAAGGTTTTGTAGCAGGAGTGGGAGCTATTTTTGGATTGGAAGTTCAGATGGTGTTTATCTTATTAATTTGGCTACTTCTGAGTTGTGCACAGTTATGCACTTCAAAGGTAACCACAGACAAACATTTAATTACCAATCCACTTTCAACTTCATTGAGGTGCTGGGTGTAGGTTCTTCCGGGAGAGGTTCAGGAAGTGCTTGAGTTGTGGGATTTTCTGTTGCACTGCGGTGCTGAATGATTCCTCACTTTTTTTCTTCAGTATGATTCGTTCTTTCTCTTTTTCTTTGGTGTGTTTTCTGCTTGTGGTAGATATTAGATGAGGCACTAGTGAGCAAGGAATGATACTGTATATTGTTCCTTACAAAGGTGGATAATAGCAACCCAATAATTCTGTAGAGCTGGTATCACCAGTTGCTGAGTGTGGATCAGCTTTTTGAGTGCCCATATTGTAGTATCCCTGTATTAATTCTGATTCCCTCAGCTGTGCCTGGACTCCTCTGCTATAATCCTTTTGCTATCAGGAATAACAGAGATTTTCAAGGCAGCATAAATTATACAATCTTGGCTTGTTTCCACATCTTTCTCAGTTGCCTTATTATTGTTAAAGTGGCCAGAATTTCAAAGTTGTGGGTGGTTACCAAAACTGACAACTTCTGTAATTCATGTCACTTGCAAAAATCAGCCACTGGAGTATAAGGAGGGCAGCTGTAAATTAGGTTAATCAGATCTCATTGTGTTTATTTGTAAAGCAGAGCTGTTGGCAGCTACACAATTTATTACACATTGAAGACTTGTGCTGCTTATTACAAATGCAAATGTAAAAGAACTAAGGACATCAATAGCTTTAGATTTGTGGTTCAGGGTCTTGTGTTGGAGGCAATTAATATAAATTCACTTAAAATGTAATTTTCCTGTAGATTACCCTGGATTAACCATTGCAATGGCAGGATCATGGGCGATCCAGCAAGGAAACCAAACCAATGCAAGTACTCCTTTCCTTTGTGACTGAATTATAAATAACTTTATGTTGTTCATTATAGAAAAGTACATTTCTGTCAGCAGAATTTACCAGTTAGAGTCAGACTTCCTGTTTCCATGCTTGTTATCCTTGTAATGTTAAACAAAATACATTAAAATCAGTTGTAGAACGTATACAGTACCTTCAGTATTTTATAATGCCCCAATTAGCAGTTAATGGTTTCATAAATCTAATACGATTTGAGATGTAAAGGTTTTATAAGGCTTGGCTCACTCATACATCCTGAAGGAAACTGGAGCAGAGGTGGTGAGGAACATTATTTCTCTCCTAAACTGATGTGCTAATTCCTCTGTAGGTTTTCTGCCTTCTGACATCCATGTTTGAAGATAACATTGCTCTGGTGCAGATCAATGTAACAGTGCTGGCTGAAAGTCACTGTTACTTTAATGGGCAGGAATGTCCAGGGGAAGACAACCTGTATGTGGTTGCCAGGTACAGTATTTGTTTACGTGATATTTTTCTTATAAGGCTCAAGATTCGCATTATGACTACTATGAGGGTTTAGTAATAAAATGCAAAATAATAAAGATGTCCTTTTTGAGAGGTTCACAAAATAGGGAGAAAGGCATTTTACGGCACTTCTATTATTTATAAATTCATGTTTTTGCGTTGCCTGATTCTGTTCCAAAAAGAAAAGCAGTTTCCCCTGTTCAGCTTTGCTTGGCTTGGCACCTATAGTATTCCAGAATAATGATGTATTGATTGAATTGCATTTTGTTGTTTACTTTAGCTATCTTTACAAGCCTACAAAAAATAAATTACTAGAGCACCCCCCAAGAAAGTGCAACTGGCAAAACAGATTAATTATATAAATTATTCATGAGTCCATACAACAAGCAATTTAATTTCTTCCAGAATGCTGTTCACATTTCTTACAGAATTTTTCATTATTGTAAAATGTCACACAAAAGCCCTCAGTCCTTCAGTTCCACTGCATTATTTCAGAGAGTTGTTTAGCTAATGTAAATGGGTTATCTGAAAGTCTTGCCAGGACATTTTCTGAGCTGTGCTATGACTGTTTGGTACAATGGGTGAGTGTCTCAGCTGACTGGATTTTAAACCCAAGGAATCCTGAGGAATATCATTTGGAGTCCATGTGTTTCAGCACACGGCCAGGCACCTGATTCCAATCTGGTATCTGACATTTCTCTTCCCATAATGACAATGAAACTGTGGTTTTCGAATATAGGGAGATTGCTAGAAAGGAAAATTAAGGAAATAAGAATACAGTTACTGTATGCACATAATGTAGCGTGAATACTACTATGGTGTTAACTGGAGACACATAAAACATATTCTGGTCCTACTGTGCTAGATACTGTATTTCTCAACATCCTGAACACTGAATTCAGTATCTGCATCTGTGAGGTAAAACTGAAATCCAAAAGACTTCTTCGCTTCTCAGAGATATAATGAAACACTGACCAATTTTATTGTTTCATTGTGAGGTTTAAATACTGCTCAGTATCACCTTTTTATAAATTGAATTTTAATCTGACATGGGGTTAATACCAGATCTCCTAAATTCAAATTAATCAAAACACATTCTTTTACCAGTGGTAATCATAAATTGTGATGTAGAGTAATTGCTTTTTACATAACTACATCCATGAATCTGTTTTATGTACAGTATACAGTATGTACATACAGTATTGTTCACATATAACACAATCCAAGACATTACTTTATACTTAGATTCATCTGTCTGCAAATCAAGAAGCAGAATCAGTAAATGCAATACTGCTAAGAGAATAATAAAAATGATGTCCTCATTTGCATGTGAATCTTTCACTTTAAGATTTTACCGTGAGACGGTACTTGAATTAAGGAGTTTGGGAGCCAAATGGAAAGTCCTTAAGAGCTGCTGGAAGGTTGCACAAATATTAATAGAAACCTCATGTGCCAGGAAACCAACTTCACAGCAGCTGGCAAAGGGAACTAAGGGATTAAAACAGTGAGGAGTAAAGCAGTGCAATGGGCCAAGACACAAGATGTAAGAATTGCTGCAAAGAAAAAGCAAAGACAAATTAAACTCCCATCTTTCCAGCCTCCCTGTAGACCTTCCACAGCAGAGACTTGTCTGCTTCAGGAAAAAGAACCAGGGCAGAAATTCTGCATCTTTTTAGCAATGGCACAAAAAACTGTTTTCCAAGACAAATGTACGTATAGGTGTGAGGCTGGCAAATTTCACTCTGCTGTGGAGTTTATAGCTGAAAAACACCAGCCTAGAAGCTGTGTTATTGGCATAAAAAGATTATGTCTCTACATACAAAAGTGCTGAGTGTCTAGACAGCTGGGGTGTAAAATATAGTGAGGATTTATATTTGAGATTTATATTATACTGTATATGTCTATAACAGAGTTTTCTTTCCAATTTTTAGGAGACCTCTACTACCTGATTCTCTGCTAAGTTCGGATGTTTTGAGGAAAGATGCCTCCAAACCGCCGAAAAAATCTGGTAGGTCTTTTCCCCTGTGGTCTTCTCTTTCTCATACAAGTCAAAAAGAAAATTTAGGAATATCCACCAAATATATCCATCAAGTCAGGTATGCTTTTATTTTTCAGTATACTGTAGTTTCCTTGCTCATTTAGGCACTTCTACCATTTGTCATGAGGTCTGCACTGCCTCTTGGACCTCCAGCAATTGGAGTTGAGCCTTGTAGTCTTGGCAGACATTTGTGGATGTTGTAGGAGACTACAGTATGTTGAAAATTCCCACCACCTGTGAAGCATACTGTATATGAAGGATAATTCCTAAACTCTTTCTATTTCTTAATCTTACATTACTTTTTGTATTTGTGTCTACTCTTAAATATTTTAAAGTTAATGTCTGAACATGACATTATCCAGAAAAGCAAATGGTGAAAATGTATAAATAAAGGTCATTGTGCTCATTGTGAATGGGATCGTGTTGACGTTTAATGAACTCTTAACTGCAATGGATTAAATGTGAATTAACCTGTATTAAAGACAGACAGCACATGTTCCACAAATACTCCGTTTTCTGTTATAAATTCATTAAGGAAGATAAACCTTTACAGACATAATGTTTGTAATCTGGGAAGATCAGGATTGCAGTGTCCTGCCAACTATTTTCACTTTTGCCTCCCCTCTGTCTGCCATCTTACATCTCTGCTTCAGCCAAGACAGCTGAGACCCACAGGAAAGGGACGTTTCCGCTTAATCTTTGCAGTTTATGGTTGTGAACATGTAGGAATCCGCTATAGTCTACTTGCCAACTTTACCAACTGAACACACCTTGTTCCTCATGGAGAAGGTCTGATCAGCTTCTCCATCAGGAACAAGTATTTTCATATGACACTGTTGTATAAAAGTAGTGTATTTTAGTAATAATCCAAACGTCTTTTGCAGCTAGAGTCAATCCTTTAGTATGCTGGAGATGAAGGATTTTTTTTGTGCAAAATATATTAGGTAAACTAATATTGAAGATATTCAATGGTGTTTGAAGCTGTTAAGAAAGGATGTGGATATCTCTTTATACTCAGGATTCATCAGATCCTAAAACATGCTTAATTATATTTTAGTACTAGGTCTTCAAGAAGGATTACAATATACTACTCTTCTGAAGTGGTTTCTTTCTGCCTCTGCCATATGGCACATGACATCACATCAAGTCTTTTTGCCTGCTTGAAAGTTGTTTCTGCATTTTCTGTTTCCACTACAAACTTCCCTTCCCTTTTCTGTTATGCACATTCTGCTACAACTAAAATTTAAATTGCAAAATTTCAGCAGTTCTAGGGCTGTAAACCTGTAAGAATTGAATTTTTTTCCAGAGTGGCTGTTTTTAATTTAGCATTTTAATTAGTGTATTGCATTATGATCGTCAATAGGCACATGAAATATAGGCTTGCAAAATCCATTTAAACATTTTACCTTTTTCTAAAGAGATTTGTGACTTTGTAGATTGATGTGCATATTTTTTGCTAGCTTTAATCTTACTACAACTGTGTGTGCAACCAGAGTATTTATGAAAACTTACCACTGTAAGATCTACAGGTATCAATTAGATGTTCAGCTGAAAGTTTTTGAGATGGCAAGCAGATAGACAGGACGTCAAGCCCTAATGGTATAGAAAATAATTTGTCTGTGGAACACTAATTGTTATGTGCTACATTCTTGGAAGGGGTAAAACTGTTTATTTTGGACATGTATCCTCAGTCTTATAATAATAATATCTACTTTGGGTATAAAATTGCTTTAATATTTGATCATGTCTGAGCCTGAAATACAAATTCTCTTCTGTGGAGGCTCTGCATGTGTCATTAGACCTGGCAGCTCTGGCTTGCTCCTGGAGACAGAAGGTTCTCCCGGCTGCCAGAGAACCAGACAGTGGTTAAAATGCTAGTATTAAAAGCAGATAAGGTTGAGTAATGTGCTGTTAAAGACTTACACTTTAGGGGTGTATAGGGGATGAGCTGAGATTTTGTGCATGACTTTAATAATATACCATAAACCACAGATATTTCTAGCTCACTCCATTAACATCCATAAATGGGTCATAATAAACACAAAAGATGTTACAAATAATAGACTCTTTTTTGCTATATTATTTATTACTTTTCAGATAAAACATAAACATGACACATGAGACATTTCACAAATCACAAAAAAAATATTGATAGATAGATATTGGTAGGTTCTCTTGTAGTGGGATTTATAAATTGTCTTTAATTCCTATTGTCATATACAATTGCATATCAAGTGGATTAACCAGTGTAAACCAGAAAACCTAGTTTCATTCACATTATTGAGCTCATGATATTGAGTTCATGTCTGTATTGCACATGAACATATACTGTACACAAAGCGCCTTTGCATCCCTTCAATGCCCTTTGGTTTGTGAAGTTGTTAGTCATAGACTGACCTTTTTTTCTAGTTCCATTACAATTCAGTAAATGTAACAAAATGTAATTTTGTAAAAGAAAAGAGAAAAAAAAATGTTTAACTAATTCGAAATTATATAAGACATTTAAATGAACAAAATATAAACATCAGGTATATTGTTTAAGGAAATAACCTGTATGCAAAAAAACTGAAATAGAAAGCAATAAGGAGATCTCAGCATCCATTGTCCTGCTGCTCATTAAAAGAATTATATGTGGTCATTTAGGTTTGTGGTGGGGCTGGGGTTTTATAAGGTCATTTCAAAATGCTGACCACTGTTAATACTCCAGCAACACTGGGCTATTCCATACCATATATTATGCTCATGAGTGAGGGCTGTGGTCATCAGATACTGTTGCAGTATTTGGAAAGTACTTTTTCTATGGAAAGCCCTTCACAAAGTATAAGTGGTTCTGAGCAATAGTTAACAGAGAAGGTATTAAAAACAGAAAGTGCCAGATCTGAAGCCACTCTCCATACACTACATTAGAGTGCCATAATTCATCATGGTGATCCTAAGTTCTCTCACACAGTTTATACTATAATTTCCCCAGAACCGAATGACATCTGAGAAGAGATACTGTATAGAGTGCAGTGCTCACAGCTTACATGAAACAACAGAGTACAGACCTCTAATCTTCATGTTATTTTTTATTTACTCACAAGAAAACATTTTTTACTTAAATTTGCAGTCAGAAAAAAGTCTTAAGAGGATAAGTCACATTTTGGGGCAGCAATTTAATTTTTCAAAAGAATCATTTCTGGAAATCTCAGCACAGAACGTTTGTTAGAAGTAAAGATATTGATCTATTCTGATCTGGGCCTGTTCTACATTCAATTGTCCTGGTATTCTTGTTGGAATTGAGGGACATACGTATTCCAATGAATATGAGGATATCTTATCCAAAACCTGGCTCCTTCTGCTCAAGCTCAAGTGCATTCACAAATGGGCATTCTATCAGGATAACAAACCAAAGCACACAAACCAAAGCACACCATTTATTTTACTCTAAGGGAGAGTAAAATACATTGTTTGGCTGTTACAATCTCCAGACCTGGAGACCTGCTGAGAAGTAAAGAAATCTGAAGGAGATGGGAGAATTTATAAAATATCTTCTCACTGCTCTACCTAAATTGCTATGAAGTGAGACTGGTGCCTTGAGATCCTTTGGGAATGTACATTATAAAGGGATAGCAAGAGATTATTATTGTTATGTTGGTTTTATTAACTTTTTCCAATGGGATGGCCAAAATCCCTTGGGAGAAGTGCTTGAACCAATCACATGCCTACATGAAGTGTCTTCTGTATGTTATCAAAGCAAAAGGGAGATCAACAATATACTGATTGCTGGAGTAAATAATTGTGTTTCCAATAATGTGCAATTATTTTTTCAAGATTTACAAAATATTCAATACCGATAGTCTTCATTTTTTCATGTTTTTCATTTATTAAACATTTTTATGTCCACTGGCTTTTTTGCTAAATAAGCTACTTTGTTACATTGCAACAAGGTTAAATAAATTATTAATACATTTGGAGTTGACTGAGTGACCACAATTAATGCAATATAATAATATGCTTTTGTCTCCCTTTTCGGAATTTAAAATAAACAGCAGCAGTAACTACACTACATGAGCTACAGTGTTTAATGTTTAATCATTCTGAATTTTTGTAAAAACAAAAAAAAAGTGACAACATCTAAACTATAACGACTAAAGATTTAATGCCATTTTAGCAAGACCATTTCATATTTAAACTCTTTTTTCAATATTTGAAAACCGCACTAGGACTTAATGGATCTGGAAAAAATGACTTCAGTTCAGTAACTCAGTATATTCAAGGTTTAACATGGCATTCAACAGGAGCCCACAGAAGAGCACAATTACCTCCCATATTCCACTGTACTGACAACAAGAGCCAACAGCTTAGAACCCTCAGAGAGACTGAAGAAAAGTCATGGTATTTAAAAAAAAAAGTAATTTATAGTTTTTAGATGTAATGGTGATTTCAGTTTCATGCCAGATTTCGGAGTACTTACAGAGAGCAATACACTTTATCCTGCGGCAATGAATTTTACTTGGAAGGTTACGCTGAATGATGGCTGGGTGAAGGAAACAATTTCTTTTTGACTCGGGCAACTTGCATTTTAACAGTACGCTTTATGCTTAATTGATTAATCTAAATGATGAGAACTGGTGTTCATGGGACTTGTATAATGCTTTTCTCTGAAAGTACTTTCTCTAATCTCTCTCCACAATGCAGCTGTGAAGAACTGTGTGAAAGACCAGCCTGTTGTGTTCCACTCCAAAGTGAAATCATCCGGATACACGGCTCCCGGATGGTGGGTTGGAGGGGTGTGGATGATGATTTTACTGTAAATGTGTAAATGCACATGGGAAGCAGACATAGTGTTGGTTTTCTGTTCTTTACAAATCTTTGTCCACTGAATATCAAATACACATTAGCTCAAAATATAGTACACCTGAAAACAACCAGACCCTGCAAGAAGTTAGAATAACTGTGACAAACCAAATTGATGCTGTACGATAAGAGATATTATGCAGCTGATGAGGTGTGAAACAGATTCTATTACATGCACTGTTTGGTAGAATTTGGATGTTAATCCTGTTATCCTGACTAAATTGGCCTTGCATAACCTGACCAATCTAAAGCCCCCCCTCAATTCAACTGGTGACTTTTTCACATCTCCATCTGATCTGCTGTGTGGTAGGACTGCTGGCACACAATGACTGCTGTGTATCACTGAGGTGGATGCTGCATTTCAATGAAGGATGAGGTGGCTCTCCTCCTACTTGTTAAGGGCGAGCACCCCCTTGCCACACAGTTTGAGATCTTTTGGGATAAAAGGAGATATACAAACACAAGGAACTCTAGTTTTTATTGAACACTCGCAGCATTTCATTGTTTGGATCATTTTACTTTTCTGCACTTCCGGCATTATTCAAAATATGCAGGTGGTGCAAGGTGGTTTCTATTACTTGATTCTTAAAAGCCAAGCTAATATTGTAAATTTGAATGTTATTTTTGACCAGCTTAGTATGGTGAATTTTTGTGTTCACCTGAACTGCGGCCCTGCCTCTGTTCACGTTTAAGCCCCCTGTACCTCCAGACACACTGTCCCCAAGTGCAGATCCTGCAGGAGAGACAGGAAAGGGAATGTGTTAGATTCTGTTTCCTTTGGCTAACAAGTCTCTACTGTGAGGCAAGTGTCAAAGTGATCCCCAGGGGCATGTGGAAACTCTGAGAACACAACTATTATATTACAGACCAAATCATAAAGATAGTTTAAAAGTATTTTTCCCCAAGCCATTCTAAATTAATAGCATTTTTTTCAAAACCAGACTTGGTTCCATACATGAGTCTTGTCAGTCAGGCCTCTTAATTCATCAGTCACATTCTTTAAATCCTGTGGGAGGATTCAGAATGGAAGCTTTCAGTATTCCATTGAAGATGTTTCCTAGTTAGGGAAATAATAGTTTTCTATTATTTCTGTTATTCTGTTATTTCTCTTAAGTTTCTATGCACTAAGAGTATTCTTTTAGTGAAGTGAAGGCAAAACTAACCATTTTGTTAGGCATTGAACATGTTTGTGATAAAACGTTTCAACGAGAGCCTGCAGTTTGACCTCTGTAACATTAGAAAGCCACTTATTGATGTGATAAAATCAATGAAGATAAAATTGCTAACAGTTTGAAGGGTGAAACAGTTCATTTTATACTGCCTGCAGATGCCTTTCATTTAAGTTGGAGGCTAATTTAATTTAAGTTGGAAAAACTAACTCTTAGTTTATCCAACTTGGAAAACACAAAAGCTTTGTTTTTTTTAGATCATCTGAGCCAAAATTAACTAGAGCTAAACAGCTAGTAGATGCAGGTTGTGTAAGTATGATAAACTATTACTTGTTTGCTGGTAGGAATGGTTAGGAAGCTAGACTGAAATTAACTCAAATTTTAAAGCAAAAAAATGAAAAAATATATTTTCTACAATAAAAAATAAAAATATGTTCTCTATTTTAAACATAGTCATGTAATTATGCAAAGCATTCCCTTAAAGATTGTTTTACTTCTCAAAATCTGTTTCTTATTTAGTAGATTTTAATGATAAATTAAAAACAGACTTTACTTCCTGAAATCTTCTTAATGAAAACATATTGAAATTAACAGTGAAAATATAACTAGATTAATAATATATCTCTCTTTTTATCAGTATTTCGGTAAGATAGAATTAATTGGGTGTACTCTAAGATGTACTCCCAGTGCTCATTATCAACATGAAACAAATGAATTCAGCTCAGAATATTTACTGCTTTTAATCCTGTTATCAAAATCTGTGATTGTCTAACCATAGCATTGCATTACCCAAATCAGTGATTAATATATTTCTACTGTAGGATTTTCAGACCTAATAATCAGTTGAATTGAAATATTCCTATAATATATTGCTTTCAAAGGTATTTATTTGTAATAAATATGAAAATTGATGGCAGTCGCAATCAATCAGCCTGTACTTTCTCATGAGTAGATATACATCGAGTTTCGCATTAACAACAAGAGCTGCATATTTTGTTGTGGTAGTCTGATTTTTGTCAGTATCTGGCAAAAAAAATGCATTATTTCACCCTGATCAAGGTTTATCTTTCTGTGATGATAATCATTCTGAACAAACTGCCTGTTAAATAAAAATAAACTGCCTCTAATCTGAGACATTTTAATACTGTATAGTTTTTATATACTAGATACAGAATGCTTCCGTGTGATGTCAGTGGTGCAGACTGGAGGTAAATGCAAGGATGAATGTCATATGAACATGCAGCCACCACTGTAATGAAAACTGACCCATCTGCAACAGTAGTTCATACTATTGTACCTGCTGACCACTGGTTAGACCTGAACTGGGCAATATTCAGGTTTTGTGACGTTTTTCTGTTGAGGTGAAATGTTACATCAAATGTCTGCATTGTTAACCTGTGGCAAATGTGAAGATTTGGCTGTGATGAGGTTGGCTGTGCTTGCTAATAATGAAAACCTAAAACATATACAGTAGTTTAACAACTTAATCTAAGAAGGTATTTTGGACAGGACACATTGAAATGTAATTGTAATCAGAATACTTCTGATGTTTGTTATATTGTAGCAGAACCATGTTTTCCCCCAAGACTAATACACAGAAGAAAAATCACCAGCTTTCAAAGTCCAGCAAGAAAAAGTAAGCAAGTGCTATTAAATCATGTTTTATGTAACCACACGTCCTCATAAAATGCCTTGAGATATAAACTTTTAAAACAGAAATGAGTAAAAAGAAGCATTAGCAATTACACTAATCTCGTATCTTAAATCTTTCAAGAAAATAAGTAAAATTTTGCTTTATACATACACAAGACCTGTTCCTGAAAGATTTACATGATAAGTAAAGTTGTAATGTTTTCTAAGGCTGGGTGAGAATGATTTAAAAATTAAGCCTGGAGAGGTAGTGAATGCTTTGTAACAGGAACCTGAATAAATGACCTTAGGATTAATGTCAATGCCTTACTGAAAATGGAATTCATTATCCAGAAAATCAAGATGTTTTTGTTATCTTAGAACTGTAGAATTAACTGTAGAGTCAAAATCATCAGAATTTACTCAAAATGACGCGTAAAAGTTGTTTATTATTAATGGTATCAGCATATTTTGAATTACAGTAGAATGAAAATCATATTTAAATAAGTAATGATATTGATATAAAAAATGAATGTCCCTTTTCTGTCTGTCAAGTGAAGTTCTATTCAAAGACTACCCAGCAGACTGTCCAGCACCCAGCATTCTTCAAACACACCTGAATGCCACAGCCAAGCCCACACCTGTGTGTAGCCTGCAGTTCTCAGGTAACAAGTTGCTGTAGGCAGGATAAAGAGGTATCAACATTTTGGAGTACCACAAACTCCATGTATGTAACAAGGAATTTTATTTTTCAAAACATTTTGAAAGATCAGATTTCAGGAAATGTGCCATAACAAGATTTAATAGTTAATTATGTATATACTGTACAGTATATGCAGTGTACTGTATAAGGTATATAAAGTATATGGATATATATAAGTAAAAAATAAAAAAGTGTTCTGTTTTAGATTCCACTTCTTCAAACCAAAGAACAAAGACAGAATAAAGGCTTGGGACAGCATTCTCTATGTTGTGAGCTTTTTATTGGGTTGTTTGTTGTTACTCATTTGGCTTTTGAATGAGTAATTTGATGTGCAGTATTTGTCTTTGATAAGTTCTTTTGTCTGCTATTTAGTCATAAAAAGTTAAAATAACATAATGTCCAATGGCAAAGGAGGATCCTGGTCTCTGATTGGTGGGTTAGGAACTGGACCCATGGTGTGATACTGGCATAACATCACAAATGAAGTTCCAGCAAGTCTAAACTACCTGCATATGCATGTGGCACAGCTCCAAAGCTGACAAACGTGACAGGAGCTGTTTTATGTGGCAAAAGGATAGTTTCCAATTTTACTCATTAAAATCATTTTAACATCACATAAACTTTTAGTTTCTTTCTTTTCCTGAAATAAGCCGTCGTATAAAGGGGATAATGTGCTCTGGGCTGTGTGTTGTCCTGGGATAACATCTCTTATAGGATGTTAGATACATTTGTACTGTGCTCTTCTGCCCAGTCGCGCCAGGTGGGATGTTATGTCATCACACCAAACAGCCTAGAGTACATAATTAATTCTTAATTTTCTCAATTTAAAGTGCAATAATCTTGTTTTTGCCTCTTTTTTTCAGGAGATGGAAAACAGGTTGTGTGTGGTCTCTCAGATACATCCATACTGCTATATAACTCCACTCTCTCAGGAGCACCAGCTGTCTATACAGGTATCAGTTAGGCACACAGATTACAATACTCTGGATCTTATTTATTTTAGCTTTGCTGAATGTTTTGAACGTAGTTTTGATGTATTAGACTGGAATGAATTTCCCCCAAAAAATCCATGAGCTAAGCCCCAAAGTGTTTTTCCTTCTTGTAAATACAGCTTTGAAGCTGCTAGTTTCAGCATACTTCTGCTGCCTATCGGCCTCGATGTTTTAACCTCAGATCAACAGGGGACTTGGTCTCAGATGGGATAAATTGGTTTTCCTTTCAGAAACAGATGAAACATGAGGCTCTGTGGCACTATGGGTTAAATGTACAACATTCTATCCTGTGGGCTTTAGGAAGCTAGATGTTAAATGGTTTCAGGCAACAGGAGTTCCAGAAAGATGTCTCAGGAAAATCCCCAGTGAATTGGTAGCCACTATACACTGCAATACCATTTAAGCATAAAACGTTTTAGCAGTGAACATTTAGTAGATGATGAAGTTAATTATTATCTGTATCTGTAAAATGTAATTTTAAATGTATTTAAATGACACGTTTTTCTGCAAGACTACAGTTAAATATGTTAAATATTAGGTAATATTCTCTCATTTGATTTTAACAGTTACTCAAATCAGTGATTTAAAACAGACCTAAGAAGTGAAATTTATAATGTTTGGAAAGTTCCAAAAGTTTGTACACCTAATCTGCTCAATCCTGCTTCCAGATAAACAAGTTGTAACATTTTTACCAGTGATATTTTCCCCTATTTTCTGCCAAATAAGTGCTTCCTTTTCTCCTTATAGGAGAACAGCATGGTATGCTCTGTCCTTATTGATACCAAAAGCAGCAAAAGGGAGAATGAAAAAGTAGAAACTTCAATAATGTCTTCAGGAGTACAGGTTATTTATTTTGATGGTCATAGTCATCAGTTCTTTAAGGCTAGTTATTTGTCCTTGTGTATAGTATTTAATCGAAAGTGGCCCTTTTTAACTTATTTTAAGATAATTAAACACAGCAAGTACTTCAGTTGTTTGAATTGCTGTCAAATGATGAAATGTGCTGACTTTTAACTTGTCTCGAAGCACTGGAGTTTGATGTTTCATCCAAATGTTCACATTCTGCAGAGCAGATTTAGTATAATTTGTGAATTTCTCAAACGTGTCTTGTAATAAAATGACACTTCATGTGTTTTGGAACTGATCTTAGCCTTATGTGATGAATGCTCTTTATAGTTATTCACAAGGGGGCAGCAAAACAGTGAGGGATACCTGTAGTAGGATTACAATATCTAATCTTTCTATTGTTAAAAGAGTAATCATCCTTTGTTCAGTGGATGACGTGAATACCTTTTAAGAAATAATTGTTAGGCCCTGTTTTCTTTTTTTTGTAGATATACATTTATATTTCACAAGTTAAAACTATCCTTTTCTTAGTTGGCTTTGGGATATAAGATTTTCAAGACAAAAGCAAATAACATGGACAATTCAGAAATACTGACTTTATTTACATTTTGCTTTATTCAGCATAACTTTCATAACACAGTGCACAATAATAAATCTCAGAGGGGTGCAGTGAGCACTGACAAGGGAAGGATTCTCACAGTGGTCACATGCCAACCCTTAACACGTTTTACCTGACAGATATCACATAAAAGGAGGTACCACTTTACGATAGTGCATTAATTGCCAAACAAGGTTCACGGCTTTTCATTTTAACATATGCACTGATCTCATCCATCCTTTGTCTAACTCATGTATCCGCTACAGGGTCACAGGTGAGCTGGAGCCTATCGCAGCAAGCAGCATACTCAAGGCAGGATACACCCTAGATGAGATGCCACTCCCATCACAGGGCAGACACACACAAACATGCACACACTCACACCAGGGGCAGTTCCCCCAGAAGCCAATTAACCTACCAGTATGTCTTTGGGCTGTGGGGGGAAACCCATGCGAACACGGGTAGAACGTACAAACTCTAGCAGATAGCAACCCATTTCCAGATTTGAACCCAGGGCCTTAGCGCTATGATTGCTGTCCACAATGATTTCAGAAGTAGGCTAATGACTGATGCACTATTAATGCACTATTAATCCTTCTCTATTAATTTTAAGTAAGCTTAATTGTTATACAATCAATGTATTTGTCCAATAAGTGAGATACTGTAATATGGGTCAAGTGAATGACTTATAATAAAGGGGGTTTGAATCAACTGCATTTCTGTAGCCATTTTTATAATACTGTTGCCTGTTTCTCAGGGTAGCCAGCTCATGATCTGTAATTGCACTCATTTGCCAACTTCAATTCAATTTCACTATACAGAATTTGTCATTATTATGTTTATAATCTACTGTACATACGTCGCACAGAGTACGCACATACAGTATAATTTTAAATAAATAGGAACAATCTGTACAGCAGATTAATAAACATGATAATCCATCAAATAACTGGAGCAGTACTGGATGAGCCAAATTGAAAATTAAAGAATGACAAATATTAAGTAATTAACTAGTGATTGTCACACAGAGCTTCATTTAAGTGATATCTGTGCAATTAAAAATATTGAAGAATAGACATGTAGCAATCCCTTAAGTGTATGTCTTGTCCTTGATTCTGAAATGCCGGTTCTAAAACTATCATGGTACAATTACGGAGATCTCTAGAAGTAAGCATTGGTATATTCTCTCCAAAAAGCAAGGAGATCAGTTACTGGAGTGCATTTTTACATTCCCTTTTCCCTCTAGGTCATGATGGTGCAGTACGCTGTGTAGGGTGGAGCCACTGTAACCAATGGCTGCTGTCTGCATCTGAGGACAGGACCCTGAGAATATGGCCAGTCGGGATCACTCAGCCTGCTCTCACCCTGGTAATACTTTATCTCTGGGAACCAGGTGGTTTCATGTGGTTGAACAGCATTTTGGTACTGCACTAATTAACTATCGCCTTGTATTTTAATGTTTTCTGATAAAGCATGCTACAAAAATAAGCTTTTTTTACAAGTCAAAGTCAACATTGTGCTGTTACCAAAAGACCTCCGTTTAACACATTCTGCTCTGTTCTTATGTTCTGACGTTTAGCATAGAATAAATGAGATGTCATTTGCTTCCAAATAGACTTTCATGTATATTTCATGATAAAGGATTTCTTGATCAGGTTTTCTTGGTATTGTTCTATACAGGTGGATTGTGGATAGAGTGGATAAGGTGAAACAACATATGAAAATATAGCTGTGTAAACAGTACAACATCTTCTTAAGTGATCTAGTGCAAGTGATCACATTATTCCTATTGTGGAGTCCTTACACCGGCTTCAGGTTTCATGTCAACTTTAAAATCCTCATACTCACGTATAAGGCTCTGCATGGCTTGGCACCTCAGTACCTATCTGAACTACTATCATCCTACTCTCCACCTCGTAACCTTCACTCTTCTAATTATGGTCTCCTATCTGTCCCCCAAGCCCGTCTACACTCCATGGGTGACAGGGCCTTCTCCTGTTATGCCCCAAAGCTCTGGAACTCTATCCCTAATGATACCAGAGAGTCACCTTCCCTGGTTCTGCTATTTAAACCATCGTTTCTACTGTATTCAGTGCCCCCATCTACTGTCTCCTCTTATTATGTATTTTCATTGTGCATATCTGGTATATTTGTTGGTTGTTGGTCTGTTAAGCACTTTTAAAAGCCACTTTTAAAGGCGCTATATAAAATAAATTATTATTATTACTGTATTAACTCATGTGAAGCTTTACCAAGAATCCAAATTTATGTAACAAAAGCTACAGTATGATCATTAAACCCATCTCTGGGAGCAGTTTCAGATAGAGAAGAGGGGAATCACACTTTTATAAACGGTTATGCTTTGTAATTCAATTGGAGAGGGAATTTCTGGGTAAAGTATAGTAGCACTGTGTGGAAATAAGAATTTACATTTCCAATATCTTTGTAGATATTTGTGTAGATACCATGTCTGCAAATTTAAATCTAATTTGTGTTCCAATGCCTTCTTCATTTTTTGGATTAACAAAGCTTGAGGTATCCTCTTACCAATCTTATAATACTTACAATTGGTTTCATGTCCCACTGAAATTGCAATTTTGACTTTTTTGTTTGTTCTGGCTTAAGGACATAATTCTATCATTTGTTTTTCAGGGTGGTGAAAGGTTTCCCCAACCCTTGAGATCTGCACAGTTTTATTATATGGACAAGTTTCTGCTGCTGTCATGCGGCCCTTTGTTACAGTTGTATTTGTACCACTTGGACACTTCACAGGATGACATCAAAAGGTACACTGTTGTAAGTCAGACTGAAATTTCATAACAGGTTCAAAAGGTGCTTCTAGCCTTCATCCCTGGAGCATACAATAAACTGTGCTGGCTGTTTAACTAAAGTTAATATTCTGGAAATTATCCTCTCTCAAGTATAATTATAAAATAGTCTGCCCCAGAATATCTGCTCTTTGGAGAGATTAGTTTCTTCCACAGAGGGAAGAGGATGAGGGCACTGAGGACATCACCCAGTCTGAGGTGTGATTTATCCCTCAGATACAGGATCTTGGCTTTACTGCTAGGAAAATCAAAGCCTGCCAATTCTCCAGAGCACATTAAAGAAGGTGTGATTGACCTCTACACTTCTTTTACGCATGGTGTGAAATGCACATGTGAAGTGTTTGCTTGATGGACATTTCTACATGCCAACAATAAGAGCCTTGTGTTGGACAGAGTCCGAAAGAACCTGCTGCAGGAAATATGAGTGTGTTTCCCTGCCATCCACATAATGTGCCAGGAAAGCCATTGAAGCCAGGGACTTATACCAATAATATGAGAGAATTTCCTCATTGTTTTTGTTTTATTTTACTGACTGTAAGCAATTTAAAATTACTTAGAAGGAGATGCCTTGATCTTTTTTTTGCTTTAGCAATTAGCAATTAATGTTTTTTGTATGAGGTGCCATTGTAAACATTTTAATCATGGTTATCTGGTGTATTTCTCAGATCCTGGCATCTGGCAAATAAATAGTAGATGCTTCAGATCTGATTATTCAGTTCAAAAATTAATATTAATACTTGTTACAGACTCTGCTATTCTATGCTGAATTAACACTGGCATGATTAATATTTTTAAGAGACTTTAATTATTAGCTATTAATGACACTTTTAAAACAAGTTTTTTACTGTTGTATTTCGTTCATCTAAAAAATAAGGTGCTTTTAAAATTGAAAAAAGTTAAATATTAAGTATGTAAATTTCCATCTATAAAAACCTAATATCTTGTCTTTCAGATACAAGCAAAAAAGTCTATGCAAACTTGTTGAGAAGTTCCAGATGACCACAGGGACGGAAATCACCAGTGTTTCAGCAGTCAATGATTTCTTCTCCTGTATCCTCTTGCATATTTTGTTCCACCACTTGAAAGAAGAATTCTAGATCTTAAATGTATCTCCTGGTAAAAAGGACAAAGTTCCCCTTAAAAATAGCAAAAAGTGCTAAAAACTATTTTTATATTACTATTGTTTCCTTGGTTTGAATGTACTTCGCCATCTGCTGATGCAGTATATTGATATATTATATTGTAGTACTGTATATAAAAATATAGGAACAAGTAATAGGTTTATTCCATGCTGAAAAGAGAAGAAAACACAACGTTTCGGCTGTGTAGCCTTCTTCAGGTGTGAGAACAACATAGCAGTAAGTCTTTCTCATACCTGAAGAAGGCTCCACGGCCAAAACGTTGTGTTTTCATTTTTCTCTTTTCAGCATGGAATAAACCCATTACTTGTTCCTTTGCAGCCTACGCATGCTGACACAGCTCCCCACCTGAACTACTATAAATATATAGTACAGTATATATTAAATATGTATGTAGTATATTTAATTAAATACAGTAAGTAAAAGGTCTATATGCATTAATAAAAAATATTTAGTACAGCACATGCCTGGATTCTTGGAAATCCTCTAAATGACCTATTTGCTATTGTTTTTATTGAGTTCAATAGTTAGATATAGTGAGAATAATTCTAACTGCCATTCCAAAACATACAGTACATCTCCTCACGCTGAGTATCAGATTACAGCTATAAAGATACCAGGAATGTCAGACATGTCAATTATTTGTGTTACTTTCTGGACTAATACATTTTATTTGCCTCTGTTTAGGAATTTAAAACAATTTGAACTAATAATAATAATAATTGGTGAAGAATATTTTAAAGCAATTCTAAGAATTGAACTGTTACAAACAGATGTCTGACAGACATGGTTTCTTTTAATGTTGGTTGCATTGAGAGTTATCCCTTCCCTTATCAGAGCTGAGAATTTAAGTAAGCTATTTATCAAATGTGTGTTGCTATTATATAGTCTGTATTACTGGAGGAATGTTCTGTGTAACCCACACTACTCCTCCATATAATGCTCCAGGCAGAGCAGCTGTGAAGTCAGGCTACATTTCTTTATACTGGAAAGAAAGAGATGGAGATCTTAATTAAAACATTAAGCTCTTAATTAGTGTGTTGCAAGGTCCTGCATTTATCTTCAAATTAGACCATTGTTTTCAATATATTGATCTCAGGTGTGCTTTGTCGATAGCTTATGTTTTGGTGTTTTTAATTTCTGAGAATCTTTCAAAAGGCTTTGAATTTTTACTTATGGAATGCAGTTCATCTTTTGTAATACGTAATTTTGCATTTGAGTTTTGTATATTTAGCTTTTTAGTTTTATTTTCTATAGTTTTGAGAACCACAAGATTTTGCATATTGCCTATTTTGATACATCTTTTCCGATTATATGACATTCTGACCAATTATTCCAACTACATTAGTTTTTTAAAAGATTATACTGTATATATAGTACAGGGAATAACTATGGAAGCAGGAAAATGTTCAAGATACATTTTCTGAATTCTAAATTAATATATTTTTTATAAAAATAAAATATTTCCTAAGACAGTTATACTGATATGCTACAAAGCATGTGACATCCAACAATGTTATAGGTTGTCAGGGATCCCTTCAGAAAATGCCATATTGCCTTGATGCCTATGTAAGTATTTGAGAAATGAGTTCTGTAGGCTACTATTGATAGATTGCATCTTCATGTTTCACCTAGTACTGCGTGTAAGACAGTGGAATTGATACCGCTGGCAACAGAAGAGGTTGAAGAAGAAAACACAAACTCTTTAAAAGTGAAATAAAGTTAATCAGAGTAAATTCTATATGTGATAGGTGATGATTCAGAAGAGATATCAAGAAAAACCTTGCAGTAAGCACAGAAACTAATATTTCTACTAAAACAATAAGATATACGCTAGTGCACAATGGTCTCAATGGGTATGTTACTGATGGTAAATAGTTGCTGAGGAGAGGAAGTAAACAAAAAAATATGAATCAAATGAAGATCGACATCTAACCTAACAGTATACAGTAGCAAGTAACAGTCAAAACCAAATAATTATACCGAATTATGCAAGACTCATAAAAGGGCATGCATCAAGAACAAAATATCTAGTTATAAAAAAAAGAATATATTCCTTTATGCAGTATTCACTTTAATTCCTTATCCTTGCCAAATTAGATATTGTTCTGGTGGCTGGAAATGATCATGCAGTGGAAGCTTTTGATCTAAATGTGGGTCGCAGAGCAGCTTGTATCCCTGATGCTCACACCAGAGCAGTTCACCACATCGCTCAGAACAAGGTATTGTATGGTCAGTTTTAGTTGTTTAATGTTAGACAGTTGTTTAAAGGTTAGGTTTATTAACCAGTTTGTTTATTTAATACTTTAAATTATTTTAGCTATAAATTGTAATGTTTTAAGCAATACAGTATGTCATTTCCTTCACCTATTTGCATTCCTCTTCATTTTAAAGAAGGGTCTTCATTTGGCCAAGTCATTATAGGCTTAAGTTGAGTTGCATAATAGTAAGACTGTAAATCTAAGGATAAATAAACTTCCATTTTCTTTGGTGTGCTTGAGTGTTTTGAACTTTATCAGTGGTTTTAGTCCTTCCCACACACATCTAGAGATAAGCTTGTCCAGTGATTAGGTATGATTAGGTATAAGGTATGTTAACTGAAGTAAGTGGTGGGTTACCCTATTGGTTACCAAACTCTTGGCATAGCCTGCACAGCCTCTTTTGGGAGCTGTGTGAAAGCCAGCCCATGGAAGTTACTCTTAAGAGAACGGAACCTACCATACTGTAGCTGTTAATCTAGCGATTAATCAAGTCTGTGTATCAGTACTGTCAGGTCTATATTAATGCTCACTGAGATCATACCTGATACAATTTTGTAATGTTTCTATTTTAGAAATGAGTTACGTATCATGCTGAAAACTTATGAAGTTGCAATAATCAATATTTTTGTTTAATTCATTTCTATCTTTAAAATATTGAATGAAACCATTAGACCTGAGTTGGCCTTTGTTTTGTGCATCACTATTATTACTTGAGCAATCATTCAAACCACAATTGCTTTTTATCGACAACCGATTCTCTCCTGAATCCGAATCAGCCTTTCACTTTCATTGACACATGCATCATTCTCTTCTCTTTGAGGAAGGAGTGGAATAGGAAATGGGTTAAGTTTGTGCTTTGATGTGTATAGAAGGCTCTGTTAAAAGAAAGTCATGTTCTTACACAGGGAAGAGCTGAATTTCATAATAGGCTGTAATTTAGTTAGTTAGTCAAACATTTTCTTTATTTAAAAGCCCAACATGCCATTGAACCACGTAAAGAGATTTGTGTTTTTTAGCCTTTGTGCATTTTGTCCCAACTGTGTCCTGTTTTGTTAATTAAGTCTGACACCAAGGGGGTTGAAATTGCATACTATTAAAGTTTAATGGCCAGGTAAGTTATGAGAATTTTGCAGGGTGGTGTGGTAAAACATTTAACTACTGTTGCCTAGATCCTTTTTAGAATCCCTTGTGACACTTTTGATTTCCCTGCTTTGTTGGCTGGGCTGACATGTCTGCTAAAACTAAGTCATGAAGCTTAAAGAAAAGAAAGAAGCCCAGCTGGACTTCAGACAGCCCCTTGGTGGTGCTTGACCAGACAGACATGTTAACATATCTGTGCGCTAGAGATTTACTCTGAACATCAGGAAAAAGTGCATTGCAGATCTACATACAAATACATTGTTTGTAGAATGTCATGTTTTCATTTTTACATTATAATAGCAATTTTGTAGGTTATGTAAATAATTCATCACCACAGCTACTACTCGATCTCCTGTTTGTCTGATAAGAAATTAAGGTTTCAAGTAAGGAAGCTTTATAGCGATTATAAGAATTTTGTTTCTTCCCAGTTTTGAAACTTCACTTTTTCAAAGACCAGGTAGCCTGACACAGCTTCATACAAGACAGGTATAGTGGGACAGATAATCCATTCAAATTGACAAAAAAATTGTTTTTGGCATCAACCAAAATGGCAACCTGTCCCATGCTCAATTTCAAAACCTTTCACATGTGGTGAAATATGTTCCTGTATAAACCACAATAGTCAGATTTGTGCTTTACATGTTGGAACACTTTGTCTATCCACATCAGGTCATCATCTGCTTGGCAAAACGTACCCTGTTCTTGCAGTTTTTTAGTTTTGGGTTAGTTTGTACTTACAAATGTAAGCGAAAGAATAGCTGTCAGCATTGAATACTGCAAAAGAACTTTGGAAAAGATAAATTATATTGTAACTCTAGCTCTATATATATGAATTTGGCAAAAACAAATATGAATGCATAAAATGTATAGCTGTTCAAAGTCCTTTACAATCTTAAAAATATCTACATTATCACAGAAATTCCTTACCTTAATATATTGCTTTTTATACCAAAAGAAAGCAAAGTTCTTTTATGTATAGGAGGTGACTCTTCATATGCTGATGGACAATGGTGGAATAACTGTGTTAGCAAATGAGAAAGAGCAAAAAATAACTTCTAAATGGAGTATCCATTTATAGAATTTTGTTCTCTGTAAACACCTTAATTCTATAGCCATTCATCCATGATTTCTTTTTAAAACAGTGTCTGAACTACTGGTGTGATTAAATGCATTTGTTGTCTGAAGGCAATGCACACGCAAGTCTGACTTGTGATGAACAACTACACCAGTTGTCCTGATGTGAACACTTGGCATTTCTTCTGCCTGCTGATTAAACACATATGTCACAGGACACATGTTTTTCCATTTGATCAAGTTGGTGTGAATACTGTGCATCAGTGAAAAATTTAAACTTACTTTCCAGCTCTGTCTCTGTTATAGCATTATATGAATAAAGAAAGCAGTGCAGCAGTAGAGGGACTTTTGAATCACACTACCCAGCTACTTTTATTGTCACCGTCTTGTCGTGGTTGAGACTACACCTGAATGCACTATATTTGAATGCAATTTATTTGCTTATAGCAGCAAGGTTTTTCTGTCCACTTACGTGGCATAATATAACATCCATTAAACACAGGGAATTCCTTCTGTTGTAATTGTAACCGGGAGGCCCCCTGACTAAACATAAGGCAGAAAGTTAAATTATTATGTTAATTCAAATTTCCATCTTCCCTCTGGTTAAGAAGCTACCTGGAAACCCTTCAGTCCCAAGGTAGCCTTGCAGAGAACTGTGAGTCAGAAACTTTTATATATAAAAAATTAGGCAACTGGAAAGAATGAAATGGAACTTTCCTCTGCATCAAAGGATTTGAAATAGGTGAAAGTAATAAATTTTGCCTACAAGTATCCATAAAAGGAAAAAAGGCTTTGTTTGCATTAATAAAAAAACTATGCACTATCTTTTAGAGGCTGGAGTCAGATGGAAAAGAATGAAAAATATGTTTCCATTCTGTGGTTTGTCTGCTCACTGCTAAAGTGAAATGATGGAAACTTTCAGTGCTTCAGAGTTACCTCAAACGTGTTTTTAATCTTCCTTTTCCTTCAGTTCTTTGGGATACTGCTTTTCTCAGGATAGTGCTTTAACCCAATGATCTACTTTTTGTTGTCAAAGTTAAAACAATTACAAATTGTATACATAATTAAATATATTATATATAGTTATTGTGACGATCACTATTTTTAATTTTTATCTGTCCGATGTTGAACGAAAAGATTTGACCTAAAATATTCTTCGGTTATTTTCATCCATCCAGCTTCTGCAAAGGTATTCATTTAGCCATCTTATAGGTCTTTTTTTTATTTGTCCTGAGATGCATTATGAGATTCTTTGTTTCAATTAAAATATGACAAGACACTTGAAGACATAATTCAGTATTCACACACTTTGTATCCATTTCAAGTCAAGAGGACACGTTTACACTGTAAATCTTTTATAGCTCTTTTAAAACAATTTAAAAAGTAACACAGTCTTGAAATGTTGCTGGTAGCTTAAAACTCTCATACCTGCAAATGATTAGTGCTCCCAAACTGCTCATTAACATCTGTTAAAGAACAGTTTCAAAAGAACTTATTCCTTTCATGACAATACACATCAGGTGGCAGTCATAAATGCAAAGTATATATCTATCATCTGGTTTTTAGCTTGACTTTGCACCCACCAAGACACAAAGCATCTCTTATATCTGAACAGCACCTTCAGGGGTCAATGCAATTATGGCACAAAAATATATGGGGTTTAATACTTTCATAGAACAAATGTATTTTTCATTTGATTATTTCACCTCATGGCTTATTTGATACTGTCATTTAACAAATTCATTTTGACAGAACAATATAAATTCCAGTTTTCTTTCTTGGATGGAGGACCACAATTGAAGGTGGGCTACCCACATCAGTATAAAATTGAATAAAGGGCTCCCATCAATTTCAAGGTCAAGGAAAGCTGGATACTCTAACCAAAAAATGGTTTATGTTATAGACCTGATTCTGACTGATTATAAAAGATGAGAACATGAAGCCATTCACTGAAACCTGGCTAGACTTGAGATAAATAACCTTATATTATTTTATTGCACCTAAGGACATAATGTAAAACAGTGGTGGACAAAGTGTAGTTAAGTTGCAGCCATACTGAACACTGAATAAAATATATTGTGGCTGGATTAATTTTAATGGCATTGTTAATTTAAATTGTTGAACCAGTGAGGGTTTTTTAGGTTTATTTTTTTACAGAATCATTGAAGCGTTAATATCTTTCTCTCTTATGTTATCCATGTTAAACACTTCATTTCATTAAGTGATTTTATTTTTTTCAAAATGTGATGTTTTGCAGGGTTCAATGTTCAGCACGCAGGAGCCTGATGCATACAATCTCTTCTTGACAAGTAGTGTGACAGATGGCATCAAATTGTGGGACCTGAGAACTCTGAGGTAAGACTGTTTACTGTACCTTCTGTTATACTCAACCATATGACTTATTGTATTTACTTACGTGAATAAGTTAAGACAAATGAAACCAAAATGCTTGACAATACATACCAGAGGGCAATGCACAAGCTGGTATGTTGTCAGTTGTATACACTAACAATGTAAACTGCTTACACTGGTGAATGCTGTTGATGTAAACGTTGTCAGGTGGCTACTTGTGTCAATAGTAAAATGTTTTTTTGTGGTTTCAATAGTTTGAGTTCCAAATTTCATTGTTTCCTTGTACACAGTTTACAATGTAAAATATTTGCATTTGTTGGAAGAGATCAACTAACTTTCTGAGCACTTCTACAATGGCATATCTGTGAAAGAACCTCAGAATTAAATCACACAGATTTGAATGTAAGTTGTGTGTCAGTTGAATGTAATTAAGATGTATAGGTTTTAAAGATTTAAGAACAGTTGATAATAATCAGAGTACTATATAATGTATTACATTGTACAAATATCAAGATTCATGCTTTCTCAATTACACCCCTCTTCAAGACAACTTCCAGATCAAATAACTTAATTTAACTAGGGGCCAATATTATAACGTTTCTTTTGTCCACTAACAATAAAGAAATAATGTATTGTGTTTCTGATTTTAAAGGTTAAGTTCAGTATTAACCTGGGTAAAAGTGTCAGAGATATTTTAAAGGATTTATTCTTAACCCATAAAATAGTTTTCTAGGGGAAGGATCATAAGAAAACTGTAACTCTACTGCAGTTCTTTAAAATAGCTTAGTCTTAGTTGGTGCCTAGTAAGGTGTCCGGAGTCTGACCCCAGTTCTCCTATATAAAATATAAAATATACAGTCTAAACTGGTTCTGTATGAACAGGAGTGTTAATGTTAATGTTAATATATACTTGTTATTTTTATGTGCAGCTTTAATACTTATGTTTATACAGTCTAGAGTTTAGAGTTAAAGGAATTTGCAGTTTCATCTAAATAGAGCTTTTTCCAAAAACAAACAAATTCAAAAAAGGAATCTCTATTGAATAACAAATCATGACACAGAACAAAATTTCCAGTTTTCAAGATACAGTATGTATTATACTTTTCAGTCACAACAAAAGTAAAAGGTCATTCACATTTTTTAAATCTTTATTATGTATGTTAATAAAACTTACACATTTGTTGCAGGTACCTGGTCTGTATTTTATTTTTAAATTCCGTTAAATTCAGTTATATAATAGACAAACATATTTTGTACCAAATGCAGGTACAGTACCTTGTAGTAGGCCAGACTGACGATTCATAACATTCCTACACTTCCATTTCTGCTACCTTTGAGGAAAACATACATGTGTCTCAGTAGAAATCTGTCCACAGTGACGAGAGAAACAGCTGTTTTTAACACATCATATGCCTTAGGGATCTGCACACTACTTCAGTTCTTAGGAAAGTAATAAGGTCAGAATAAGGGAATCCTCTGAATGGAGCCTCATATCTTGGCTAAGAGTACTCCACACTGCTTACATTAACTTACAGTTTTAATATGTGCTTTTGACACTGTGTGGATTGGAACAAATGAGTCTGATTTTTCCAGGTGGTGCTGTTGTATTTGGCATGTAGTGTAAAAAAGCCCTGATCTCCATACGTTTTTGTTCATCCAGATTCTGTCACATCTTTCAGAAGCTTTTACCTTCTGTTACATTAGTTTTCTCACCCTTGATGAACTATAATAAATTGTATTATAACAGAGGAAGTGTAGGCTTATATCAAGATTTTAGGCTTTTGTGAATTAAAATGTATTAAAATATACATGTATACAGTAAACAGACTACTTAGTAGTAAGTACTGAGAGTACTTAAAGTGGGTAGCTGTGTCAGCATGTGTAGTCTGCAAAGGAACAAGTAATAGGTTTATTCCATGCTGAAAAGAGAAGAGAGAAAACAAAACGTTTCGGCTGTGAAGCGCGAAGAAGGCTTCACAGCCGAAACGTTTTGTTTTCTCAAAGGAGGGGAGGGGAGAAGCAGAGAGGCCACTCAGGAAGTACTCTGAGAGTACTTTAATATATAAATAACATAACTTCACATGATAATTTCATTTAATTCTAAATACATAAAGTTTTAATCTATTTTTACTTTGAAAATATATTTAATGTATAAAACCCGATGTAGTGAAATTATTCCTCTAATGTTTTTTAGTCATTTGGTCATTTTATTAAGTCACAGACAGTTCATAGAAACTTAGAAGTCTCCTAGACTGCCACTGGTACTAAACAGGGAAAGAAAGCTCTTTACCACTTCATCAGGAAGATGTCAAATAATTGCTAGAATACTAATTACTGAACTGCTGGTAATAGAAAAATACATAAGACATCCCAGTGTAAACTATGGTGTCAATCATCAAGACTCAAGGCAATTGCAATGTTTACTGTTACCATCAGTGGAGTAATTGTTGAAGATTCTAGTCCTGCATCTTCAAAAACCTCTGGCATCCTCAATATATAATATTTTTCCGACTACCACTAGAGGTTGACATCATAAGTACAGTGTCTGTAGCAGAGTTCATTGACAACATACTGTCAAAATGGACTGCATGGCTTAATCACTTTTGTAAACTTATGTTCTTAACACTAAAAAAAACAACAACATAAATTTGCCAAACAAATAAATTACTGCAAAGCCAAAAAGGACTATACTGTATAATGTGACCTGGACAGCTCAGGTTGAAAAAGAGTGTCTTCCCTTCTTTGAAATATGGGAGAGCATCTGATTTGTTTTGGGAATTTTTTACATCTTCTGATCCTAAGAGCTGCTTAAGGGTTGGGTAAATACATTGTTGTCTCTGAAATGGCACTTTTTCATCCTTCATTGGCTGCTTTTCAAAGTCCTCCTTTGAAGCAAGGATTTTTTTCAGTGCATATTAAATATTAAATGTACATATTAAAACGATATCCTTTGGCCTTCGTCTTCTTTGTCGAGTGAGAAATTAACCGTTTATGGTAATGCTCCAGTATCTGCTGACCTTAACTCATTGTTGTTAAACAATATCAACAGAGATAAAGGTCAGTAATATTGTCCATTAAATCAGACATCCTTTAGAGCAAAAGACTAAGTTTTTTTTTTCAGTTAATGTTTCTTCTTTAAACAATAATTTAATATACGATGAACCAAACATATTTTTTTATTAACTCCATGACAGTGTTTAGGGACATGATGTATATGTATATGTTACATCATGTGTAACAGAAGCTCTTAGTAAAGTGTACGTTCTGTCATCATTTCTTGATTTGGAGATTGTTTCCCACCATTTTGCTCATATCCCAGACATTGTTGGATCTTAGTCACTTTGTGTTAAATATCTGAATGGTATTTCCAGGTCATGTTCTTGCTTTAATTTGTATCCTGTGATCTGTCATCATGGAGAGCACTCGACTGCACTGGTTGAGGAAAACCATATGGAATGTGTTGCAAAAATCTGTGTAAACATTTTTTTACGCAATTCTTCTTTAAGGGTAAGCTACCGTCATCACACAGTCTTGTTCCATATCTCAATAAAACGCATTTTAGAGAAGAAAAAAATATTTTTTTATGTTTGGTTGGTTTTGTAGAACTGCACCTGTTTGATAAAGGGGACTATGGACAGAGTCCAGGTTTTAATGTGTTAAGAATGGTTGGTGCTTTGTGAAACGACTGCTTTGAAGAGAAAAAAAATGAAAGAAAAAAAGTACACAAATAACTTTAAATTAGGACTGCACAAGACAATTTAGTATTGCAGCTCTGATTAATGGGGTCGGTTAAAGAATCCACAATCCAATAACCTAGGAATTCTCTCCCTTTAGTAATAATGCAAAGTACACAGTCCTGTGATTTTATAAATTAAAATCCATTTATATAGTTTTATATAAATTTGTATAAAGTATATCCATATACCAAAGGGACTTTTGCTATTTATGTTTGGATTCAGTTACTACAAAGTCTTGGACAAGCATCATAATGACTATTCTATGCCCTTTAACTGGTTTCTAAAAATATGTTTATTTCCTTTTTTATTGTTCTTAATAATATACTGATAGAAGTAACCCAATGCAAAGAAACTCAAAAGGTTTCCTTGTGCCTTATTATTTTAATAACTGGAATTGCATCATGTCTATGAGTTATAAAAGGTCATAATGAAATGTCTTGGCTGTAGTGTTAAAAAATCCCTTTACATAGACCTAGGTTTAGTAGTATTTACATTTGACACATTAGAGTACCATTGTTCAACACGTGCCAAATCATACATGTGGTCCCTTCAGATTACTGAACAATTTTCTTCACATTTCCTTTATGGTTGAATAGCGTAGTGGAAAGTGGTACACTGCTCAGCAGAGATTGGAGCAGTGATTAGCTATTGACAGGAGGGCAGACTGTTTTTACTGCGGCTCCCCTCTCTCTGTGCAGCACTGAGCCTGTGGAGCTCCAGGCTGAGCTGGAGAATCAGTGCTCACAGCAGCTCAGGTCATCCTATTAACAACTCAACATCTCTCTTTAGGAAGACCACTGTTCTTGTTTATTTGTCATTGCATCTTGTTATTGGATTTGTGTATTGTCCTGCACTTTCTCACTGGGTCTCTAACATTTTATCAAAATAAGCAAACAGCAAAATTATAGGTGCACTTCATTGTTTTTTTTTCCTCACACTTCACAGGCAAATATTAATTCTAATCCAAGTGATTTATTTTTTTATCAATAGTATCTGGTTATACATATTTTTATAAACCTCATCAATGTAGGTTTCACTGCCAATATTCCAAATAAGTTATTTTATGGGTGGTGGTTAATCATAGTAAATATATTGTCCAGATTATGTTGCATCTCATTGTCATTGTTATTCTAAATATTTTGTATTGGGGGGAAAAGGTTTGGCAGGTTATTCTTAAAAAGCTGGGGGATTGTCCACCCTGCATTTTTTGGATATAAAAAATAAGGCAGAATAATTTTTCAGCAGAAGATGTTTTGATTTCTGGAA